GAACAAAATTGTACAAATCCCATTTCCGTATATTTACTCTCACCGCTTACACATGATAAAGGTTGTTGACAAACTTATGGGAGAAAGTATGTGTTAGAATGCTGATACCGTTTGAAAAATATTTCTTTGGGATCAAGCACCAAAATATTGTTTGGGCTTCGTTTTCAACCCAAGTCTCGATCGTTGGTGATATAGTACAAGGAAAGGTCAGTTATGGACGAGAAGGTTTACATTATTATACAGGCGGATGTCTATAAAGGGGGGTGTATATGTAGATGTAACTCTATCATATCATTAACATTAAAAGAAGATAGAGCCAATTTATTTAGTCAAAATTTAAAATTCAAAATTGTGCGGTTTTGTAGTTTGAGTAGTTAAGATAAAAAACACGCAAATTCCAACAACGATAACAGATTTATGACTTTAAAATTCTTGTAGCTATTAATAATTTGAGGTCATATTGATTGTTAGGTTCGCACATGGACTGTTAGTGATGTGTACGATTTCTGAAATCAAGTCCAAATTCGTGGTATATTTAAACTAAAAAAAGACGAGTTTACATTTCTAGACTTAACTGTGATTTTCTTCACTTAGTGTATTTTATTTTAAATTACGATGACATAAATTGTGAAAAGTTGCAATACCTGATACTGACTTGTGATTCTTCTACTACGAGAATACACTTGTATATGCCTAATGTAATTGTATTTCAACTGTGTTAATCTAAGGGACAATGAAACATATTCTGATATTATAGTTTTGTCATTGGTCTTTCAGCCATTGACCCTGATACCTAACCATATAACATAAAGTTTCAAAAGTCGTGCATATTGGAAATAAACTATGTCATTATAAACTATTGATATTGAATATAAATCATCAAACTTTCTGAAATATACTAAGTTTAATCTGGGCCCTGTTCTAATAATTTCCTAATGTGATAACCAAAATCGCATAGCAATATTTTTATAGTTCAGTTTCTACTATCATATAAATATAATTCCAAGACAGAATCGAGTAGATATTTTTTTAATTCGAATTGCTAAAATTGTGCTGAATTAGCAATAAAAATATAAAACAAACGATACGTGCGCATGGAATCTTGAGACGATGGCAATAAGCAATTGTGGCGCTCGCCGCTCGCCAGCAATAATGGTGATTACTGCAGTGACGTCTTCATATAATAACACACCTGTAGTCGTCAGATTCGTTACATCATTATATTAATTCTATCATCATTTGACAGTGATATAACAGCCGTAGTACAATTCTCTTCAAACCACATAGGTCGTTACGTTTGCAAAATATTTATTATTGTGGGCCTACAATTTTAATGTAAATATTAATTTTAATGTACTCAAATTACACTTATTTTACTTTTTGATATTCCCCTATTTTAATAACATTAAACATGCATATATTCATTTAAAAAGGCAAGTATAATCATGAAGATTGTACAAGTATATCAGGGTTGGGAGGAAATTTTACACCAGGAGCTATAGTGCGTTCAAACAGCCGTGGAACCTGAGGGATTAGGAGGCCCCAAGGGTTTCCATGGGGTCTCCTAATCCCTCAGGTGCCACGGGTGTTTGAACGGAGTATAAACAGTTTTATATGTAGCTCTGAAGACAAGAACACTGAAAAAAGCTTACCCATTAAGAAGATCCACCGCAGATTTCCAAGTGAAAGAGAAACATGTACAGTGGGTTTGTCGTGTTTTAGTCCATGTTCAAACGCAATAAATATTAGGGGAGGAGGTAAAGATCTGGTTTGGCTACAATCCATACCAAGGAGGATGTAGTGATGTTTATAGAATTACATCAAACACACTTGAACGTTGTATGTGAGGTTATGATACGTTGGGGTCGTTAACTAGTAAAGGTGTAGACCTCTTGGGATGTTTATAATATGACAACATGGTGTTTACAGGAATGGTTTTGAACTGTGGTACTGGGACATAGTGGTGGTTTGGGAGGGGATGGGGTGTGTGAAGATGGTGTCACAGACTGAAGAGAGAAAACTATAGGTTTACTCTATAGCCTTTGATGGTGTTCTGTCATGGTTTTGAACTGTCAAGATGGCGACGTACCATTTTGGTGATCTCAAATTTAAAGTGGTCTTTACTGTGGTATTTTTGAAATTGTTCATAGAGGTGACCTGATAATATTATATTTGTCATAATGGTCTTCTGTGCCGGAATGGTGAAAGGTCCGTCATAGAGGTGATATTTAATTTTCTTTATCATGATTTGTCAGAGTGATGACGCAAGCACGGTGTTCCTAATTAATGATTTGATGATAATAAAACACTTGTGGTGCATCTTGATCTGACTTTATCACAAGCCTTTGTCAACAAGGCGTTCTGAAAAACCCATGTTACGAAATAATTAAGACTATCAAAAAGACTTTCTTACGAAACACAGAATTTAGGATACAAACTAGTTTCCAGAACAATCAATTATACTTGCGAAGCTTCAAAAGCGTATGTAAACTAAGTAAATAGAACTAATCTGTTAAAGCTAATTCATAATTAAATGAGGATTAGTTAACGTGGTAAAACACACACAATTTCGCCCATTAATAACAAGATTTCAAATCTTAATCTAGAATAATTGTATTTTATTACAGTATTTATAACAATATGTCCTATAGTACAATATTTAAATTTATCCAAAAATCTTTAGTTTGTATTATTTTTGTTTATCAACAAAATTAAAAATGATGCAATATAATAATTGATGGGCTTGTTTACCTGTAAGGAGAAGAACTAGTGAAGATAAATACTTAATCAAAGCATCTTAGTTCTCATTATGTTTTAGGTCAAAATATTGATCAATAAACATCATTAACAGTTGGAAATTATTAATAATGAATCTGACTTAACAGAATAAAATATATCCAAGTGATATCTAATTAGGTTTACTCAATTGTAAGTCTTATAAATTCCCCTCTATTATAAATTAAATCAAGCTATTGAGATACTATTTGTTACATAATAATAAAGTTTCCCAATCATTCTTATTAGTACTTAGTAGTACTTAGTGGTAATTATGAGTAATTACTGTTAGAGTATTTACAAGAAACATTTTGTACTATATCTCCTGTTTATAGTACAATGTTTTGAAAGTCATCTGTAGGACCTGAGCAACAATTCAAAACGCCACACACGTCGCATCAGTTAATGATTCCAAGACGGAATGAATCTGCAATTCTCTTATTAATATCCAAGAATACACAATTCGGATTTGTGAAGGTCTTCTTAGAACCCATTTTTTTAATAAAGCATGAACCTGAGATCAATAATTAAATTACTTATCTGTCAAAAAAGCTGACAATTAATTTCGTATTGAGAATTTGAGGATGTTTAAAAGTTTTCTTTAACAATAAATTTAGGAATAACTGAAAAAATGTTTAAGTCATTTTTAAGATTTGCTAGTTAATCTAAGTAGGGATTAAAAATAGTTCTTTTGTTTATGTTTTTAAAGTATTTTTTTGTAAGAGATTTTGTTAACATGACAAAACCTTATAACGAAACTACGTAACTTCCACTCATATGCGATAAGCTAACCAGATTATGCCAAACCATGAACTTGATCTTTAAATGAATTCCAACAAAACCTTATCTTTTCGAAGTATTTTGAACAAGAGGTTTTTACACCTGGAGATAAATTGGAAGTTTCTGTAAAGCTACAAACATAAACGAAACCATCTTCCACTTTGCATTTAGAGTAGCATGTGTTTACACACCAATGCTCTTACTAGTTTAAATACAGCTTACCTGCAATCCCTGCAAAATAAGAGTTACAATTTCTGCAAAAACACAAACTTATCTAAACGATCCTTAATTTTTTTATAAGAGTATTTTTAACGCCAATCAAACCTTCAACTTTTCTTCCTGGATAGGCTTCCGCGTCACTTACTGCACATTCGTGGTCTACAGGCGAAGTCACTTGACTTGTCAACTATGAGGAAATCAAGGCGTCCTGAAGATGGTACGCTTCACTGAGGCCGAAACGTCGATGGATGAAAGTGTTTTGCTGTGTATGGTTCAGTCGTCTCCCAATTACCACGAATCAACCATTTAACTAGTTCAACTATAGGGTTACTTTTACTCTTGCAAAATGACAGATAAAATTTCTGACAAAACATAAAGAAACAAAAATGTTCACTTACGAGGTGTTTCGAATAAGCCAAACCACCAACTAATCTTTAAATGAAACAAGTTTTAAGCGCACCCATTCTCCCTAAAGGACAAGGGTTGAAGTTTCTTCCAAACCATAGATCTTAAAGGGTTAACAAAACCATCTGCCCTTTTCCAAGTATATTGTATAAGATATACCTTTTAACACTAGTTAACCCTATAACGGTAACATACTTATCACTCATGTCCAAACCATAAACCTAAACAAAACCATCTCTATGTTGTCAAAGGACAACAGTTTAACCAATGCATTCTTGCTACTCCTACAACATGACTTACGACTTAGGGTTAAAATTTCTACAAATTCATTTCCAAAATCATCTTCCACTTTCGAAATATTTTGAATGAGAGGGTTCTAAACGCCAACCATGATCATATAACTAGTTTAACTTCAGCCCTAGGAGAAAAGAGCTAACTTTCTGCCAAACCAAACATCAGAACTATCTTCCACTCTTGAGGTATTTAGAATAAGATGATCTTTATCAACCCCATAGCTAGTTTATCTACGAGTACATCGTACCTATCACCCTTACGAGGGAAGAGTGTAGTGTGCAAACCATAAACATATTTTGGAATTTTTTTAAACAATACGATTTTTAACAACATAATCTTACACCTATCTAAACATACCTTCCATCTCTTCGAAATAATGGGTTTTGCCAAACCATTACCTTAAACAAAACTACCCTCGCCCCTATATGGCTAGGGCTGCACATACTGCTCTAGGAGCCGGCCGGTAGATAGCACTATCGCAAGGTCATGGTCGCTATATAAGCAGGCGGTGTTGTCAGCGTCCCAGTCGCCCAGTGGACCCCGGTTGCCAAGGTCTGTCAAGGTCACAGCATGAGGACCTCCTTCGCCTTCGTCGTGCTTGTAGCCGCCTTCGCCCCCTTGGACGCTGGAAAACTACGTGAGTATTTTAAAATAAAAAAATATGGGTGCTTTCAGAAATAGGGCTTAAAAAGTGTAAACAATATTTAAAATTCGATAGTTTGGATAAATTTGTAGGTTATTATTTTATCACATTTATCATAGGGTGTTGTATAAAAAAGTAAAATCCTCTACTTTTGTGCCAGAAAGGAAGTCTATGAATAAAGTGCATTTATTTAGGATCATTTTCATTATGCACACAGAAAAATTGCAAAGAACAGTTTTCTTGGATGGAAAATATCTTACCATATTTTATATCTGTATATTTTAACATGTTGAGCTATTTAAAAGAATAAAGCATATTTTTTAAGGGTACAGTATGACTCAATTAATTCATTATTTTGCATTTTAGCCTCCAGAACATTTACATACTTATAAGCAGGTGTAACCTGAACCTGAGTACCTATTTATGCAATCTGAAATGTTTTTTTTTACTTAAAAACTGTTTGTAGTAAAATGATAGATAAAACATACTCCGTTAGGTAAAATATACTGAACAAGTTTTGTAAAAAAGAATGTAGTAAAGCCTTTTAATAATATTTTTATGCAACTAGTGTTTCTTGTCATAAGATTGATCAAATATACTTCAGTCTCTAAAAAATAAAACACTTAAAAATTTACACTTAACAATCCATATTAAAGAACGATTTTAAACCAGCCCAACTAAATATTCTACTTTACTTCTTTGCATATCGATTAATTCATTTATTCAACAGGTGATCTAAATGGAAAACCATTTATTTAAATTTACTGAGTATAAATTAATCCATAATTTAGATTATTTTTATTGCACAATTTTCTCATAGGTCTTATTGGATATTGAGTCGCTTTTATTATTTTTTCTGTATTTCTGTTCAAGACAAAAATAGTATTTCAATGAAGTCTTATAATGAGACAAATACTTATTGGTAAATACAATTTCAATTGATCATTAATTTTAGATTAGTTTGAGAGTTAACTATCCGTAAATACCAAGTATAAACTAAGCCACGATGTTTGCATGAACTTAAATACACATTGATCTACTTATAATGTGGTGACGATTTCAAAATTTCAAAATAACAAATTCACTACTATGTCCAACATTTAAATCAGTTATAGTTTCAGTAAAAATTAGTATATGAGGTAAGCATTTGTTTTAATGATTTGTGAAGTGATAAAAATATTGTTTATTAGTGGTGTAAAAAAATTAAACTAATCAATTTTTACTAAGAAAACAAATTTATAGCCTTTTTAAACTAATCAACCATCGATTTGTTAGCACATTCGATAAGCAGTAGCTTTAATTCATATCATTCATCTCATCTAATTTACCATGAAACAAAATGCTGTAAGGTTTTTATAATAATTTACGAGAGCTCACCCCGTGGTCAAAAACTCGACCAAAAGTATGTACTGTATTGTGCAAACATCTCTATTGTCACCCCTTGCTGTAAATAAAACATGTGGTTGGAATTTCTTCAATTTGTTTTGATTTTATGTTTATATTTTTTTGTTATTTCGTCACCAACATGGCAACCCATATGGCCCAAGTTAATTTTTTTAAATTTCAAATTCATTATTTGTGCATATTGTTCAGCCTATTTTAATTTATAAAGGGATTCTGCACATCTACAGTAAACTATCTTTAATTTGGCACCAACCACGTGTAATTCGGTCTAGTAATATGGTCAGGCTAGCTGTCATAAGAATTTCAAAAGTTTTTTAGTATATAAGATAGACGAAATCACAAAAATATATGGAATCACGAATATAAATAAATTTTATCCATCCAGTTTTGTCAAAGTAAATTATTTAAGTCTTTTAACTTTCAAAAACAGTTTTTGCATTTCAGGTAACAATATGACCTATTGTTTACTGGTAAATCCTCTGAAAAAGACATTTGGTTTTGTCAGTTATCTATTTTAAACACGCAGCCTAGTCAACCTCTTTGTTTTAGTACAAATCTTAACATTCGCATGCGCTTTGCGAGTAAAACAACAATAACAATGACAGATAGGTTTATGGTTATAGTCGACTGTAAATCACCTTTAAATTTACAATTTAATTTTATTTTTATTTTCTGCTGACAGCTCTTTTTAAATCACTTTCCCTGATATGATATTTTAAAATGACTGTTGAGTACAAATATTGACATAAACATCGGAATAACAATGGCCACCATAACTCACTTTTAGTTCAAGAACGCTTAATAGAATAAGTGGTGATATCGTTTACTGCTACAATGGTCAATTTTCACTCTTATCTTACCATATAATATTACAATGTTCATATCCCATGAACGTAATAGTAGTTTACGCAACGATTGCGTTAAGTGAGTCTTTACGACACGAGTAGAAAATTTAAGGCACGAGCCTTGGCGAGTGCCTTAAAAACTTCTACGAGTGTCGTAAAGACTATTAACGCGAGTTGCGTACACTACTTTGCCTACGACCATTTTTTAATTACTATCAATCTGGATTTAATTACTAACAATCACTACTGATAACTTTTTAGAGAGGTTATGTTTTCGTGTATTGTCATTGCCACTGAAAGTGATGCAACGACTTGTTGTATAATCAGCTGATTTCCTGTAATTACGTGTTTGTTAAACTTCGTTAAATATTACCATTGACTATGAATCCTTAAGGATTCATAGTCAATGATATTACATTGCTAGCAGCATTCTTACCATAAATAATATTGCATCAGGAACAATTCGGCAAATATTTCATTTATTTTTGGACTTCCACCAACTTAATTAAGAATACGCGAGTATCAACATGAACAAGTCGGATCAACAATTAAATTGGTCAACTGATCAGCTGATCAGCTGATTAGTTGACGTTCGAAGCATTACAATTTTAATTCTTTTCTCTCAATACTTGAACCTCATTGGTCCGTTACCTGTGTGGATATGAGAAAACTATGCGGATATGAAATGAAACTATGCGGATATGAAAGTAAACAGCTGTAAAGTGAAACTTTTCAATTCTAAGAACTGGACTGAAATGGCTACTTTAAAAAACGGTCGAAGGTAAAGGGTGTTTTCTTTACAATAACTTATAATTTTATATTTAGTATGATCACGGATATACAATTTTCCCATAAATCATTTTTAATGTTATTAGCACGATTATAAAGTTGCTGATAAAAAATAGTATTTTACAAAAGCACAACTTTTGGGTTTCCTTTTTGAATGAAGTAAATTTTTATTCGTCAAACATCATAGCTTATTAAACATTTTCTGGCTTTAGATATAAACGTTTGAAGATAAGTAATGTGGTTAAGTTTATTCTGATATCCCATTCTCTACTTCAGCTAGATCACATTGTGTTAGTTGCCCAGATAGAACGGTCATAGCAAACAAGTCATTGTTTACTGAAAGACCGCCTCAAACGATGTTTTGGTCTTTTTATTTTGAGTTGGATAATTACTCTTTTACGATCCTCAACTTTCCACAATTTGTAAGATATAAACTGTCCAAGATTTTCTAAGGATAACATTTACTGTATCTATATACTTGATTGAATTGACCTTGGTTGATAGTATTTCCATTTCTTATAATAGGCTTTTCAATAGGCTCTTCCAATAGGCATATTGAAATATCAGAATGTTTACAAGTCGTTTGTTTACATTTCCAAGAATTTAGCTTTGGTTGGACTGTAAGAAAGTCCTTCGCTTAGGGGTTTTGATTAAACAATTATGTTTTCGTTTGTTCGAAAAAACTAATTTGACATAAGTTTGATGCAATAGCGTTTTTTTATAATTCAAGAAATTGTTGATACTTGTTATTTACTTGCGCCCTTCTTGAATCACAAGTATTAGGTTTGGGCAAAACATTACGTATCTTAGTTTAAAATCTCTATGAAATATTTTACTATTGGGATACCTTATGTTTTACTGAACTTTGGAGAATTTATCTTTCATTACTGTAAGATTTATGATAGAAACCTCATCCAACGAAGACCTATAAAAGGCCTATCCTAACGAAATAAGCTAGTACTGTTTACATTAACACTAGTTGTTATTCAAACGATAACCGTTGCAACGGCTTAGTCACTGTTACATACGAGGAACTGTTTTCCATTCAGTCATCGCTCCTCGCCGTGTCACGGTCAAGGTTGCGACGTACGTTTACCGGCATGACAATGACGTCACCCTTCGCCAGAAGGTGACACCTCGATCAAGTCTGTGAGATACATACTAACTACTGCAGAATACTGGTTGTAGGCTATCTCAGGAAATTTGTGTATACTTAGATTTAATAGTGAAATATTTTCTGGTTCAAATGAAAAAATAATAGAACCAGAGGAAATTCTGAAAGTTTTAACTTTAAGTACAAACAAGAAGAGTTAGGTAAAAAATAATGTTTTATCAAAATCCTAATACAAAAGTCAACGTAAATAAAACATAAGTTTTATTTTGACAAGTTAATTCAACAAATGAGCATTTGGCCGATCTACATTATGTAGCAAACTTCTTTAAAATGTTTTGCTCTGTTCATTGGGGTTTTAGCAAACTATACCTTGCTGTAGAAACGGCTAATTTAATTCAGTAACAAAGTTACACAATGAATCTCATACCATTCACACAAATCCTCCTTAAATTAAACTTAAACTCATCAACGTTATTATATTGTCTTAACAAAAAGATAAGTTTGAAAAATACTCTTTAATTTCTTCGTCATAAGGGGGGATTTTAGAGAGCTCAACTGCTAGTAAAATGGAACACTAGTGATTTTTATTGTGCAACTGCAGTAGTAACTAAGTCACAATACCATCTTATGAACTCCCTCTTTCGGCGACTTCAGGCCGGACCGACGACCCTGGGTACTCAGAGGGAAGAGGAAGTCATCCAGGATAACTCCCTGGCCCTCACAGCCGATTAATATTCTGTACACCCTACCAAACTTCCGCGTTCACCCTAATAATCTACGTGCACTAGGAAGCCGCGAAGTATTTGATTGTTGGTTGATAAAATCAGGGTAATACCTTACCAGATTGGGATATTCATTGTGATTCTGTCATGGGATGGTTTAGTAGTTCGGATGGAACTAGTGATTTGGAACAAGTTATAGATAAGTGTTATCAACTTGTTAGTGTTTTATATTAACATGTTGCATTTGGACAGTTTTTGTAACAAAAATAGAAATAGAGAAACCATATTTTACCACGAACAAAATATGAACTCCTGTAAATTTTAGATAAACGATGTGAGATATGGTTTGTCTGTTCACTTCAAGGGGTAATCTATTTCCTTATCCAACCTAGAAACTCAGTAATTAGTTAATAACTGCTAATTCATATGGAGCTAGGATTTTTTATAATTCTTGCTGATTGTGTATATTTTGTTATTTCTAAAAGGTTTATGTTATTTTATAAACGAAGGGATGAAAATATAGCAGTATTTTTGGTTATTTTTCCATATAAAGCGACTGTTTTAGCGTATCACTTCAAAACTACACACTCCAAAAAACACTTCAAACAATTCCAATTTTTACTGTTTATTGTTTTTATTTTTGTTTGATTCTTTTGAGTTATCGTATGAGTTTTTTAGTGTTTTGTTTTGTTTTGTCGCAACCAAATTTAATTTGTTATTCTAGATATACGATACTAGTTACTCATCTACCCATTCTCGATTTTGTATTGGCTTAAGCCGTTAGAACGTATAACTAAAATAAAATATCCGTAGTAACAAACTAAAATCCGGAGCTACAAAATATACAAAAACTAGTCAGTTTGTAACCATACTACTTCAATATGTATTCTTAAATCTTTACGAACGTGATAAAAAATGATGGATTTAAACTTCAGTATCGACAAGTCGATTGTTTGTCGCAAAACTTGAGTCGATTTAAAAGAATTTCGCCTGCTCCACCCAACAAATTAAAACTAGTTCCCTACCTTTCAGTTTCGTAAACCATATAAAAATATTTAAAAAGTAAGTCATTTAGATTCTTTACAATACTAGTTATTATTTCAATATTTTAAATTTACTTACTATTTTATAGTACGCCAGTATTATTCCATAGGTTTGTTATGTTGCTGTTGATAAAGTGATAAACAAAATGCATAACAAATAAGTCTAGATGCCAAACCGGTTTCTGTATTATTCCTATTCCGCACGTCATTCGGTATTGCTACAAGTGTTTGTGTGCGATTGAGGTAGAAACATCCACAATCCACAGTTTGTTGCTCTTTTGGCGGCAAAGCCATAAATATCAGCTGGTCAAGGTCATCATATCAAGGAAGTGTGGTGGTGTGGGTTTTTCACATGAAAGTTATGTTATGAATATGAATAACCATCCCGTCATAATGAAGCAATCAAAACATGCACTGCGGGTCTTGTGTTTTTCCTACGTAGGGCAAAAAAATCAGCTGGAATCGAGGACATCAGTTGTAAATCTTTCTGTTTGCTCGTCCGCCAATTTTACGGAAGAATAATTTATAAACAAAAAACTTTTTTAAAACAAAACATTTTTAAATGCACTAATAAGTAGAAAATAATTTATAAATTTGTGAAGAGTATAAATACTTGTAAGATGTAAAATGAAAAACGCGGGGTGCATGCAATAGATAATTTACAATTTTACCTTCACCTATTGAACTAATGTATTATTATCAATTGCATGCAATCCACGTTTTTAGTTTTAAATCTTACAAGTATTTATACTCTCCACATATTTATAAATTATTTTCTACTTTTTAGTGCATTTAAAAACGTTTTGTTTTAAAAAAAGTTTTTTATTTATAAATTATTTTCTACTTTTTAGTTTTTAATGTGTGTGGATGTTAAATCTATTTCATGCATCTATATCAGATTAAGACAGAGGCATGTGGGAAATCTAAGGTTTATTTGAGTTTCTTTTCATATAATTATGTATTAGATTGAATGTATGTATGGCCTACCTACTAACTATAAATATATTAATGTATTTAATTTATTGTTTACTTTATAGAATACTAAATAAAAAACAAATGACATTATTAACAAACACCTTTATATCTGCAATCAGATTATTTATCTTTATTTTGTTGTATAAAGAATCTCTTGGGAGCAGAACCTGTACCTCTTAACCTCTGCTTTTTGAACTGTCAAATTTAAGTATTTACAGCTGGCATTAATTAATTGATGTATTTACATTCTTTCAAAATGTAAACATGGAAAATTTGGAAGTTAGTGGGGCGTAGCCCAAGGGAAATATGAAAATTAAATGCTATAATATTGCATTGTCATCCACTTGTGAGCTATGTTTCAAATTTCAAGTCTCTAGCTCATGGGGAACTTCGTTTAAAATTGATATAAAAATTTGTAGGAAAGTGAGCTAATAAAAACAAGCCCATGGGGCGTAGCCCAAGAGAAATATAAAAATTTAATGATATAATATTGCATTGTCTTCCATTTGTGAGCTATGGTTCAGAGTTTCAAGTCTCTAGCTCTTCGGGAAGTATCACAATTTTCAAGAAAGCGAGTTAATAAAAACAAGCCCGTGGGACGTAGCCCAAGGGAAATATGAAAATTAAATGATATAATATTGTATTGTCTTCCATTTGTGAGCTATGTTTCAAGTTTCAAGTCTCTAGCTCATCGGGAAGTTAGTATAAAATTGATTGCAAAATTTGTACCGGACAAGAAAGCGAGCTAATAAAAACGTTTTAAAATAGTCCCGGTTGATAAAAATTATTATTGAATCACATGTTTTATTATTACTCCCCTATACATACTTGGTAGATTGAGAAAGTATTGGTTTTGTACAGAGTACACATGTGGTCCGATTTTGATGAAAATTGGTAAGTTAACACAAACTTCAGGGTATGTATCCATGAGTGTTAATGTTTTTGAAATGTTTATTTTTATCGGTAACTGTTCCACAAAAGCCCATCAAATAATGGAAAATCCAATTTTCACCTAAACTGCGTTAACGATTTTCTCAAAATTTACTATTCTATGATGTTTTAAACTCTAAACAAAATGGCACAACCCCCAATGCAGAAGAAACAACGGTTCAAAAATTATTGCAATTGCTGTGAATTTACCCATCAAATATCACAGCTACTCCCACCGCTCGAAAGGGTTGTTGTTGACAAGCTAATGGGAGAAAAATGTGTCAGTTTGTTGATACCGTTTATTTGTGTATGTTTGTCCTGTTATTGTATCTTTCACTACAATAACATCGAAATCCACCCCATTTTGAATTCCGCTCTGTTATTGTGTTGGCAGAGAAATAACTATCGCCTTTAAATAGCGGAAATAACAGTTTGTACACAATAAAATGAGACGGAATTAATTTTGGGAACTGTTTTATCAAAGTTAACAATTTACGAAACTATCGTTTTGTGATTTAGTTAGCAAAAAATATGACGAAAGAAATTGTTCATCACATGAAATAGAAGTGCATTTTTAGACATCACTCATTTCCCAGCATCGGCCTGCGGTAGTTAAACTTGAGTTCTTGTCGAAAAAGTCACTTTAGGACTTATGATGAAGTGTACTATTTATTATATGCTAGTTATGCTTTTAGCCTATATGAAATTTATTATTATTTAATATGCTATTTATGGCCTATTCAAGACCAGGAATAAAATACTGCTCTTCTTTTTCAGCCTCTTACATCAAAGCCTGTAGGAAGGATGATCCCAAACTCAACGAATGTGCGGTCAAAAATGGACAAGCTGCTATTCCATCGTTGATTCAAGGTGAGAAATTCAGTAAATGTGACTTGAGTACAACTATTTCGTTAGGATCAGTATATACTCGGTACTCAGTATATACTATATATATATCAGTATATGTTCGAGGATATATTAGCCTAAGTTCTTATTATAATTTAGGAAATATAGATCTGTTAAGGGTTTTCTTACCTCACTACTTTCACAAATAATAGCAAGAAAAATATGTTATAAAAATAAAAAAATATGTAAAAAATATTTAAAAATATGTAAACATATATTTTTTTACTAACTGGTTTCTTCCAGTTTACTTCCTAATTTAAAAATAAAGAAAACTTCCATTTAAAAAATGAATGTTTTAAGGGTTATAAAAAATAGTTAATACGATAAACCATTTTGTCGAAATGACATTTGATCGCCAGGCGGTTAAATGTCATATCGACCAATTGTTTTATGCAACATGCGTCCAGGTGCGCTCAAATGTTGTGTATGGTGTAATTGCAACTCTTTAATGCAATATGTTACTCTGCCTCGAATAATTATTCAATGCGCCGGCATTTCAAGTATGTATTTTGTTGGGCAGGCGACAAAAGTCTCGGCATACCCAAGCTCGACCCCCTAGAGATAGAGAAGGTCGTGGTGGGAGACGCCAACAAGAAGGGAGGCGGAGGACTGGGAATCACATTTACCTGTTACAAGTGTAAAATATCCGGCCTGAAGGACCTTCAGTTGAAGGACGCAAAGTGAGTAACTAGATCTATAACACAACATTTTAGCCTAGCCTATCAAAACAAACTTACCTAGTCAGCTTAACATATCCCTTTGTAATATACTTGTGCATGATAGCTTGTTCCTCAAGAACGCAATAACGACTACTATAAGGATATTTCCTCTTTAAGTCCTATTTTTATTTTGTTATTATTATTTATCAATTGAGATGGGGACCCCACCTAGACACAAACATAGGTGGGGGAGCGAGCTGATCTAGTGTTTAGAGCGTGGTACTGCGGTGGCTGAGGTCTCGGGTTCAAATCCCACCAAATCACCAATGGACTTTATCTAAGTGATAATGCCGCAACCGCTAGATCTAGCCTGAAGTAATGTGAAAAGAAATCTCAGGCTCGTGCCTAGGAAAAAAATCATTATCAATTGAGATGGGGACCCCACCTAGACATGTTGACTAGGGGCGTTTTTTAACCCAGATATGAGTGTAGAATAGAGTTAGATGCCTTGTGTAGCTTTGGTACTGACGAATACCAGCTGTTTCATTAGCCAGGACCATTATTCCAATGATCGGACAGCTGGGCCAACTTAACAACCCTTATCCTGACTTAGCAGAGTTTAATCCTTAAATTGAAATGTCTAAGATATCCCACCTAGAATGAACGATTTAAAACAATGTTCTGTAAAGAATAACAAAAAAAGTTCTAGAAATTAAATAAAGTTTTAATGTATAGCAATTTGTATCTATTGTTTAGCTTTCCGAATTTTTCAAACGTTCAACCATACAAAGTATCTACTTTAAAACCCAGCTTATTGTTATTCTGTAATGTTGTAGTGTTATTTGATTGGTATTTTAATGGATGGGTAGGAATCTAGACACACTCACAAATATATAAAATCTTCCATCTACTCGATCAGAATGAGTATTAGCCAACCGTAATTGACAAATTACCACAAATTACAAACAACAAACACTTAATGTCAGTATAATGTTCGTAGCAATCACATCAACACTGCTATTGTTAGAGTAGAAACTATTTCTCACGTCTGAATATTGTGATATTTTAATTAGTTTATGGTGAAATAATCTTGGACGTGGCTCCCTAGAAATAAACGCTTCCATTGTGTTGTTCTGACCATTGTGAAATATAGACGATTTGTTTTAAATGATTTAAAATAATTTTAAAATTAATATTGGTATGGGAATTTGCTAAAATAAAAACCAATAGAGTAATTGTTAGCCTTTCCTATGTATTGATAATTTAATGTCGAAATTTATGTTTTAACTCATTTGGTTAATCATAACGTCTTTAAGGTTAAAAAAGGTAAAAATTCGTGGTCATATTTTCAATAAAATGGCTTCAACAGTATTGTAAAATCTCTTACGCAGAACACGAAACCAATTTATGGTGGCTTGAACAGGTTAATTTAACGTAATTGTAATTGCAATTATGATTGTTACAATTATTTTGTTAGTCTAAACATTGTGTAAAAGTTATCATTTCACAACATAATGTGGTTAGAATAAAATTTATTCAATTAAATCAATGACGTTTTCGTGCGTTGTACAGTAACACTCAATAATATATTCGTTTAAATATTATTCTTATATCAAACATGCATTACATTAATACCTTTTCACGTAGATATATGCCATAAAGTAAATACAAACCTAATCAGAAAATCACTTCGCAAAAAGTTGCAAGAGGTGTAATACCAGAACAAATAGTATAATTTGTATGAAATAAATTTCAAAATAATTTTAACAGGTCCACTACCACTACCAACAGCTCTACACCTCTACTGACACCCGGCAGTGAATGTGTTAAATTACAAAGATTTATTGATATTTTCAGAATCGATTTGAAGAAGAAGACGTTCGAATTCACAGGCAAGGTCCCGAAGGTTGGAGTTAAGGGAAGGTACACGACGGAAGGTAGAGTTCTCATTCTTCCCATCAAGGGGAACGGCACCGCAGACCTCACTTTGGGTAGGTACCTAAATGTATTAGTATAAACCAGACTACCTGTTATGGTTAGATTTGTAAGTTGGAAACTAACCTTATCTCTTTGATACTAGGTGACTCGGTCTCAAACTTTTGTGAGTCAATGGTTAAAGTCGGTAGGACTGCGGATTCGCCTCCCGGCATCGTCATTAAAAATGTATCAATGCTGTACATTCTTGTACGTACCGGTTTAACTCTTGATTGATAGTTCTATACTCAAGTCCATGTAATTGAAAGCAAGATTTAAACAAATCATGAACCTCTAAATAAATTACTTTTTCGCTACACTACTGTATAATGACCTGTTTTCTTTAAATGCTTATCACCTGCAAAAACTCATCATTACATTGTTATTATTGTTTACAAGAATGGACTACTATCTATTTTTGTATTTTGCCGACGTAAACAAACAAAGATTTTTTATTGTTTGGCCAACTGTTTCAATTTACCACCAAAACTGTACAACCAATGTAAATATCAACTTCTAGAAGGCATAATCTAGACAATGCTAAAAGTTGTTTAATGTTCCTAACTGTAATAAAAAAAAATTCTCAAATTCTGTTTTAATTAAGAAGATAATTATATAGTCTTTGTAGTGTAGCGAAAAGTAACGTTCAAAACGCGTGAAAGTGTCAGTACATTCAAAGTGTCATACATATTCTTGACCATAAAAGTGCTCAATAAATCTCGAACTTCAAATATATGGTCTTAAATATGTAATGACTTTCTACTCTTGTTATGCAATATACTATGACGTTACCATATGATAGTCTCTAGGTTTTAAATGTAAGGCACTCCTAAAATCGGGGTATGTTTTATTTCACTACATACTATGATGATTTTGTTACTTGACGTAGGTTGGGTTAGGTTAGGTTAGGTAAGGTTAGGTAAGGTAAGGTAAGGTTAGGTTAGGTTAGGTAAGGTTAGGTAAGTTAGGTTGGGTTAGGTTAGGTTGATGAAAGGTGAACAATATTATTTACACTTATTTACAATGTTTACATTATTTTACACTACCGGACGTTTCTTCCCCCATGCTACAATGTGGCAACCTCAGTGGCGAGGTAGGTCTCAGCCTTTACACTGAGAATGCCCGTTGTAAAATACGCGAAACTTCTGGTCAAAGACAATAGAGTAACCGATAGGTTAATAGGCACTACTGTCTTTGGTTTGGTATTGTAAATAATGTACAATTTGATTAGGTTCTTACCGGTTGACCTTGAGTCATAGAGAGTAGAGCCTCTTTAACCTATGCTTGAATGTAGTGATGATGCCACTGACCGTTAAAGTGTACGAAGATTTAACATTGATTAGTTAAATTGAACCCTCGACAGATTGTTCTGCTGCAAAATGTTGTTTTCTTCCATACAACATTTTGTTATCACATTAAACAAAAAAGGAATTAAAATGATCATTTGCTTTATAAACCTTTACGCCATCAAAAACTACCATAGTAGGTTAACTAAACTATAGTGTCTTTGAGTAGATGTCCCATCCGTATGGACCTGCTATCGCCAATTTATTTATATAAAAAAAAATAAAATCGTTCTTTGAGCCAGTCAAAAACTGTGCTAGTGTCTCAATTTAAAAGTTTTATTTTCTACCTTATTTTGTTGTTACTGAAATAGTAAAAAGGGGCATACAAATAATAAGTTGTTCTGAGAGTTTGTTGTTCTTAAACTATTCGACAGAAATCAGTAATTTATATCAGCGTAATCTGTCGGTTGCCCACTTCAACTAGATCCATTCTGAAAAAAAAATCTGGCAACTTTAACGTGGGGAGTTAATGTTTAGTTCTATCAATAATCAAATTTAGTGTAAAGCTGGCTACAGCTGGCCTACGAAATGATCAATATATTCTAATATATTCTTCAGTACCCAAAGTTAATGGTTCTATGTTATGATCATTTTTGAGAACAGGACGAATATGTTAGTCAAAATACTTACTTACCTAGTTTACTTGATTAGTTACTTGATACTTGAAGATTTCCTATTGGAAGTGTCACTGCGCTGGTTGTAAAAAATAGTGACAATTTTCATTCATCCTTGAAGTACTCTGCCAATGAGTACTATGGCCTCTAAAAATCTTGAGCTTTTATATGTCTTCAATATTTTTTGATTTAGTTTGGGATCTTGTTGTAAATCTTGAAGATGGATGGAGCACATTAAAAACTTAGGACCATTTGCTACTAATGTGGAATTTACTTAAGTTAGGATGATATTTTTACATTGCCTTGTACTGTAATAATATTGTAATTTAATTTATTTTATCTACAGGTGACCTGAATCTGAAATACAGGTTGCTGTACGACCTGGTGAAAGGCAAAGATGGCAAGGACCACGTCAAATTTAAGTCTCCCAAACTGGACTTTAAAGTGGATCAGTTCAAAATCAAGCTGACCAACCTCTTCAATGGTGACAAGAATTTAGGTGAGTTTTATTTTGTTGGAACCTAAATCTTTCGAATTTACTCTATGTTTTTTCTCTGTTTTGTTTACATTAGAAGTTGAACACTTTTGACTAGATAATCTTATCTTAGTAGTTGTAGGCTAACTTTAAGGTCACTATTTCCAAGAGTATTTGTAATTTAATAATGTTTCCTAATCTAACCGTACATTGGTTGTTTACATTTTAAAATGTCTGTGTCATAAAAATATATATTTGCTTAAAGTAAAAATTAGTTATTTCTGCATTCTGGCAAAATGAATTAAAAAATTTACAATACTATTCAATCGAGGAAACAGAAAAAAAACATAAATATGAAATTAACAATAATAAATTAAATTTACCTCATACATAACATCTATGTTTGGTAGTTTTTTATAAGGTAACACCATTGAGCTAACGATTAAATATTTGGATATCAATACTAAAATTTTATAACCTCGAAATATTGTTATTTAACTTTGTTGATTGTAGTCCTTTTAAGGTACGCAATTTGAGAAATTACATTAAACAGTAAAAGATCCTGTGTCAAGGAATTTCTCCTAATCTCGACTGAGAATAAATAATTAAAATGCTACTTTTGCGTATCTCTATAAAAATCGTATCAAAAAATCCCTGTTACGCTCATTTTTGGCAGCTAAGACTCATATTTATTAATTTTTGATGGAATTAAAATCATCTATTCATTTATTTATTTATTCAAGATTGTAATATTCAGGAGTGACATAACAATATTTAACACCCAAAGTGTATATTTTGGGTTTAAATCAGAATATGGTGCACAAAATATAGGGTGTCCCGTAAGTAAACAGCCAAACTCCGGGAAATAGTTCTATGGGTCAAAATAAAGAGAAAATCAAGAATGAAATTTTTTCAAAATCGCTTCGTTAACCAGACATCCACCATTTTGTATTTTTTACATAAACCTTTTTATTTTGGAATTTTTCAACCGATCTTTATAAACCTTGGTATGTAGGTTAAGGTAAAAAAGACCAATGTTATTAAAACATCATCTTGATTTAACTTAAAATTTAAAAATGGTGGTCATTTTTAACTTAAATTGACTCAAAAACGGGTAGTAAAAAAAATGTCAAGAACACTTTTATTTAGCATTTTAAATTCCCTATCAAACGATACCAAGTTTAAAAAGATCGAACAAGAATCCTCTGAAATATTACGAATTTTAGTTGTGAAATGGGGCAAACCTGACTAGCTTCTGCCCTATTCTAACCCATTTTACAACTAAAAATCGTAATATTTCAGGCATTTATTAATCGATCTTTTTAAACATGGTATCATTTGATAGGGAATTAAAAATGCTGAATAAAAGAGTACATGAAATTTTTTCATAAAATTAACTGTTTTTCAGTAATTTAAGTTTAAAAAATTAAAATGGCCGCCATTTTTTAATTTTAAGATGAATCAATATGAATTTTTGTTCTAACATTTTTGTATTTTACCTTAACCTATATACCAAGTTTTATAAAGATCGGCTGAAAAATTCCAAAATAAAAATGTGTATGTAAAAAAATACAAAATGGCGGATATCTGGTTAACGACGCAGTTTTGGAAAAAAATATATTCCTTATTTTCTCTTTATTTTGACCCATAGAATCATTTCTTGTGTTTTGTCAGTTCTACGGGACACTCTGTATGCATTTAGATGTAATAATTGCAAACTACCCAGTATCTAGGAAGACTTCGTTACACACGTGTACCAAATGACCTCATTTTTGCCTGTATACACTTCAGGTTCCGATTTATAAGTCATAAAAGCATCACTATTTTTAGCTCGGATTGTAAAAAGTAGAGATTACTTGTATACACGTGCTGTTACATATTGTTTCGTTGTTGCATCTGATATTAATGTTCTTAATTTTATTTCCAGGAGAACAAATGAACGCGTTTTTGAACGAGAACTGGAGAGAAGTTTTGAAGGAGTTCGGCCCAGCTGTTATTGAAGCCATCAACCAAATAATCGTGCTTATCACCAACAGCATAGCCGAGAAAGTTCCCTACGACGACATTTTCCTTAAATAACATCCTTGTGATATTCCCTGTCAATAGCTGTGATTCCGTATCTCTTACAAGTTCTCTGGGCGCTCTTTGAAGTTCTTTAACTCTTGAATTGGGATTAAAAGATTAAAAGAGGACTGAGGCAAAGTTTGATGTATCGCTGACAAAGTGATAACAGAATTTGGATCAGTTTTTAATTTATTAATTTATATTGTTAGAATAATTCAAACTGATTGTTTTGTTAGCTTGTTGTTATTGTCTACAGTTTGAGTTTATTTGATTGTTTGGATTTCAATGCCCTATTTAAATACAAATGTAAAATTTAATTATTTTAATAGCTATGTTTAGCGTTGAAGTTTAAATTTGGTTAATTTTGGCATTGTTTTAGGTTCAAATATGCAAATCCGGCTAGCATTTATGTTTAAATTCTTCATCAGAAAAATGTGGATATTTCTAAGACACGAATTACTAATTAAAAGTCTTTAATTTATTTCCTTGTTCTCTTGTAGATCCAATGTACATTATTCTTGTAGATATTTAGAGATTTATGTCCGTTTTGTATTGTTACTTTGTTAGTAGTCTATTCTTGTCTAATAAATTATTTTAAGCCTTTTTTTGAAAACTGTATTTTCTTCCTAAATAAATTAGGTTAAGATGAAGTACTTTAATCATATCCCACTTCTATCAGAGTCTCTTAGACAATTTTTTCACAGCCTTTTCCCATTAATTTTTAGGTCCTAGATAATTTTTATAAGAAAAAACGGTACTTACGTATTAAACGGAGGCCACATTTTGTCAGCGCGCTGCGGCGGTTATGTTAGGTTGGGTTATCATAATAGAAAGTATAACTCGTCTGGTATCGATTCATAACGAAGCGAGGAAAGTCCTACACACATAATATTTACGATAACCCAACCTAACATAACCGCCGCAGCGCGCTGACAAAATGTGGCCTCCGTTTAATACGTAAGTACCGAAAAAACCAATATCTGTTAAAGATAGCCTATTAAACTTTAAGTGAGAAAAGATAAACATCTAACTCACTTTGTTTACACAAAATTTAAACAAACAGTAAAACTGAAACCGCAAAATATTACAATTTCTTTCCAAACCATTTTGTAGAGCTAAAAAAAAATAATTTTGTATTTTGGAGCAAAGTTTTACACCTAATGGTTACGGAGATAATTCATAAAATTAAAATTTACAATTCCCATTTTATTCTTTAAAACACTGTTGTAGTTTGCTTGTTCATAGATATATTTTAATCAAATTTATTTATTTCATAACAAGCTATCAATATTTCAATAAAAGAACACTCTTCAATACCTTGGCTGGTACAAAAAAAACACTCTCCATATTACAACAATGATAGTATTGCAACGCCGCGCCAGCCCCACCTAGCTCACTGATTGAGTATGCATACTGAATTACATCGTCTAAATCGTGCAGAACTTTCATTAAAGTAAGTACTATTATACATCATTTTAAAGATAATGAAAGCAGCTACAACTTTTGTTGCAAACATATTTTCATAAAACGTCAGCGAAAAAAGTTAAGGTGACAAAAATAAATTATATGTTCAAAAATATATAAATCTTTACATTTTTATTCAAATAACTAACAAAAGGTAATAGTTACGATGAAAGTTAACTGAACAGGATTGTAGGAAATTTTATGACAAAGACAATACAACTAATTGCAATTCAATATGGCGTTTAACAATCGAGAAAAACGTGATTTACGAAACCCTTACACTTTATATGTTTAGGGGCGCACAAGGGGGGATACAAGAGGGGTGGGGGCGGGGAATTTTGGCTGAACACTTGTCTAAATGGTAATAGTCGATGGGCAAAAAATCAGCCTTTCACTAATTACTTCCGACACAATCCCTTTATTGACTGGGCTAGTAGCGAAATGCATAGGTTGACAACAAACATCGTACCCAAAGAACACAAGCAACAACAAAAACATAGGTAAATCCAACATATTTACATGTTACATATTAACACCAAGATTAAGGTGATGTTATGGTAATTTGTTATTTTTGCTTTCTCCTCCTATACATAGTACAGTATATAGAGAAAGTTTTCTTCTAAATCTTCAAATTTGAGCCTTGGGTGGGAATATATGTTTTGCCCACCTCCTAACCCAGTAAAGTGTTTTTTTAAACTATTCTATGTTGGCCGAAGCCCAGAAGGAAAATTAATTTTTTGTTGCCAATCGTCCCTCTGTTAAATTATAAACTTTAAATGCTCAATCGTAAAATTGTTTTACGTATGACATTTGAAACAGGTATGTTACAGAGAAGCGCTGTATTACCATTAACCATTGATTATAGTATATTATTGGATACTATTGTATCAGTAGTCAAAGTTTTAATTCTCGTAATATTTTACCTCAAAGTAGTTTTTAAAGAAAGATTTTGCGGCAGCTAAATATATTAATAAAGTTTTAAAAACCGAACACGTTTCTTAAACAATATTTTCCAGCTGAAAATGGAATTTAATTTCACAATTGTACGGTAAACTTTAAAGGCGTGTGAACTAGAGCCATACAATATTTCTTAATAAAAAATAATAAAAAAACTCTGTATTTAAATTTTAGTTGCAATACATTATGAAATGAAATGAAATGAAAACGTTTATTTATCCCAAGAATTATAAACTAAAACAGAGAGTAGCTATACAACTTAACAGTACAATATTTCTAAAATAAAATAAAATTTGCCTTACTTATGGTTATTTGGAGTATATTTATAAATCATGTTTACAAATTTATCTTTTGATAAAGGGATAATGTAAACAATAAATATTTTCGAAGTAGCGTATGTCGCATTATAATAGAATAATGCCTTAAATATATCAGACGCAGTATCTCGACAGACTGGTCAGTTGTTGGTCACTTACAAAGAGCGGGCTCTTGCAAAATACCTCTACATGTATCAACAGTTACAGTAACATCTTTGGTTGACTAAATACTACCTGTCAACGAAAATGAAGAAAACTTCATTACACAGTAATTAATAATGTGTGTTTAATATAACTTAAATTAAGTATTTTAAAGTCTTTCACGTTGTTTAGCATCATTAAAACAATAATAAGACTATTGCGCAGTTTTTTATTGAATTGATAGGCTTATTTGAATTTTTAGGAATTTTATTTTACACTGTTCTTAGCAATCAAATTTTAGAGTGTAAAAAATTCTATAAATTTTAAAAGATTGCCAAAACAGAATTTTGGTATAACTATACATACCTTTTCTATGTATTTTTACGAGTATTCAAGAGGCTATGACTTTGTACTGCTATTTTCGTCATTACAGTAAGTACCCATCACTGAATTTGATTATTTTTCATTACTTGTAGAAAACTTGGAAGTAGTTGCGCATTATTTTGATTTGTACCAATATACCAGTCAATAGTTGCATTATACTCGTGATATATCAAAGTTTTAGACTATTGCATAGTTTATTTCAATGGATGTAGATAATTTCATGAGTAATTTGAAGTAGATTGTTTATTCAAGGATATACAAATTTCAATTCAATTAGTTTGTACACATTTCTTTTCTCAGTAATTGCCAGGACAATTTACTTTTTCATTTAGGCGCACACAGAAGCCAAACAACCATCCATTTGAGTTTTATGTATGTGTGTGTCAGTGAACACGATGATTAATTAATTTGGTTGAATCCTGCATGAAGTTGGATATACTTAGAAGTGCTCGCGGATCATCAAGACAGTTTTGCCGTGGCGAGGCTATATTAATTGTATGTAGTATCATTTGGATTTTTCTAAATATCCATTTAAATCCATTAAATGGTGGGATAAATATCCATTTTACTTTCACCGGTGTGAATGCGTATTTAAGAGTATAGTATAGGATTGTAGATTGATGCTTCACTTAATTCAACTCAACCGTGTTTAACATTTCCAGAACCCTCAATAAGTTGATCATCCTTGACTGTGTCAAGGAACTATTCGCATATTCGACACTGCCAAGACCAGTGCAATTGAAAGTCTTTCGTGTGATATCTTCTTGGAAAACCAATCCATTCTAGGAACATACCTTCAGTGACAGAACACATTGGATAATTAAAAACTGTTAAAGAATCGATCTTAAATGCGTGAAGCGACACCATTGCTATTATCATAATTAAGGCAGTGACGGACACCTGACTATGGATGCAAGACGACTCTAGAATGGAAGGGAGACCTTTGTAGCTTTGCTACTGACTAAGATCAGCTGTTTCATTAGCCAGGGACATTTATTAAAAAAACCCAATGGACTTAAACTTGATATCTAATACTCCTGATGGTTTTCCGGGTCCATCCATTTTGATCCATTCTGAGCTCTCATCTGAGTATTAAGAGGATACATGACATCTTGTTGAGTAATGCAGCGATAGCATTATCAGCTTAATTGATTGTTCAAGGCTCATTTTGTCACGAAATGCCTTGACAGTTCTACAAACTCAGGTTCGATTTCATCCTGCAAAAACCCGTCTTCAAGGGCTCATAACCAGACGTCAATCTCGCCAAAGCCAGACTGTATTGTAAGCATATTGCATTACTTTTGCCCCAGATACTTTGTATGTGAAACCTCGATAAGAAGACCCTCGATAACAAGTCACCCTTGATAACAAGTGTCATTTTAAAATCCCCTTGAATTTATTTTACCTCAAATCACATGTTATTGCAAACCTCAATAAGGAGTCAACCTTGATAACAAGTCTCATTTAATAATCCCCTTGAGAGTCTTGTTATCAAGGTTCTACTAATATGAATGAAGTGCAGACCCCCTAATTTTATGATTATTTTGTTGATGATGCATTGTATCCACAATTTTAGTTTCTATTGGAAATTACACTCCAAATACGGTAGATTTACGTATTTGAATCTTTAGAAAACCATAAAGTGAAGATTTAATGCAGCAAATGTGGAAGCGAACCAAAGTTAATTTAGACAATGATTGGGTGACTTGGATGAACGGACAAAAGGGAATGAGGATTGAAACTGTCGAGAATTATTTTTCTAGCATTGATACAGATTTGTACTAAATCCTATGTTTATGTAATTTCCTCGGCATACCTTAACTGTTTCCCCGAATACATTTCAATATCTCAAAGTCAATGCGTTTTAAGAATGTGGAACATGTGTAAAATACTTTGCACTTATTTCAATTCAATGCTAAAAAAATTATAACTTTTTACGTGTATTTTGGGTTTGTTAAGTAAAGTGTCTGGTTTTGAAACAAACATCTAAAAAGTTACCGTAAAGTTAACAGCTCTTTGGTAATCTATTAAATGAAAGTTCCCACCCAAGAACAAAATCTATTTGGGTGTTGGGGTTGTTAAACTACCATGCTGTTCTTAGATGAATGGTCTAAAATCCATAAATCAGCTGATTTCCCACACTTCTTTTATTATAATGGCTCCCACACAACTCTGATACTATGTGTTTCTGGATATAATTCCACAACGACATCGGAATCTGTCTTACAGGGAGAGTCCGAAAAGTATAAATTGGACTCCAATTATTTTATACTCATTTAACAAAATCAAGCGAATCTTACTATTTAACTGTGTATAGAAAATGCATGTTGCCCTAAAATCCTTTTGCAATAATTTGACCTATACATTGGGCGAATAAACTGTTGTGATCCTCCAAATAAACAACGAACTAATGGTGGTAACGGACAGTCCTGGAAAACGCACATTCTTCGAAGTGTATATTTCGAATTTCACTGTATAAAACAACGACATGAGTTTAACGGGACAGTACAAGAAATATGCAATGTCCCCGAATCCTTTTGTAAACTTTTGACCAAGAAATCGAAAATTAAAATAACCAAACTTAAAGTGTAAAACAATATATCTTTAATGAACACGGTTTACAAATTATTTTACAAAATGTTTACCAAAACATAGAATAAGCGATAAATAAACCTATTTATCAGTATAACGACATGATCGTGTAGGAGCAGTCCCAGGAAATTCACTTCGTCCTCAAATACCTATTTTCTCTTTAGACCTAATGTATCGAACCTGACAAATGTTGCAGTGTGAATCAACAACACAACATTGATACATTTAGTGTCAGGAAATGCTCGTTTTCCTGGAATCATTTTATAACCTTTTGACCTAAATGATATGACTCCTGCTGTTCTTTTTTTAGCACTCACATAAACTTCAATGTTTTCCTTTTGACGACGTATAGTGAACACACTCACCTATTTCAAGGTGTCAACTTAATCTTGCCAACAGTCTACATTTCACCTTAACATCGAATGAGCCAAAACTAACCCATATCAACTTATCTTATCTCAAGGAAAATTCTAAAAACACATTATCTTCGAATCTCAATATCGACATCTAACGAATCTGACGTATTTCACAGTGTAAAACAACAACATAATGACATTCGCAGCTTTTTCGCCCAACCCGCGCCTCGCTAAGCAAGGACAGACTAGGGTATATAGCAGGGAAGCAGGATAGGTCCCTTGCTGTTTGTCGCTCGCCTTGCCTCTGCAGGATGAGGGCCCTGGTTGTCGCCGTACTCGTCGCAGTTGTCGCGCCTGCGCTTCCTGCCCCTGCCAAACTCCGTAAGTACTTTAAAAATATTGTAAGAGTTCTATTAAAAATGTATGCAAATGAAATAAATAGTTTGAAAATATCGTGATTATTGTGACCAATGTGGTGTTGGTTTAGTGTCCCGGACTTCTGCGAAAAGGAATGAGTTAGAGCTTCGACATATACAAAAACAATTTGGGGGATTTTAAAATTTTGTATAGACGTTAACAAAAAAGTTAATGATTCACAACATCACTTAGCTTTTGTTATGTGTTCGATTAATACTTTTGATATGTGTTAATCAGCGATAGTTTTAACTCCACAAAATTCATCTTTATACTTAATACATGAATGGTTTTCTCTCATTGAACCGTTAACCATTTCAACATAACAACAACATTTTACAATCGGGGTGTCACTTCACAGCTTAAGACCATTTTACAGCTGATATAGTGCATCGGCGAATGCCAAATAGATTAATTTCCCATAACCTCTGATTCTTGAGTGATTGGCATTTAATAAATGGATATTCACCGAAAGTTATAAACACTCGGGTGGTATAATTTATTTAGTCTTATTCAGTGAAAAGATAAAGATTTTTGAATATCTGGTGTATTCTTAGTTTTATAGTGCCACTGGATAAAACGAGTACGTGCTGTAGACCTAAATTATATTTTCGATATCATATCCTAGTTTAAACCAATTTTCAAATGTGAAACCATTGTAAAAACAATATTAAATAAACTCAAGACTAACTGTATCGATCTTCAGATTTTTCGTATGGTCACTTCATCTTAATGTTTTAACATTTCAGGTCACTGTTCTTTTAAGCACAGACATACCTATAAGGATTTATATGTTTTGCCCTAAATAATTTAATCGATTATATTGATATTGATCATACAATATTGATTATTTATTGATATTGGTTATTTATTATATTGGTTATATTGATATTGACCTTTAATCTTCTACGGGCAAGTAGTCGTCCATAGTTATAAATGTTTTTACTTGAACTGTTCTATCTGACATTCGTAACGATCTGATATAAAGTTTTAAATATCGAAATACAAGCCTAAATACTGTGGTTTAATTTTAATAAAGCGATTTGAAGTTTACTTATTGATAAATCTATTTGCGGCTGGTTTATCACGAGCTTAACCACACATAATGTACTGAAAGGGAATATATTTATTGTGTAAACAAACTTGTTTTCAGTATAATAAAGTGTAAATTTTTAACTCACTAAAGAGAAGTAAAATTACTTCTCTGACCAGTAGATAGGTTGCAATCCCCATGTTTTTCAACCAAAGAGCAAGAAACACATAATGTCTTGCAGAATATTAATGAGTTGAGATGTATTTTCAAAAAACACACTGACGTTCTAGTTTTGCTCCAATTAAATAACTAAGTAAACTTTTGAGATTTGTTAGACCACTGGTTATTCAATCGTTATGGTACTGATTTTTGAAACATTAACATCCAATCTTATCATTGCCCATTGAAATGGAAATGAAACAGGGCAGATTTTAACCCAAATATGAGTGAAGAGTGAATGTATACTGTGTTATGGGATTCCTTTTGTAGCTTTGTTACTGATAAACACCAAACTTGATCTTTTAAAAGTTACTGAGCCAGATAATTTATAAGTCAAATGATCAAGGGAAGCTGGATCGAGTTATGAACCATCAAACATGACTGACTTCAATCAATAATGACTTCATCAGTAGACCTATTAAACTGTCTCTACTTACAAACCTTAAGTGCGTGCTGAATCACTGCTCCTTTCCCGTCCATTCATGTTTGCAAGGCCTATAATCAGAAATGTGCTAATGTTCTTTTGCGCACTTGAACCTTTGTGACGGCCAAGGTTTGGCCAGGAGGTGAATCACCGATCAATCGCTTACATTTACATTGATTGATTCCTCTTGGAATGACATCAATGATATTGATGAACACTACAATTAGTTGAGGTAGTACCATAGCAGATTTCAACATATAGCTTGAGTTTTGAACAGTATGCTACTGTGTTATGGTTAAAAATGAAAATGAAAATGAAAAATTCTTTATTTTACCAGGCAAAGTTACCACATGGCCCTCTCTTACACTTAACCTGACAAACGTAAATATAAAGAAATAAAAATACGATGAGATTTCTTAATCAGATATAAATCTACATATTTAACAAATGAAGAACAGATGAAACAAAAATGCAATTTTACAAAATAATAATAATAATTATGGTTATGAAATGGGTAAATTAATTTACAGTGATAGTTACTAACATTTTATTAATTCACGTTTGGGTTGGAATAAATTCAGTTGCGTATCCAATGAAATCGGTGAAACTAATTGAAAGCTCCACTTATATCCAAGCCTTACGTTCTTATTTTTAATAGTTAACTGCAAATTATAAATCTCTCACATTTAAGAGTTCTTCGAATTTAACTTCATTAAACCTAGGCTGTGAGATATAGTGGTTATATAGTTCCCTAATATTCCAAAAGTAACTGGTTCAATTCAGTACCGTGGTCGAAAAAATTGAGCACTCCTCGAAGGTCAGAAAATTAATACAAAAAATAATACTGATCCTACACAGCTGGTTGAATAATCAATCTGTTCTCACAATGTTTGTATAAAGCACTAAGAAGGTATACGGAAGAGAACATGACCAACAGGTACTAATGAAAAAGTTTGTAACTGTGCCAAAACCTCCTCAAGGACTTAAGACAGAAGCACAGTTTTAAGCTTGTTGTCCAAACTTTATCGTACGAGTGCCAAAATTTCGAGAGTAGTTTAAATAAATCTCTTCACACGCCTTAACTGTTAGTTTATTAACAGGGTGGCGTCATCCTGTAATCCAGCTACTAGGAGATTGCGAATTGTGGATATTTATAGGCATGCACTGTAGATGCGATACTCCCTGGTGTGGATTAAAGTCCACACGAGTGAGTACTACTACTATCCACAGTTCTATCCTGAAAATTCTTTTTTTTTCACACATTCACATTTCACATTTTTCCACTGTTGGCCTGACTTGAAGTAATGTGACAAACAATTCCAGGTCTGTGTCCAACAGAGTAGAGGGGGTTTTTTAGTGAGTAGTCTGATAATTTTCAGGAATCTCACACTACAGGCTGGCTACCTGTGTAAAAGCATTTTCCCTCCTCTCCCTAAAAAAAAAAATCCTGAAAATTAGACCAATTCTTATATACCTAGGCAAAAATGTGGTTCGGATTCTACTATAAACTGCAGGTCCCTTTAATTGCCATTAGCTGTATGGGCTATTAAATAACAGCTGTGTTTAAGGAATAAGTCGCTAACAAGACAACAAGATCACGCCACTCATCCTACACTCATCTCCACTCATACTTGGCTTAAAACGCGTACTTTGTATGGTTACCATTTCATTTAAAAAGTATTTAAAACGTAAAAGTCCATCAAAATTGGCGAGTTTGACGGATGTATCGTCTGCCAGTAATGAAGGTCGAGTTCCAAGGTTCGTGTAAACGTGAGTGGCATGCTAATGCACTAGTGTAATCAAGGTTATATACCTCACTGATACCGTATACCTGTATTGCCCTACCTGCTTCCGGGTATAGTGACACTTGCCCTGGGAAGCTGTTGTATATTTAGCTACTGTAAATAAAAAATAAAATAAATAAATCAGACTATAACATACTAGTTTTTTATCAAAATCGTTTGAGCAGTTTTCTTTTAAACCCGATATTTTTAGGATTTATGGAAAAACTCATCACTTAAAATTTAATTTTCTAAAGAGATGCCATGATTAGTACTCACATACCAAATAAATGTCAACAAACAAATATGGTTTCTAGCTTTGTATATCCACATAAATATACAGCACATTCTTACGAAAAACCACTTTTTTAACAAGGAGGACCCAAAAACGGACATTTTTACCCAATAGTAACACAAACATTTTTGATGAAACCCATTAAAGGGGGAGAGAGTGAAAACTACTAGCTTTACGATCTAAAGTATTTCGATTTAGTAATTTTAAGGAGATAAAAAGTTATGATGGAATTGGCTTACATTAGTTTTAGGTGGATCTGAACAATTTAAAACATCGTTATAAACAACGAAAATACTGATCAAACAGGTTTTCAGGTAAATAAAAATAGCTAAATGAAATACTGTAAAGAATACTTGAAACTCACCAAAGAACATTTTTCATTATGTTCAGCCGCTTCAGTAGTCTTACAAGTCTTTCACAATATTCAGTTATAGAACTAAAAATAAACTATTATGCAAACGGAAGCAAATAAACACTTTACATGGTCATAAACCCTTTACATGGTCGATTAGTGAATAAACGTGACAGTCTCAGTAAGGTGGAAGTTGACAACTGGTTCCCGTTGAAATAAGAACCAGTTTCAAGGATGTCTTGGTTCTGCGTCAGCTTTATACAATATTGTAGTCTGACGTTGGTTCTGACGTCACGAGATTGAGCTTATCAATAACATCGGAACAGGAAAACAGACGGAGTTCAAGATTGGCAAGGAAATGAGAATTCACATTTCTGAGAAATGCAACATTTCAATTTTAAGGCTTAGGCCAACTGCTTTCAATATAGTCATTTTGGGAACGAGAAAATGTCGGAACTACTGTATTAGGAACTTCAGTGTCCAATGTGTCTAATGACAGGATTGGGATAGTTATCGTATTTTTATGTTAAACATATAAAACTTTGCTAGAAGCTGTAATGTGATTAAGACACAATCTTGTTTGAATCGTTTTAAAGTAGATTTTGGAAACTCAATGTGATTGTTAATTACGAGTCCAAGATTAAAACATTTTAAACAGGGTGTGTTGATATAGCCTAGTGTTTAGTATCTTGGAGTTCAGTATGAAAGGGGTGGGTTCCATCCCAGATTTACAAAAGATTGAGTGGTTTTTGCGTTTTAGCGAATTTCTCTATTTTTCCTTCGTCTTGTTCGATGTTGTTTGTTGTATGTGTGTTACACATGTTCACAATGATGTACACATTAATTATAATCTTCATGTCTTTTGACAGCCATTTCAGTATAACAAGAAATGAAATGTGACATAATGGAATTTGTAGGGAAAACAATTACTGTAGTACCTATAGTATCATATACTAAACAACAAAAGTTCTTAGGGAGTAACACATACTCTAAATAACCCATACTCTAAGGGAGTATGTGTTATTTATGATAGTATCCTGAAAAATCAAAACACGCCATTAGCTTATAATTTTACAAATACGTAAAACAATTCATACGCAATTAGACTAACTTTTTAGTTCCTACTATCTTATGGAGGTAAAGTTAATTCGTAATAAAAACAAAAATATTAAAAATTCTCGCTTTGTTTCAGCACATTATATGAAGCCATGCCGAAAAAATGACCCAAAGCTGAACGAGTGTGCGCTCAAGCATGGCAAGGAGGCGCTTCCATTTATTATACAAGGTAAGTAACATTTTGCCCTTGAACAAAGAAATAACGCTTAAAGAATCTTTCTGACAAATGAAGCCAATGAAGAAGAATTTATTTCTAGGAAGACCGAACATTACGTTTGAGTACTCTTACTTACAATGAGTACTCTGATTGCCAGTGATCAGTGACGCTAGTTTGGCTTTTCCTGTATATATTCTCACTGGAACTACTTTAGTTGTCACATAAAGATCAGTTTATCTTGATATTTCCTTGTCAAAGGCTTAGAACGTAGTGCCCGTCTGGGCTTGAAGCGCAAACGAGATCAACTTTCTACCTGACAGAGGATTAGAGCGCAAACGAGGTCCGCCCGGCAGTTATAGTTTGAAAATGCATACATACTTACTATAAATATAGTATACTAATATAATACTATAATATAATAATATACTATAAATATATATAGTTAAACGTTTTTTCAGCCAATCCCTAGAATCTCATATAGTTTCTGAAGAGGTTATTAAATCTGGTAAAGTACAGTTAGTTACCAAAATAAAGTAGGTTTCGTAGTAAAAGTGGAACATAAAATGACCATGAAAAAAGAGCAAATACATTGCCTAAAAGCCAAGGGGTTTCAAAAAATAGATAGGAAAAGAAGAATCTAGGTTTTAACATATCAAGGAGAGCGAAAAGAAATAAATACACGTTAAAAGATTTTTTCTAGTTTAGTGTTATGTATGCCCTCATAACAGGCTGGTCTAGTGGTAGAGTGCGGGGCTTCAGTTTTCAAGGCCCCGGGCTCAAATCCCTCCAATAGACAATAGAGTTTATCTATGTGATTGTATCGTGGCGTAGCTCTCTAGGCTTAGCCTTAAGTGATGTGTAAAACGGTTCCGGGCTAAAGTCTAGCGTCCTAGGATGTAAAGGTGTCACAAACAATTCTCATAACTAAATCACATTATTCTCTAAGCTAACCTCTCAAAGAGTCTGTTAAGTTATGAAGGCTATGAACTGTATCGATAAATGTGCATCAAACAATGTAAATGTTGTACTCATACTAATAATCAGCTGTTCTCTCAGGCGACCCAAAGTACGGCATCCCCAAGCTCGACCCCCTGGTCATAGACAGGATCGTGGTGGGGGACAGCAAGAGGCAAGGCAGCGGAGGTCTGGGGTTGGTCTTCACATGTGAGAAGTGCAAGTTCCACGGCCTTAAGGGTGTGCAGGCGAAGGCCGTCAGGTGAGATGCCCTAGGATACTACGCTAGAACAAACGATGATATTGTAGAAGAGTATGAGACAAAGTAGAATAGGTTTGGTAGGAATACCTAATTTGTGATTAAGTACAAAACTTAAAAATGTTAAGTATTTAAGAAGTGATCTTCGGCCATTTTGGAGATCATTCCATCGTTGGGTGTGTAGGGGAATGGAATACGTGCCAAAAAGATTCTAAAATGTGATTAAGAGTTACCTGCTTTGAATTTTTACGAGTTTTTATCATCAGATTTCACTCCTTGATAAAGTGTCAGGTTTACAATGTTAAGTATTGTTATTTATGTTTATTCACCACTTAATTACTACTATTTTATTAACTACTTAACCCAAATCTCAGGCAGCCATAAGCCCATATTTTAATAACACCAAAGCATGGGTTCATCAGGTAACGAGATCTGTATCCGTGTGTAATTTCCTACAATACAATTTCCTAAAATCAACACAACAAAAGATAGACTTCATAGGTTTAAGCGTACAATTTGCAGAGTTTTAAAAATGTGTCATAACCTTTTACTGCCTACTTAGAATATATTACAAACATGTAATGGTTAAAAGTAATCTTTAAGTATTTATAGTGTAAAATGTCTTTAACTTTTCTTAAGGAATTTTTTTATACAAAAATCTAAACACCCATTTAAAATTACTGTTTTGTGCGTTGGGCACCGTAGCTTCATCAACATTTATCTACAGTCCGTTAACTTTTTTTGGATTACCTGCCTGTTTCTTTTTTGCTACACGTTTATATATAGGTACAGATAATATTTTTGTAGTTTTGATTTAATTTTGTGTCTTTCATTTTTGGTTTGGTATTAATCGCCCTCAAAACCAGTTTACAACCGAAAAACGCTTGCAAATGAAGATCGTCTACTAATTTAAACTAAAATCACAAAAACCCTGAGAACCCCACCTTGATACCTAATGTGTAAGGTACACGTGATTAAATTTATTTAAAAAGAAGAGGTTACAAGGCCAACTTGAGATAATCCGCAATGTTTCCCCTTGTGTGAGGCAGGTAGGCTGCTAACACCGAGCAAGGGCGTGTACAACAAGTGTTTTAGCTTCAGCATATATCAATAGAAAGGCTATCTTGTTCGTAAACAACCTATTGTTGTTACGCAACCACGATCGAGTTATCACTGGTACAATCAAAGGGAAGTCTCATGTTATTACGTCTGTGCGCGCTGTTTACAATGATAAATTTATGAGTTCGTGTTTTATTAGTATTTTTTTTTATTTCCTAAAACTTTGTTGGTGTTAGGTATAAACTGGAACTGATATAGCCGAACTTGGAACGTAAGCAATGAAAGCAAAAGTAAATAAGATTGTGATTTGATCAACCGGTTACTAGATAGCCTATACATTGTTGCAGCTCTACCGTATTTATATTACAAACACATAATACACTCATTTTGTAACACAATCTGATTATTTTTCGATCCATGTCCAACAAGTACTTTAATGTACGTTTTTTAAACAACGATTGTTTCAGTAGTAAAATGCAAAAGCCTAATTTATAATCGTAATGCAATATTACAATAGAATGTCTATGTTTTGGGGTAAATAATTTATTCAAAACTTTTCCTCTAAAAACTACAACAAAGTAAAATAAACTATGATACAGTTCATGATATAGTTGACGTGATGAGTGGTGGACATTTTTCTACAAGCGTTTCCAAAAAGAAGACATGAACTATAAAAAAGTCCCCTAAGTTTTTTTTTCTTACGTTATTGGACGACAAGGGTATAACGTAGAATAAGACATCAATCCATTCTTATAATTAAAACGAGCAAATAGTTTTTGGTTTGATTTCAAGTGGGGTCGATTATGGTGGCCAAAATGTAGTTTTGTTTTCCACCATTGAAAGAATTTCTATAACAAAAAGTCGACGTTGGAAAGAATCAAAATCCGATTTGTTCCATTCCATAAAGACGATGTAAAAATTATCTACAAAATGTTGGTGTTCATGATGAAATAGATAAGATACACTAGACACCTGGAGAATCGATTATTATATTTATCTTAAAATGTGGATTTTGTCTCAGGGTTGACTTGAAGAAGCAGCACATAGAGTTGGAAGGCTCAGTACCCAAGCTGGACATCAAGGGCAAGTACACGGCTAAGGGTAGAGTGCTAGTCTTGCCCATCGAGGGTGCTGGTGACGCTGACCTCACGTTGCGTGAGTATTTAAAATATAATATTGACTTGTAGAACATATTAATGGAAACATGTTAATTGATTCAAGCACCAGTCAGTAGCCTAAATATATTTCCTTTATTAGCTGACGTTACTTTGAAATGAAAATACATGGCTAAATTGTGATTTGATTTTGATATCGAAAATGTTAAACAAATACCATGCAAATGTGGTGCGTTGTGCTTTGTTAAGCCAATTTGGGATTTTAGCTTGTGAGTGGTAGTGATAAAACCCCGGAGGGACATTTTGTGATTTTATTTATTTTCCCATTGGCAATTTTTTTTAACATAGTTTTTTAATAGCCAATGCAGGATTTTAGATCCACAATATTATGTTATTCACTATATTTTAAATTGTTTAGTTACTTCTGAGAGGACTTTTCTCTTTTACCACTTACAAATCATTTCCTATTCACAGTTCGTTTTAAGACCTAACACGCTGAAATTAAAACTCCCTCACTTATATGATCTGACTTATTTTCTTTACAACCCACTACACAAGTATTCAATTGCCCCCTCTTATGGATTATTTCCTACCCTACAGGCAACCTCAGCATAGTATACAGGACTGACTACGATCTCAAGAAGGGTAAAGATGGCAAGGACCACGCCAGAGTCAAGAACCCCAAAATTGACTTCAAAGCGGGCGGCTTTCACATCAAGCTGACCAACCTGTTTAAGGGAGACGAAAATCTAGGTACGTACTATGGTTTATTTTGTGCCTTACAATAGATTGCTCCCCTCAGTGCAAATATAATTATTTATATAATTACGTAACAAAAAATAAATTAAACTCACAAAGCGTGAACGGTAAAAAAATTAGATTTTAGGAAAACTATCCGAACCGTAAACTTCTAATATATACTGTTTGATTGGATAGCCACACATTAAAATGGTCATTAAAAAGTCACGTTATATATTCATTCAAATACTGTTTCAAAAATATGACAATGGACTCCAATACTTTAAGTTTAGTATACTAAACACTTTGGTATTTAAAACAGTGTTTTAAACTTTGTGCTTGGAAAAAAACATTTCATTCAATAGCGTGACATAACACCACAATACCAGGATCATCAGTATTTTAATTTTGTTTAACAGTTAAGATTGTTTTGTACAAAATAAAAAACTTAATCCGTTGAGGATTTTTTAATTATGTATTGCAATTTAGTGGTTCTATTTTATACTTCAAGGTCTTAACTATAATTTAGTTATGGTTAAAAATTCACTCTATGTAATTGATTTTTTAAACAGTATGCAACTACTGTTCGAATTTTAAATTTAAATAATAAATGTTGTGTAGGATGTAATCTGGAGTCTCTTATTTATATAATTTATGATCTTCAACTGAAGACAGTCACAGAATAATAATTTGCCAGGTTCAGTGCATTTTTTAGACTATATCCTCAATGTGGGAGTGCACCTAAATGCCAAATGGTCATTCACCAATACAAATGGCCAGGGCACTTAATATTTCTAAATGTATAGCTTGAGAGTGATAAAAATTTGTTTCAAACACGAACATACTCCAAAATTCTTTTGTGTCCATCTACAACCTATACAGTAGGCCTACCCACTTTATGATAAGATCCATAACCTCCTATGAAATTTGAACGTTGTCATGGTGACTCTTGGCTGTTACAGGTAACAACATGAACAACTTCCTCAACGAGAATTGGCGGGAAGTAATGGCAGAGTTTGGACCAGCTGTTGTGGAAGCAGTGTCCAGGATAGTGACGTTGGTGGTCAACAACATCGCCGAGAAAGTCGCCTATGACGACATACTCATCAAGTAGACCAAAAGACCGCACAATATGTCATTGAATACTTGCCATACGTAGACATCTGGGATGAAAATGAAGAGTTGTACAATAAAAAATAGTAGCAACTTCATTCAGTCTCGCTCTCTGAGACAAATTTCTTCTGTAAATAAACTTAGTGTTGGTGCAAATGTGAAGGACATGTGGTTTAAAAACAGCTAATTCGTCTTAGAATTTTCACGAATTATTTTAAAGGTTACAAAAACTGTTTTGATTATTTGATCGTATACATCATAACAAAATGCAATGTGAATAAAATTAACAATTATTTCTAAACTGTAATTTTATAACAAGATAGATGTATAATGCATTTCAAAATTCTGTTTCAAAATGTTCATAAATTTTACAAAATTTGAAATGTGTATAGAAATTTTCAAATTTTTAAGAAATTTTGGTTCTAATCATATAACGATTTCGGTGATACCACAGATCCCATAGATTACCATAGATACCTTAAGACGTGGAAAATAGTTTTAAGCTATAACATAAGTCATATTTTTAGATTTTAATTTGTTATTGTTACGTAATAAATTATTGTCATTCGTACAGTTACGATTTTATTGTGGTTTTCCCTTTCCTAGAGACATAACATTGAATTGACTGTCAATTTGTTATGCACTTCAAAATATGACCTGTAATGTTAGCAGTTTTTAACTCTTTGAAAGTGTAAAAATGATTCTAAAGGAGGCTTTTTAGGTGTCTCAAAGATATTTATTGTCTTGTTTGAATATCACCTATTTACTCGTCAGCCTAGGTTAATGTAGAAATTAGTGATATGTTATCGTGTAATGTTTTTTTTAATACTATGCACCATAAAGAACCCAATCCAGAAACAAGTTAAGGGCAAGTCCAAATAGGCTTCATGTTGTAAATGTGAAAAAGGTTTTAATTTTAAGAGGAATTTCATTCAAAGTTGTCTAATAAAGACGTTTATCGACTGCCTAAAACATTGAAAACCAAAACAAACTACAACAAACAAACCAAAACTAGCCTACAACAAACAATCAAAAAGACAAATCAATAAGCAATCATTAATTAATTGCCTCTCTATCAGAATCTTCCGAGAGAGAATATTTAAGCAACGGAGCATTCAAGAATGAAATCCATCAGTAGTTCGTTAATATAATGTCTCAATGATCTTCATTATCTTTTTTGAAAACGTACTACTAAGTTAAAACACTCTTATTTTGAAAATATTGTTTAAAACTTCTCAAAGCGTTGATAATTTAAGCCTTGCACATTTCTTTAACTGATTGTAAGTTTGGTTAAGGTAACAATACTTGTTAAACAGTGATGCTTGCTTTAAAGCCTTTCTAGTTAATGTAAAGTCACGTTATATACCTACTTTTGTGACGTCATACTAACTAGAAATACACATAGAAAATTTGACACATGGATATGGGGTTTTTGTACCTGTATGTTATTAAATTGTTGCCTCCAAATTTTAATTTGCTTTTTCAAAAGAGTTTTTTAATTTCATTTAAATAAAATTATACTGACTGCTTTTACTCAAATACAGATTTAATCTTATTAACAGTGCAATGAAATCGTATGTCACCATCATATTGAACAGTGTTTTACGAGATTTGTTTGTTGAAGACTGTTTAATTTTATTCATTTATCTATAACTAGTAAAGTAATGTTTCTATACAAAAAATCTCTGTTTTACAAAAAAATAGTATATTTTTGTTTCGGGGTTGACATCTCAACTGTCAAAACCAAGTGAGAAACGAAACATGTCATGTTATCACGTAAAAAGACGTGATATCACTGAATTCAAAGTGAGAAAGCTTTTAAGATTGAGCGTCGTTGTCTCTATTGCTTGTTGGTAAGTCCCTTCTTTTGTTTTAAATGAACCTGTCTTCAAGGAAAACCCAAAAGATCGCAATCGATTTACATAACAAGTCCCGTTTGTTGTTTTTTGTCAGACTAGCTGCATCTTCTTTCCTCAATATTTCGTTCTCCGTGTGGGAGTTCAAGACAGGGTGTGGTGACTGTTTTTGTGACTCCAGTTCCAATAATCCCAAGTGTAAAAACAACAACTCCATATTTAATTCAAAATGTAGTTTTTGACCTTCGTTGTCTCCTTTCTAATCTAGTCACATAAATAAATTAAGCGTAAATTAAAGCGATACTAAGTTACCCACCTATGTTATTTGAAATTAGGTGTCCATGTGATAGTGGGTAAACTTTTGGACATTTTATTAGAGAATTAACAGAAAGAATGGTCTTCCATCTTTATAAATAAATTAAATCGTAGGGTGTGTAAAAGCCATTGTAATATATAAATTACTGAATTACAGCTACACAGTTATATTATTGATCCCAACCAAGACATAAACAACTGTAGATGAAGTGTTTCTTTACTCTATGTTTAATTAACAATTTGGTAATAATTTTAAATGTATCCTTAGAATACCAATATTGATAGCCAAGTTTAAGAGTCAGAAAACATACTTTTGTATGATAATGACGTTAGAAAAGTACATAAAATGTTTAAAATAAATGTCTGCTTTTAAGATCAAAATCATCATTGACTAATTGGACAAAATTAGCTATAACACAAATATTAATGCCAGTACATCATTAATGTATGAAGTATTTTATGTGGTGTAGTAACATCATACTTACAACATTATTTAGTGCAACCATAATATGAAGCCCTTATTGTTCTAGTATATTTTTTTCTGGGTTATTAAGCAATAAGTTTATTCATAGATGCCTACGGAATCATTTTAGTCTACAGACCGACTAGATGTGTAGTAAATGTGAAGTGATAGAATTTTTTAAAGTAAAAATAAATAAGTATATATTATTTTGAAATTTTACAAAAAATATAAGAATACATTAAGTATCAGTTTATACAGGGTGATTGGTACTCAGTGTGACAATTGTTTTTGGTGTAAGTACAAAGTAAACGTAGTGTGATGATGCATATAAAAGGTTCCAAGTCTAAAAATTAGCTTCCCATAGAATTATTTTATGTTTAAAAAAAAACTATGTTTTTAAACTTAATACAGCAATTCTCAATTACCTGTATATGGATTTGAGTAGATAATGCCATTTTCGTGTTCTAAATTAAATTTTATATAAGAATAATAGAAAATGACGGGAGATCAGTTGTAAAAATTCCATTGTAAATAGATTCAAAGATAAAAATTAAGATGTTTGATCAAAATTAAAAAAAAACATTGGCCTTTGCATTTTTCCACACCCTGTATACAAGAAAGTGTCCGAATATGGTAAAAACTGCGCCATTTTATAAGCTTTCCAACCATATGCTACATCATTGAGCTTTATGTCTGCTTATGTACGCTTTAGTGGTTTGAAGACTACAAAACATGGTGTCTTTAACATTTAAAACATAAAAAGTCGGCATGTATAAGCACAAGTTGTTTTTTTTTCAGCTTGAACAGTAAAAACAGTAAAAAAGTTCCCTGTTTTCTGGCATTCAAACCCCTTAAACATACAAAAGAATATCTAAACCTCAATAGTGTAGCATATGGTTGGAAAGCTTATAAAATGGAGCAGTTTATAACATATTCGGACACTTTGTTGTATACAGGGTGTGAAAAATGCAATAGACCAATGTTTTTTTTTTAATTTTTATCAAACATCTTAACTTCTATCTTTGAATCTATTTACAATGGAGTTTTTACAAATGATTCTCTGTAATTTTCTATTATTCTTATTCAAATTTAATGTAGAACACGAAAATGGCATTATCTACCCAAATCCATATACAGGTAATCGAGAAATTGCTGTATTAAGTTTAAGAACATATTTATTTTTTAAAAACATAAAATAATTTTTTTGTGAAGCTAATTTTTAGACTTGGAACCTATTATATGCATCATCACACTTCATTTACTTTGTACTTACACCAAAAAATCTTTGTCACACTGAGTACCAATGACCCTGTATAATTATGGCACTCAAGTTTCGAAATTAGTCTTACGTCCCGAAAGTAGTCACCTGAAGGTGGGCAGTGAAAGGATTACTGACAAAGTTACAAAGTGTGACCTTTCTAATTAAAACTTTAGTAAAGACCAGGTTTAATATTTAATCGTTATTATCCTCTCGACTCTTGCTAAGACGAGCCAAACCTTTCTCCAGATTTTCTATATTGATTCATACAATCGGGATTGAAATATAAAAATGATTTCATAATGTGTAACTATTTTCTCATATTGTATACATACATTTTCTAAATACGAAATTTTAAACAAAAGTTAAAACCCTCTTGGAAGGACCTCTCGAGGACCTCTCTCGAAAAATTAAATTAAAAGCACTGTGATTTTTTTAATGCCTCCCCGCACAAACTTGTGCACAGAACTACAATAACTTGTGAAATATATACATTAATTATATTTTATAAGAAATATGTTATAGTTGATTTGTATATTGGAGTGATGTAAAATGAAGTTTTTAAACATTGTTATCATGTTGCTTATATTCAAAAACAATACCACAAATAAGTGTACAAAATAATGTCTTACTAATTATATAATATAATTATCTACATGGATCACAATATGTCCACAGTAGTATGAGAATGATCTCAGCGCCTGCTTATTTAGTGCAGCAATATCAACGCAGCTACAATGATGGTATTGCATGTACAGTGTAGAAGGCGAAAGATATTGATAGGAAGTTCATTAAAATATGATTTCAGTATGTCCCCAATATTGCTAAGTAAATGTTTGAATCTAGCGTTATTTATAGTTAAATCTGTGCTTCCAAAATAAATAGCTTAGAACCTTTGTGATACCCTTGATCAAGAAAATATAAAATTGTACTAAATGAAATAAATAAAAATATAAATAATGTATTCTATCTATTTATAGTGAGACGTTTTGAATCCTCCATATTTTACACAATTAAATATACAAAATATTCATATTTCACCTACATATAATTGCAACAGCTGTATATCTTATCTTACTACTAATATTATAAATGTGAAAATTTGTGTGAAAGTTTGTGTGTTTGTTTTCTTATTTTGTTTGTTTGTCAATGACGCATTAACTACTGGTCAGATTGGGCTGAAAATTGGTATGGTGATAGCTCACATTCCCGATTACCATATAGACATATTCTTATCTCAAAAATTCTTTCAGGATCCACCCCATTGGCTCTGGAGTTTCCCATGTTAACCTTAAGAGTATTCATATTTAGAGGAATTAAAGAATTTCGTCAGCTGTTTCAACTGTACAAGTTGGTTCTATGCTATTAAATAGCATTAAAAAGTTATAGGGACTACCAAAAGGGCGCAGCACTATTATTTTTTTACAATTACTGTATGACAACAGCTAATTCAAACCAAGCAGCAACAAAAAGCTGTAATACACAATGGGAACTGAAAAAATAGTATTGTTTACTGTTATGCTTATGTTTTTGCTTACTGTATGTTTTTGTTTTATAAATAATTTGTGATATTGTGTGAATATTTGGTAATTTACTTTTTCTATTGTTTAGGTGCAGTGGTAGAACATTATAGCTATGGTAGATGTGTTAGTTATATTAGTTATTAGCATACCGTAAATTAAAATAACAAAATTTTCTCAAACCGTGTCCTTTCCTATTGCAAACACAAAGCACGAGTATGACTGCAATAAGGATTTTATACTGCTTATACGCCAATCCCGTACGAAGGACGGGTACTCTGGTAGTATATCATAAAGCAAAGAAGGTGTTTAAGGTATCTGTTTATTCTGTTTAACACAAAAATACTGAACCAATGGGACTGATATTTTACCCAATGTCATGAAACCAGCAAACACTAGGCGTACCTATTTATAACATTTCTTACACTAAAGCTACCCCCAGTGGACATGCATAACTTGGTGGGTTTAAAATAATTATTGGTTTGTATCCATGACATTAATGCAAATATTACGACTATTTACATTTTAAATTGATAATTATATTAAATTTTCTTTGTTTTTGTTTAGAAATTAATTCGATTATTTTTCTTTGCCATTAAATTTAACTCCATTAAAATTAACTGTCATATCAATGTTTTAAGAAACAAAAAAACCGTCATGTCTTAGATAAATGCTCTAAAGGCCTGGTTCCACAGGATGCGGAATCTCCGCCGTGCGGTGCGATTTTTTCCGCTGCGGAATTAAAACGACACTGGTTTAATGGAGTTCCCATGTGTGCGGTTCCACTGACTTGCGATTCCGCATCCCGAAATTTCCGTTCCGCATGGCGGAGAAATCATACTGGTCTGAGAGCAGTAGCAGTGCGGATTCCGCCAGCGGAGAAGAGCCATCAAATATTGTGACCGTCAGTTTCATTATGTCTTGTGCTGTAAAAAGAGTTATGGATGAACGTTTTTCTTCGACCAAAGAGGAAGAACTTGTCGAGTTGGTGTCTCAACATGATGTGGAAATCGCAAGTCAGTGGATTTCTGAGAAATTAGCGAAGACGTATGCACACAATCACACCAGAATACATTCAATGATAAAAGTAATGTTTTTTTTAGGTCACGTTTACCTATACACAACATTTGAGCCAATTATAAAGTAATACCTATAATCGAAACACCGACTTTCAACAAACTAACTGCTTAAATAAATCATTATAATACATTTAACATAAACTGTCGAAAATGGTAGACCTGACGAACAAGTATCCTGAGACGTTTGGGTATCAAGTGTTGAACGGGATCTGATCGTGATTGGAACCCCTTAAGTTTCGTTAAATAAATAGCAAAAATATTAAGTATTGGTACATACCCTAGTGTAACCGCTAGTTTCATCTCGGCATTCAATGGTTGTTTGTCTCGATTAGTAGCGTTGGTGGGTAAGTCATCTTTGATGAGATCAACCAAAAAGAAAAATTGGTCTTTTGACACACGGAAGTACTTAGTTTCGTTGTAAACTAAATGATTACGAACCAGAATGTTATACGCCCCTTAACTGTCCCGATTCTTAAATATGTCACTTCGGTCACTGCGACTTGACACTAACAAAGATAAAAGATCGACAACATCATCATCAATGTCATCATATAGCATCAAAGCCAAAAGGGCTTTCCTCTTTCTATTCATACTCGTCGCTAGTTTGGACAGAACTGAATCTCCGCAACGTTATTTTCGCAGTCTGTAGAACCACCCCTCTGATTTTCCGCTGCGTAATTTTCCGCTGCGAAAAATTACGCACCGCATGGCGGAGATTCCGCATCCTGTGGAACCATAGCTTAAGACGGATATTTAACTGTATAACATCTCTAGGGGTTGTCAGGTAAATAGTGAATTAGAAAAGCCCTTTTAATAACAACCGTATAATTTCCCCCAATCAAGTACCTCCATAGCAAACCTGTAGATAAAGTATTTATTTTAGTGGCTTCTAGAGTTTATAGCTCAAACAGTTTCATTTATTAAAAATCCAAGAAGGCAATTGGAAATTTGCTTAGTCCGCAGGTTTGCTGCGGCGGGGGTATTAACGTGTTAAATCAGACTAAAAAATATGAATAATTATTTATCATGATACATTTTATACTCTGAGCCTTTTTTGTACGGTTGCTAATATATTACCAATTACTCTTTGCAAACGATTTTGTACCATATAATTAATGCTGTTTATTTATTCTACGGTTGTACTTAACTTTAGTTTCCAGTGAGATCCTTTTCGAGAATATATTTATTGTATACGGGTATATCCTCATCAAACTTGCTAAAAGTCTTAGGATTAGGGTTGTGTTTAAATAGTTGTAAACAATATTAAATATGGTATTTTGGGCAAAAATCTAACAGTAGCCTACATACTAATAAAGTCATTGTGAATTTTACACTGGTCTTGGATATATGTCTAAATTAGTACATACAGTATGAGTTTGAAGGGATAGTGTTTTTGACTTCTGGGAACATTAAGATAAAAAGGAAATTGGTACCAGGTCTAGGTTCACGATAACTACGGTAATAACTTCCCTATATGGTATGTTAAATATATTTCAAAATAAAAACTTCACTTATATTTTTGTAATTTTTATTGTTTTAGCGATGCCCTGGCATCATCAGACACACCAAAAAACTGATGTTTCTGTTTACAATAATAAATAAATAATAGAATATAGTAGTTAAATATAAAAATTATGCAGTCAAACATTTAGGTAAAATTATTAAAAAAATTAAAAATACATAAAAATAAAATCTGAACTAGGTTTAACAACTTACTAAATTTGGAATTTACTGATGTTAAATTTGAATTGAACCATTATTATTTTTTACTAGATTGTTCATTTTATTTATGAATAATGACTCTCTTGCGTTATGTTCGTTGGGTTTTGTTACATGTTTCAGTAATTTAGTATTTTTTAAATTCAAATTGTGTGCTCCGTTTTTAAACAATGTTTCGCTATTGCTGATCTTTCTTGTTGTTGTGTGTTTTGTGAGAAGCGTTTTCCTTGAGTCTAGTTTTTATATTTCTTTTTGTTTGTCCAACATACTTCATCTTACAACTGTTACATTGAATTTAAATAGTTAAAATTAAATTTAAATGGTTGTTGGTGTACAGTAATTTCTCACCACAATGTGCCAAACGTATATCTGACCATGATGACTACGGTAATATATAATTCTCTAATACATAAGAAGAAAATACAGGGTTTACTGTAAAAATAAGTTTATTCGTGATTCACATAAACAATAAATAACAAAGAAATTAATTAAGCGTCAATGATAATATTTGTACAAAGTATATAAAACTAAAGCTTAATCGTTTTCCCCTTAAATACTAAATATATACATCATAAAACTTTCACAAATCACGTTGCATGCTACTATTAGAACACCTAGTGTAAATACACTTTGATATAACAAAACATTCCAACCTATACAAAGTTTATATATTCTGTTTTAAAGCTACTTATTTAAGGCTAACAACAACACAAATCACTCAATTTTAAATAGTAATTTACACAATCACATTAATAAAAAACTTGAGCATGGAAAATTTGAAGGTAGATAAAGTATCTACCATAATGTTTTGCCAAAAGTTATTTGAATAGTATTTTGTATAGTATATACTTACATAAAACATATACAGTAATGTAATGACTGGAGTAAACTTATTTGTGGCTTTCTTATACATTACAGAACAATTGTAATTTCCTGCATTAATTTAAATTAATTGGAACTTCTTAAGGCATATGAAACGATTTTTAATCCATATTGTACTCTAAAAATAATCTGTTAACAAAAAAACTTATTAGTTTGAGCAATGTTCTGAAAAGAAGACATAAAGAATAATTTAAAACTCAACGAATTTGATAAAAAATGACTTACAAAGATTAAATAATGTTGATGTTTTAAGTATTGAGATAGATTACGCATTCATTGTTGATCAAATGGTTTGTGAAATCGATCTTATTAGATTGTACAGCTTATACTAAATCAAGTACATAAATTACTATCATCACATAATTATTTTCACGTTTTACATTGTGTGAAAAATGTTGCTCAGCCTTCAAAACTGCTCAATAAACTCTATGATCTATGACATCATAACTAGTATCACAGTATCGGAACTTCTCCTCCTCCCTGGTATCTTATTTCAAGGAGTTCCTCCTTTTGTGACTCTTTCAACAGAGCTTTCCAGATATTATCCATTACCGGTTTCTTCTTCTTACTCGAGGTAAGCTCTCTCCGGGATCTGACTCAAAGCTTGGTTGGCAAAGTCTGTCAAAACTCCGCTGAAAACCGACGCCAGCTTCTTCTTGATTATGGAGTAGATCTCGTTGGAGTTCTCATTCAAAATGACATTCATTGCCTCACCTGAAAAAAAATATGTAAAATAAATAATAATAACGATAGGACTTACTGGTTCAGTTGCAAAATAAAAATACAATCGAAAATAAAATCGAAGACAGTCTATTCTAAACCGAAATAATATGCTTAACCATTTCTAATAATCAAAATGGAATGTCCGTTTAAATAAAATAAAATAAAATAATAAATTCTTTTATATTTATTATGTGCATTCTTAAGAAAAAAAGTGTGGCGGGTTTCCAGTAGAGTTTTGAATTTAAAATAGTCGTATGAATTTCAGTTCAATTGACCCCCGTTTAGATTTTGTATATATTACATATACAAAATCTAAACGTGCACCTCAATGTGACATACTCACAAAAATCCAAACTTTCACATTTATAATATTAGCAAGATGAAATTCTATAACACATTGGAATGTTCTGCAAATGCATAATCTGGAGTATCAAATTGTAAGTTATATAACATTCAGGTTTGTAAAATCGGAACGTAAGAAGTTAAACGAACACACAAAGGGTTGTGAAGCACGAGTTACAAGGTCATTTACCTTATCTACCGGTTAATTATAGGAAAACGCCCATCAACCAGTTCACAGACTAAATTGCCATTTTAATTTCCCCGACCAAGGTCACCATGTGTTATACAATAATTTAATGATTAGTGCAAATCTGTAGAACAAGAAAACCTTTGTACTCGTTTGGTCTGACAAGTCACATGTGTTGCAAACTAAATAATTTGCAGATAAAAGGTTTTTTCCCTGTACTCAGCTAGTCGATCCTAAATATTATGTAGCTTTGGACTCTAACTAATGTAGTAACAAAGCTACACATAGTTATACTTCTGGAGAACCAAGGTACAACAACCTTTTGTTTACAGTGTGTTAATGCAATTCAACACTAAGCAAAAATAACTAATTTTGAAAAGCTTTTAAAGTATTTAATGATTCTGTCAGAAACATATAAATAATAAGAAACTATCCAAAAATAAACTAGCCTATTCACGCAAATGATTGTATGATGACTATGTTAGTTTTTATCGTTACTTCGAGTCCTCTTAGATTAAGTATTTATTGCTGAGCTCATAAGTGACTTGGCGTTTTCTGCATGAAGTAATTTGTTTACAAGGTGTCATGTTGAAGATAAAACGACCATTAGGTGAAGAAACTCTAGAACTCTGAAGAAACTCTAGTTTTTGCAGAAGAGAATTCCAAAAGTGAATCTGGCAAGTAGAAACTAATGTTCTTAATCCAATATTCTTACTAAACGTTAAAGATACATTTTTAAGCTACTGAAAACTGTTGGCAAAACATCGTTGGAACTAGGATATCACGCTTACAAGCAAAATATCAATAAACAGCATCAATCTTTGTTACGAAACCCTAATCTTTGTTTATGTTAGGACTTATTTGTGTAAACGGGGAATATCATTTAGTCAAACGATGTTTTGCTTTTTAGTTTACATTTCGGTTTTAATTTACCTTTTTATTTTTTAGTTCACGTTCTATATATTGATATATAAAAATTTGAAAGAATGGTGTTTTTGGCCTCTGGGGACATCAAAATGAAAAAGTAAATCGGTCCCGGGCTTAGGTCTTACCATGAGACCTACGGTAATAGCTACTTCCCTATAGGGAAATTCGCTAAAACCTATAAATTATCTACAATAGTTAGTTAAAGTTTCAAAAGTAGCGTTAACTAAGTATGTTTAGTAAAGTTTAAATGAACAAATGTTCTGTACCATAGTGAATTTTTAACATACAAGTCCAGAAGAATTAACAATGATTTATAATATTGCAAACCAATGTTGGGCTAAATTTCGACCTAACCTTTGCAGGTAGTTTAACCAACCTTTTAACAATTATTTTGCAAGTACTGTACAATATGAACGGCATGGTCAAATATATATATTTGCTCACCCAAATGATTGTCACCATCCAGCTGTTCAGCAGGTCTGAAGGAGATTGTTATTGGCATCATGTCTATGTCGAACCCGTCAATCTCCAGATGTTTGACTCCATCACGTGATATCTCCCTCAGGTACACCACCCATGATGACGTCACATCAGCTGTAAACAGGTGATCATTGTTAGCGAATAATATCAACCGTATAATGAATGTAGATTGCATTCAGATATGGAAAGCGTTTATAGTTTTGTCAATAAACGGATTTGAATAACTAACAAAATGTATCAGGTCATATGATAACCATCTGTCTGGCACAGCTGATTTAATTTAGTCTACATTGGAAGAGTAATATATAGCTCAATATATTTTTGTTTGATTCCGTTTATGTAATGTACTGTGTACAGTATACACTCTGTTAGTTGAATATTGAATCAGAGATAGAGAACAAAGTAAGATAGTTTTGTGGGAGAATTTCGTGTTATCGTGTAAAGATTTATAATTATGACATGATATTTTGAAGAATTGTATTGATGATAGTAAACCTACCATGAATCAGATTTCATAGGCACGTACAACTTAAAGATTCAAAAGGACTTAAGAAGCCTATAGGAGCTTCAAGGTTTGAGTTGAATGATAAGTTTATTTTCTAAACTTCTATCTCATGAGTCAGTGAAATCTCCACAACACCAAGGTTGACGTTTGTTTTCAAAGCCATTCTTCTCTTTGAAATTGAAACATTTTTTATTTTATATCGAGTGCACCATGATTATTTGTCATTATTTATTGTTTACTTGTTTAAATACTTACTCATGTTGACAGAGAAGGCACCAGCACTGTGAAGAGGGAAGTTTACTATCAATCCTTCACTGTTGTACTCTCCTGTGATATGCAGGAACGGTGTCTTCCCGGTAACTTCCAGCTTGTTGATGTCGTCTAGAATAGTCCTGCAGAATAAAGAGAACATTTTGGGATTAAAAACACAATATTTTCTCAAATGTATGACTAAAATAGAGATAAGTTATACCAGAAGTAAACTAGTAACACAATAATAAAAGAGTTTTTGTTTCGTCCTTTGAGCGTTTCAAGTAAAAAGTGAAACTTAGACATGAAAGTAATAGATTAGACTCAACTAATGTTAAGAGTTTGAATAAGTAATTACCAAGTTTAAAGAAATTTCCAAAAGTTATAGCCCTTCTCATAGCTGACCGTTGATGAATAAAAATTGTGTGACAGATTATTACACTACTCAGACACAATTAGAACTCGCTACGTGTGCATTTGTTTGCCCAAACGAACAAGATGGTTCAATATTTGAACTTGAAATCTTGTGTGTTGCTAGCCTAGAGTTTAGCGTCCCGGACTTCGGTACGGGAGGAATGGGTTCAATTTCGGTCACACAACACATATGTGTTTGGACCGCTTTGTCTAAAAGCTTCGATTTAGTACACTGCACATTGCCTCCCTGTAAAAAATACCCCTGGCGTCAACATCAAGCAAAAAATAAGGAAAATGACTCACGTGACTTTGGCAATTTCGATGTCTGTGAAGCCAGTGATGACGACGTGCTTCATGTTGATGTCTAAAGTCAGGTTGTGTTCGTCGTGTTTGATCTGAAGGAATGGAACTTCCATCGGGTCCAGCGGGGGTACTCCCAGCAGCATGCTACCTGAAATAAACAACCAGAGAATGTGTTAGAACAGTGGAAGAATAGTTCTCTAGATAATTAACGGATCTTAGTGAAAAAGAAACGATGAGTCGTCCATTTTACACTCGCCCTTAAATAATTTCGGTGTTGTACTTAATTTCTTGGTTAAGCACTTTTAATTTAATATTAATTTTAATGCTAAAATAAACAAGAGAAAGTAAAGAAAATGGAAAACTCAACTAATCTGAAGACTTACCAGATTTGAAGTACTTTAGGACATTTTCTAGACCCTCCTTGACACATTCGTTTAGTCTTGGACTGGTCCTGGAGCATCTAAAGGGCGATACTGTAAACAAAACACAAAAGTTAATAAACACAGCTTAAAACAAAGAATATTCCAAACACAGTCATGAAACACCAGGGACAAATATAATAAAGGAAACAATGTGCGAAACATAGCAATGAAACACAAGAGCCAATACAGACAACATGATGGCAAAGAATATACAAAACGCAGCTAAGAGACACAACAAACGACCATACGAATAGCAAAATACCCCCACCACAGCAAACCAATTACCATTTGCCTTAATTGAATTTAAATTAAATCCATTTATATAACATTAGGTTTAAAGAGGACCTAGGTTTGCTGCAATTTTCATAAACAAGCAAACTACAACATTTTACAATATTCTCCATAAGAATAACATGGGAATTTTTAATTCACAATTTTCACCGTAACCAATAACCATACAAAAACACTTCTATGTACTACATTATTTGTTTTTAAGCTCTTCAAAATGGTCTAGAGAAAAATTGGAAAATTTTGTGTTTTTAGGGTAAAAAGGCTTCTAGGGACATCAAAATGAAAAAAATAAATCGGTCCCGGGTCCAAGTCTTACCATGAAAGACCTACGGTAATAGCTTATTCCCTATATAAGAAATTCGCTAAAACAGGTAACACACAATAGAATAACAGACCACACGCATAGCAAAGAAAGGCAAAAGATATGTAATACAAATAATACTTGTATTTACAGAAACATTCTTTTTAAGTACAGTACTATTATATTCGGATCATTCTAGAACACGTCAACACTTGTTTTGTCTCATAAAGAAATCGTACACTAGACTTGATTGCACTGATGTGAAGCGTCATACGAGTTTCGTAATCTTGACCTTAAACGTGTGTTGTCAATAAGTTGTTAATGTTGCTATTACTAATTGCCAATCATCATATAATTGGTTAATGGGTATCCAATTTACAATATTCATGTCCAGCGCGACATTCCAATCATGTGAGTCAGGTGATACTTTGAATACATCGAAAATGTCGTAGTAGCCAAAGACAGTGATTTTACAATAAGCTTTGACAATAAGTTTTTTTATCTTTAATGAAGCATTCCTAATTATGGTGACTTTTTTAGTTAACTGATCAATTTTATGTTTGTAAAATATACGAATATCATTTCATGCCCCGTTTAAAATAAATCAGTTAGTATTTAAACGTTTCATGTGCTTGACATAAGTACCTGAAACCTATATATTGGAAATGAAATTCGTTGCATTACTGAATAGTTTTTACAAACTTAAACGCCTGAATTAATAGTTTTAGTTAGAACTGGCATGCACCCAAACCCCGTCACTGTACTAACTCTTAGTCATACATTATAAGTGTATAAATATTTCTATTTGTAATTGTCACAATTAGAACTTTGTCACGACAATCAACTTTGTAAAAAAAGTCAGCACAAATGTGACAATGACCAAATAAAAACACAAAAAACTCTACTCCTAATGGAAAGCATAACAAGCAACTAATTGAATCTGATTCCCAAACCAAGCATAAGGCCTGGCGCACACGGTCGATTTTTCGATCGGCCGATAAAAATATCGGCCAAAAATAAATTGCCCTTGATTTATGTCCAGGCGCACACGTGGCGATTTTTTAGTCGGGAAATGTTTTTTTTTTTAGTGCGTTTATGCTATCCAAAAATGGACTTTGTTGAATTAACCTGTGTTTGTGCTCTTCTAATTAGATCAAAGAAAAAAAGAAGACAACTTAAATATTGGGTTCATCCGATAGTAAGTCAGAGACTTTTAAATCGACAGTTTCATAAACTATACACTTTACGTGATGACAGTAAACAGTTCTTTAATTTCTATAGAATGTCTGTTTAAAGTTTCAGTTTTTATTATAACAGCTGTGGTCTTTTTTAGCAAAGAAAACAACACAACTCACAATGAAGTTCTGACTCCTGTGGAGAACAACAAGCAACTGGCCGATTTTTTAGTCGACCGTGTGCGCGGACTGATAACAATCTGTACGTTACAGATTTTCGGGCGACAATCGCCTCGCCTTCGAATCTGTGGCAAAACCCAGATTTTAAAATCGGCGTAATTCTCGATCGCCTGTGTGCGCGCTTCCATTCAAATACATGATGCACAGATCGGCCGATGAAATAGTCGCCTCAAAATAATCGCTCGTGTGCGCCTAGCCTAAGAGATACCGGTACATGAAGATTTTTTACCGGTAAAATAAATTTCTCATAATAGTCAGTCATCATCCCCTTAAAACATGCCATAAAGGTTGTAGAACGCCTCCAATCAGTTTTTATGACGTACAATTTTCACGCTGCTATGTAATAGGTGAAATTATGGCAAGTAATTGCCCTGAAGTAGGCATAAAATGCGCCTTCAGACAATAATAATGTTGAGTTAAGGTAGGATGTATCAATTTAAGCGTTTAATAATCCTCTAATTTGTTTCCTCATCAGAAAATGCAAAATTATCGTTAACTACTTGTAGTACCATTTTAAATAAGCGTTTTTTCACCGTAAGTTAATTTCAATTATTTTTCATTGTTATAATACTTTATTGCTTGCCTGAACCCATAATATTTTTAGCATATTACTATTTACCTTTTTAAATTAGTGTTTTGAATCATTCAATAGCTTTATACGACTATACAAGGCAGGTATACATCATCGTTAGAGTCGAAAATACCATGTAGGTCTTTGGTAGATTATGGTGTTAATTTTATCTGGTCAAAATGGTTGTACTATGGATTGGGAAACACAATGGTACAGTGGTGAATTTTACTTTTGTAATCTTTAACTTCTTTGCCTTTAAACTGAACAATTATAGGCCTAACATTAAAGCAAGTTAATCCTTTTTTGGCAATTTGCTTTCATACAGAGTCGTGGATGACAGAACAAATTGGAATTTCAGGTTGTCCACGAACTTATTTCAACCAATATTATTTGTAAACAACTACATAAGGTCAATACACCCTACTTAGTCAAGTGTTATTGTCAATGTAAGCGATGCCAAGGTCTATAAGCCTTCCACCCAAGAAAGACTCAAATGAAACCACGGATTCGACAGCAAGGAAGTCACCTTATCGTTTGTTAAAACTGTTTATATTGTAGTGTTGTACCATGTAATTGTATTTATGTAAATGAAAAACAAATTGTTTTACATTTTTATCTGTTCTATGTTGTTTTTGGTTCTGGTTTTAGTTTCGCTGGTTATATCTATGAATTTTTAGCATGTTAAATGTAAATGAAATGAAATGAAAAAGCTCCTTTATTGAGGCGAACTGAATAAAGAAGCATTTTCATTAAATGGGTCTATAGTCTTTTTCGATCAGTGTTTGAAAACATTATTCCATTATTATAGCATTACTAACCTTAGGAAGAAGAAGCTTTAAGTATTAAAATAAGGAGAAATATTTATAGTAATAATATTTAGGAAATTGTATCAACATATTAACAAAATAGTCTGAATTTTATTTTAAAGAAACCCACTAATGCAAGGATTAAAAGATGTAACGATTTGCTCACGCTTGCATGTTTAAATAGGGATATGTGTGACGCCCAGTATAATGGAATTAAATACATGAATGTTTAATCTAAATTAACTCAGCCACAAAATGTACTAAATTTTTATTCTGATCAGTCACATTAATGTATTTTTTTCCGTTATTCAAATGTTGTTATGGATAAATACTATGAGTAGACAACAAAAACCTCCCCAATTAATATTTGACACCTAGACAGATTCGTTACTTTCCACAGCTAAATCCTTTGTATGCAAGAGATTATAGTGCTAGCCTTCAAATCTGAATGTCACCGGTTCGATTCCAAACGAGATAGTTTAATTGGGCTATATTTAATAGAACTGTTTGGAGTTAAAATTGTCACGAGATCAGGGTATTGAACCCTCTTACGAATAATGTAAAAAATACAAAACTTATCTATTCTTACCTGTAGGGAACGCTTCATATTTCAGCAGCAGGTGTACCACTACCACGAATATCATCAGCAATGTCTGCGCTACGGCCATCTCTGCTAGTGTCTACTACTTGAGAACTCACACTGCACACTGCGCCACTAACTCTGTAAACACAACACCCTTCAGACTCGCTAGAATGTTCTATAGCTGCGCACAACAGTCTAGTATAACCTAAGATAAGGGGTTTCCTAATGTGAGGGTGTTTACGTCATGGAGATTAGGGAACGGTTGTGGAAGTCATTGATTGTTAATACTTCGCCTGAGGGGGTAACGGTCAGGGGGTCTTTCCACTTAGCTTTCCTGCGTTGTTTCTATAGAGTAAATTTGTTAGAGTTCTATTTATGTGCTATGGCTTGGGGGAGTGCTGGTTTAGGGGCTAGAGCACGGGTCTTCGGTCACTGAGTTCCCGGGTTCAATTCCGCCGGATAACAAATAGATCTTTTCTAAGTGATAATACCGCAATTTCTAGGTCTAGCCTGATGTAATGTGAAAACCAATACCGGGCTAGTGTAAAATGCGCCATGAAAAAATGTACCTTGACTATTGCAGTAATATTCTGCTTAGTAAAAGTTATTTTATATTTGCTTATAATAAACCTAAATAGTTTACTGCCTCAGAGTTTAGGTTTTTCGAAAATTTACAAAGAAGGTTATAGTTGATAATATTAAAATACATATTTTAAATTAGAAACTATTTTATAAAATCTTTGTATTTAAGTTTTTAGAACGTCGAAAACGTTGTCTTCCCAAACAAATCTGAAGAAAAAGATAATGCATTAGAGTTTTAGCTGGTTAAAACCAATCGGATTTATTCTGTGACCTAATTATATTTACTCTTCATTTTGGAACATTTTAACTTGTGTTTTAACAATATTGGCAAACATTTCAGTACAGAAATGTTGTTTATTCCTTAAATACATTTTCAAGGTCAATACAGTACATACTTTCAAGAACACGATTAATGTGCTGTATAGGATTTTATTTATAAGATTACCACCTATTAAGAATACAAACCAAGTTCAGTCAGAATCTTTTAATTAAAGCCCCAATGATCAGTAACAGCTGGGTCCAGTTTCGAACCATAAAAAAGCTACTGACACAGCGTCGAACCAGCAACCTTTTGATTGCTATGCAATCACTCTAATCACTGGGCTAACCAGCCAGTCTAAAAACAATTAAATTAAATGGACTTTTTACTAAAAGGGAAATATAGAACTTTATTTTCACATATTATAACAGTCCGAAACCGTACAATATCCCAGGAAAACGTATTAAAACATACTGAGGTTTGATTATATCGTATGATTTCTGCAGTAACCACTGAATAATATATGAGTAAAAATTACCTTCTGTTCACACATACAAAAAAGGACATTATATATTTCATTACTAGTACTGAAAGTGGTATTTTCTGGTTCGTGCTCAAGTTTTATGAGTGAGGCCAAAAGCTCAACACAGGAACACCAAATTTCTCGTGCGAGGCGAAGCCGAGCCTGTAGGGGGCATTTCATGTGAGTATGCGGTGAAGAAGAGGGCGGGAATAATTATTTCGGTATATAACTGTGAAATGAACTGTTTTTGTTACATGTTTATCACTGCGTAAATTCATCATTAGATTGTTTACTACGGAAAAGAATGTTTACTATGGAAAAGTAATGTTCACTATATTTTTTGGATTTTGCCGACGTAAACAAACAACGATTTGTTATTGTTCCAACAACTGTTTTAATTTGCAACAACCAACGCTGAAAAATCAATGTAAAATTTAAGTTTAAATTGGTGGCTTGATCTAAAACTTGCCATAAGTTTTGTATTGCTACTAACTGTAATAAGGAAATATCCAACGTCTGTTTTAATTAAGAAAATAATTAGTTTTTGTAGTGTAGTGAAAAGTAATGTTCAAAACACGAGTCGGTGGTCATTACATATTCTCGACCATAATTAAAGTGCTTGATAAATCCATCGATGTATAACTACTACATATATTGTTATAGTGTTACTCGTTCAAAGTTATGATCATTGTTCAGTAAATACGGACTTCAACCTAAAACACAGCAAAAGCAGCATTTTGTTCCCATTTTCTATTGGTGACAAATAAAACAGCTGATATTATATTATAAATAAATTGTGCAAAAACAATAGCGCCCGTGGTGTGCGAATCGAGAACTGATTGAGAGCAAGGAGAAGTAAATTTAGAGCAAGGGGAAATCAGCTGATCGCATTTTCCTTGCAATGAATTAGAGTTTGGCAAACAATTACTTTCTTTACTATCAGCTGTTTTAGAAAATAGCTCCTTTCTTCACGGAGTAATAAAAGTAGTTTACTAAGATGGGAAGGTGACAAATAACAAAACTAGATAATTTTACACTTTTAACGCGGCCACTTATTACATTTACAAATGTATAGTAATTTATAATCGTAACAAACCTAACCATATCGTCATACGTTTAGAAAGTGTAATCTGACATTGTAGTACCTTCCAAATTTAGAAAGGAAACCTTATGCATAAATAATACTTCCAATTCTAAAAATTTACCATGTACCTAGAATTATTGTGATCAGCAAAGAATCTCAAAGAATGTTATCTACCTGAGAAGCAAGGAGAACCAGCGTAGTTTCTGTTGTAATCAAACTCGGCAACAAAGAATCATACGAAGGTCGAGGACGAGAAAAAAACTAATATTCTCATGTTTTGCTCGTTAGAAACTTCACTATATTGACGTCAACATTGTTGTGTACCAACAGCAGATAATATGTATTTAAACATCAGCTGTTGTTTCACACTTGTCACGACACGACAACATGTTATCGCACATATAAATCATGTGGTTTATACAATCAAAATTAATGATTATCAAAAATGTATTACGTCGTAGTTTAGAAACTGATTTCCATACATAGAGATGAGTTTCACTTCTTTATGTACTGTCAGTGGGTCAGGATTTGAATGGTTTATAAATTAGGGAATTTCTTGTGACTCGTTCTCACTAATACTTTCTAATGTCAATTTAACAAATGATTCCAATACATTGGATTGACTTTCCCAAATTAGTTCATCAGCAATCTAAAAAAGTTGATGTAGTAGGTTCCACTTTTTGGTATTATTTTTGTTATTTTAATTAGAAAAGCATAAATTTTAAATTCTCTCGCAACAGTGTGTTTTCAACCCAGATGGCTCAAATAAATTAGCACTATGTATCGTGTGATGATTATTTTTAAAGCTATTCAAAGTAATAACTATTTTAAAATATAACATTTTACTGATACTTATTACAAAATAAATTCCAAACGAAACAGAAATTACAATCTTTAAGGCTTAACAACCGATATTTCCTTGTATAGCAGAAAATATTATATTCTATGAACAATTTTTCAGTAAGTTTAGTTGAAATATTCATGGAGGATTACTCAGTGAAATTGGATACGGTTAAACGGACACGCTTCCTCAATCAAATCTATCTAAGGTCAACGTTACTATAAAACGCGTTTCCGTGTTTTATTTGCAATTTTAAAATCTACATACTATTTTAAATTTGTATAGCTAGGTTAAATATTAGATTACTCTAATTTTTGTGCACTCAGCTTCTATGAGCTTTTTTTATGTCTGAACATTTACTATCATTAAAATTCTTTATCTGTAATATTACTTTTGAAAGTGTAAAAATTAACACTTAAGTAAACCACAGGTTCTTCTGTAGATACTCTTATTAAAACATTAGTGTAGGTTAAGCTATAACTCACGTTTAATTACTTAATCATTTTCTATATGGGATTGAAAGTTATATATGTTACCATCATATGCCACATTATTAGTTTTCCTAAACAAATAAACTCACACTCCGTCTTCAATCCTTAGAAAGTGCAATCATTCCCCAACCCCTTGAATATTTCGTGTTCGTGACTTTCTTGTTCTTTGAATTTAACATTTAACCTCCCTGCGATCTGCTCTATACTCTCATTAATCTGTAAAATGTTGGGTAAAGCAATTTTCTAAGAACAAACTATACAATCTAAGCCAGGTAATTTATTATTGGTTAGTGAATAATCGAACCTATCGTTAATAGCATATTCTAGTTTGTTTGTAAGGGGATGTTATGTAACATGTAACTCTCAAAGCGTAAAATCGAATCCATGTGAGGATTAAAAAAAAACCTAAATAATTACAGTATTTATGTTTTTCAAATCTGTAATATTCTTCCAACGTAATTGGCATTTTTATCGGACGATAATTCGCATAAATTCCAACAACGTGCGATTAAAATCGTTCCAGCCGGCGTTTAACTACTACCATTATACAGATTATCTACTTCCTTAAAACCGCGCGTTCAAGTCACTCTTTTGACATGAGATGTTTTGATACATCTACTATGCAACAAGTGCTATGATAGGTAGTTCACCTTGGGTATAGAACTCCTCATTGCCATATCGTTGAGTTTGGCCAACACTTGGGGATTTTGTGTTAAAAACTTTTTCCCCTGACTGAATTTGATACACTACCGGTACGGTTTGATTCTCTTGGTCATTGTAAAAATTAAGGTTAAACAGCTGTTTTCCTAGCCATTCTTAATCGAAACCAACTGATGTATCATTCAAGGTTTGGGTAGTATTATTTTATATCTTAAGGTCTGTTCAGTTTTAGCATAGATAAAACATTCTGCGTTAGTAGATTCGTCATTTATATGGATTAGCTGAAGCCTATTTTATTGTTATTTCTGTCCTGTGCACTGAAGAGGTCATGTTTTGTTTACAATTTGTTTCTTGTTATTTCAGTCATTTAAAACCTCATTTATTCAAATAAAACGATCTAATCACTAACAATAACTAATCTCTAAGTTATATAACCAAATAGTTTAAGTCATAACGTCAAACGATATGGCAGAAGATGAAAATAACCCTAAAATCTTAGAAAAAATTTCGTCTACGCACATGAACTAGACACGAAAAACAAGCATCAACATTTACAATGGGGTGATAAGTCGACTTGTGTTGCTCCTTCTATGGTTTTAGTTTAGATGTTCAACAATTTACCTTATAGGGTTGTTGGTTTTTTTATACGATATTTTTCTAATTATCATTTCTTTTTCCATACCCTTAGCAATTTTTGGTAAATCTTTTTTTAGCAATTTCAGGGGTGGTCATACTAAGAGTGTCCTTATTTGCTTAGGGAATAGTAATTTTGTTTGTTAAATATATTGTAAAAGTAGAAAATACAAACTAATGTGCTCATTAAGTCATAGACAAGCAAAATCTACACGATTAACGACCGAACTACAAACTATTTTTATCTTGCATCGTTATATAAGCTACACTAATAGAAATTCTCCTGAGGTTCCTTAACATTTTATGATAACGCATACATCTATTCGTACAGGATTTCCTAGTCATTAGTTTTATCCTAAGTGGATTGATCCTGTTATAATCGTTGCCAGTAATATCGTCTGTAAGTATACGTCACGGCTTCCAACAAACAAGATATTAAAGTACAAAAACACGGTAGTTTAAGCCTTGATATGTAAATTAGTTTAGTACATTGGTAGGTTTGATAGTATTGGTTAGTTTAGTATATGTAAAACTTTTTTTGTATGAATAGGCTAATTCTCAAATAAATAGTAATAGTTTTTTCTGTAGTTAACATTGTATATTGTAATAGTTTTATCATCATTGAGGTTACTCGAAATGTAACAATACACAATAACAATGATAGATTGTTAGCTTACAATTAATTTGTCTAAAATTTTTGGAGTGGCAGTCCAACAAAAACTTAGCTTTATGGACTAACTTTATGGATAATAATAAAAAATATATTCCAATATCTCAATAAATTAAACTAAAGTCTTAACTTAAACTTCAGTACTGTCAAGCCCACTTCAAAATCTATTGATTACGCTGTCCCAGGCGCCTGTTAAAGACAGTAGCCAGAGTAACCTTTGAGTTTAAGACAAATTAAACCGAAATTGTGACTGGTAATTTTAGTGCTCGTATGGAATTCGTTAAGGGGTGGTTACACACCAAAGCATTTAAAATAACGCTTAGTTTATTTATATTTTGTTTATTTCAGTTTTTGTTTACAAAATAAATTTGTTACTAATTTGATATTATTATTTTGCTATTTAACTAATACACAAACCATTAACACAAACTTTTGTTTTTAGTTATTTTAATTCTATTAAACAGGCTATAACATTAATTGTTCATATGAAACAAATAAGGCTACAAGAGATGCGATTGAAAGTTTTTCGTAAAATAAATATGTTGTTTGTTTTGTAAAATAAAATTCCAGCTAAACTTCCATGTCCATCATTTAGATAAATATTTAGTTTTTAACCGCAAGTCTCTCAGCCTCAATTAATTCTGACAATGGGACCTTCAATAGTTTGTATTCCTAACATGAAGGAAACTGACGTGCCGAAGTTGCGAATAACTTTATTAAAGGTAGGATACCCAGCATGCATCACAACAACTTGTTTCCACTCAAAATATTTGTCATTTATTATAAAAAACATATCAAGATCATATTGAGGAATTATTCTGTAAATACTAATAACTTCAAAAGGTTGGTTTGTAATTTATGTTGTCTTTCTTATCAAATCATATAGCTTAACTTATATTGAATGTCTATAAAAGTATTGTTATTAGAAAGGTTTACCAACACCACAAAAACTGTGTAAACTCATAAACCTAGAAAGAAGGAATTAAGTTTCTATAAAGGAGTTTTATCACTCTTAATACTGGATATTTTGAATTTTTAAGTACTAAACGGAATCAAAATGTTTTCTTAAATTATGCCTAACATTTAGCTCTGAATAATAAACCTAATGAATCTTTTAAAATATATCAAAATCTTCACAATATTTGTATTTATTAAACATGCAACTTTTAAGAAGTTAAAATGAACTTTAAGTTTGTGAAACTATGTAATGATTCTTCCAAATAATGCACTATTTCTTATAAATTTATTACAAAACAAAATCGTGACATTGCCATTGTTATTAGTTGCAAATGAAATGTTACATTGAAGTTAGTGTACGTACCTAGTATACAAAGAATGAATTGCACATTGTCAAAACGAGTATAATACCTGTACTACGCCAAATTACGAGATTACAGTATCGATTGCCAGTACAGTATTAAATGCCATATTTGTCTCAGAATACAAATATTTTAGATAATCTCATATAAACATATTTGAATTAAAATATGTATCACATCTGCATCTTTTTTATCAATTATGATTTAGATTTGGTAACAAAGCTTATCTCATTTAACTTTGTAAACTTCAAGTTAAATTACTGTTATCGATCACTCACTGAAAGACAATACATCAAAACAACTAACGACCCTTAATACTTTACCTACTTTCAATAAATAGTAGTGGTCCTAAAGCGCATCCCTGGTGCACACCACAGTCACTCCCCGCCTTGCAGCTCCGAGCAATGTAGACTGAGATGACGACAGGGGCAACAGGGTTTACCTTGACCTTGCCGGACTACTCCACTTGACCGTGCCCAGCACGATAATGCGGTACCATAATTATCGTGCCGCACGATAAAAACCAGTTTTAGTTTTTTTTAAGTGTTGTATAATGTTATGTTCTAGTAGTTTTCGTCAGAAGTCAGGAAACACCATTAGTAAAAGGGTGTGTTTATTTCCTGTATATTTGGGTTTCCTGTGGAATCATTTGATTTTGATAACGTCTAAGGGGTGGGGATTTTGGATTTAATTGCAAAATTCAAACTGACATCTATATCACTGTTTACCCATGCACACATACATTTCAATATAAACAAGTAAATACTATTGATATACATATTGTTTAATACCATTGATTGTTTACGAATAAATCTTTTTAAAGGTTTAAAGTAATTAATTATGCCTAAGATATTTGATAATACCACAATAGGTAACAGATTCAAAGGACCCCTAGTGAAACCATTTCAGTTCCCTCTCAAGGTATGTTCGTATAAATGGAAATATTTAATAAATATTAATTATTCAATAATTTAATTTTTAACCATGAAAATTAAATACGATAACACAACAGTGGAACAGTGTAGCTTATGATATCGTTAAAGATCAGCTTAAATAGAGTTTTTTTTTTTTTTACTTTGTCTGGTCAGCATATTTCCACTCGGCCGCTGGGTGATCCATCCACAGAGTAACGATTACATGCTTTATTTACTATTCTTTGCTCTGTGGACCCATCTCACTTGATTGCCGATTACTTCGATCACTCATTAGTTGTTCAATTAAATTTGCAATAAAATTATAAATGTGTGTGTATGTACTATTTATATTTAATGTATTATATTTAATATTTCTTCCATATAGAAATAATATTAGTTTAACGAGTACTTAGAATTGCTGCTACAGGAAAGGTAGGGTCCAATAAAGATTTTTCTTCTTTTAGTGAAATGTTTATTATTTCAGTATGATATGGATAAATTTTCAAAATTTTTTCAGAACATGTTCATTAAACAAGCAAACTACAACGATTTACTTATTCTTCTTAGGAACAACATGGGAATTTTAAATAACAGATTTTTGGAATTCTCTCCTCAACTAAGCACATAACAACGCTTCAATATACTAATGTTTGGTCTTAAGCTCTACCAGTCGGTCGTCGGTTTTTAGCAGTGCGTGTGCCTTAATGTTTTCGTGTCGTGTCCGTGACTTGTGCTGCATGTATTATTTATTAAACTTTCACGCAATGAAAATGAAGAAACCACGTAAAAAATGTAATTATGTAAATAGTTCAGTTTAATGTATGATGACTACGCACCCGACGATGGAGTTATCTCCGAAACGGCCGTAGTGCTCAATTAACAGGATTGCGAAGACTGTACCCTTTATACCCCTTTGTACCCTTTAGCCTTTATATATATACCAAATGGTTTAGAAATAAACTGGAAAACGTGTTTCTGTAAGGGCCAAAAATGGGGAAAATGTCGTACATTTTTGTACAGTTTTCGTACCATAATGTTTTCTCGTAGTTTCCCCGTGTTCCGACACCGATACAGTAACCGGTTCAAACAATTTAACCTGGAGAGGAACTGGTTCTTCCTTCGGCCAAAAACGTGAACACCATCCTGACCACGTGAGTATTAATTTATGAGAGATTTTATCCGCATAATTGCAGAACATTCCTGATCTTATAGTGAGGTATCTGAGCGCTGTTATTTAAGTGAGGTGTTAAGTATTAGTTTGGACTGTCCAGGTATTTTGCGGTCCAAGGTTTAAGGAAGGGCATATACTAAAATGAATTAACTTTTTGTTAGCTATAAGTGGGGTGTGGCCTATTCTGGGGTATACTGTTAAAGTATAGAATAATGTCCCATTTGTTTTACAAAGTTCTATTAAGTCCGATTATAGTTTCATCTAATTAATAAACACAAGGGGATACGTGCAGAATTTGCGTATTTTGATAGGGGTCCGAAACTCGATTCCGAGGAAAAAAGAACATTGGAATACCCTTATACTTTTCAAAGGTTGGTTATTAGGTAAATAAAACTAAAGTTATAAGTTTTAGTAAATAAAATGTGTTGCTTGTAGATATACACCATCAAGTGATTTATCTATTTCAATCAGTGGCAATTATAAAACAGTAGCCCAGACCCCATTTTCAATAACTGTGCTGACTCTTGTTTACAATCTGAAATATGACTGTGGTTAAACATTCAACCATGGTCAGCTGTTAGATAACTATTCATATTTAAACCGTTATAAAGAAAGTTTGTCAGCAACACGCGATTTTTGAAAGTGAGCTCAAAAAAATATTGAAACGCAAGGGGGATGAAGCCCTTAAGGAAATTATTTTTTTCATTACCATTCACAGGCACGCTGGACCATACGCTTTAAATGACACATCAATCGTAGACATCTGTTAATAGTAGGACAGCTGAAAATGGATGTTACAGAAAAAACCTTTATTGTATTAAGTACATATATAAATAGATAGATTAAATGCACATAATCTATAAAAATGAAGAAAACACAGAATGTTATTTTACTTGTTGGTTACGTGCTGATAAATGTTATAAAATTGTATGTACTGGTTCGAAACCGTGTCCAAATATAAATAGTAAATTTATGCCTCGAATTACCAACGTGGTTGCATTCTTAATATTAAATTTTCATGCACTAGGCCTAAATGCATTTACACTGTATCCTATGTTTGTTTTATGTGATAGTTTCTGAGAAGCATCTATAAGTATAAAAGAGGATGTTTGTATATATATTTGACAGTGATAAACTCAGACACCGCTGAACCGATTGCCACGAAACTTGGTACATACGTGTAGAATTTCATGGAATAGACAACATGGTTTATTTCATGGTTTATACACCATCAATTTCGTGATCCGTCCAATCGGCTCCGCCCCAGTGGCTCTGGAGTTTGCCATGTTAACCTTATGAGAAATGGAATTAATGAATCTTAACAGCTGTTTCAATTAAACAAGTTGGTTCTGTTCTATGATGTTCAATAGCATTAAAGTTACAAGGATTACCAACAGGGTGCAGCACTATTATTTCTTTTACATTTATGACAACAGCTAATTTGCAACCAAAAGGTGAGTGAGCATAGCGAACGAACTTCAACCTGGAGGCGAGTTAGCGTAGTGAACGAGCTAACCTGAAGGCAAGTGAGCGTAGCGAACGAGCTAACCTGAAGGCAAGTGAGTGCAGCGAACGAGCTCCAACCTAAAGGTGAGTGAGCGTAGCGAACAAGCTCCAACCTAAAGGTGAGTGAGCGTAGAGAATGAACTTCAACCAGGACGTGATTGAGCCATGCGAACGAGATCATCTTGAAAATTAAGAAGTTAAACGGGGCAAAGCCCGCGGGTTACAGCTAGTCACTTATAAAAACATATATGGCGGTTCAGATTAATCTTAGGAACAAGAAAAACATTTCTGTTTTTGGAACTACCTAGGTGGAATTTACCAAACCTCGCTGTCTAAAAAAGGTCGGGATTTGGTAATTTCCTAGGTCGACTTGTTAGAAACCTACTAACAGCTGACAACATCGACTTCCGTTGTGGTATCCAAGGTGATTTCAAAGCCTATGTTGTTGACATTGTTTTGTAGGTTTTGATATTGCCCTGTGCTCGTGGCTTTGTGTTGTATTACTGACACATCCTGTAAGCTACATCAGGTTCAAGTGTGAAGGTTGTCCTCAAGGCCAGACAGTGTAGAATGTAAGGCAGAGCTAGGTGCCGTTCACAAGGCAAACGACTTGATTCGTCATCTTCTTTGTGAGACAAAGTCAAGTTTTGTTCGACTAGTTCAGAAGGAGTTTTATTGTACATACGTTCGGCTGACTCATAGAGGCAATACAACCTTCCCCTTGTGGTCAAAATGATGCTTCATCAAAGTATAACTCAAAAACTCATTTATTTAGCCAGATTGACAATATACATGCAACTTTACTAAGACTAACTATTAACTAACTTGTTAGGTATACAATTAAAATTGAAATGCATACGACTGTCCGTCAGCAAGACATGCACAGACACAGTAGTAGTCTTTACCCACGAGAAATTTCTTTTGAAGTATCCCGGGTCGGCCGTGTCTGATGTGTACTTGATTTGAAGAGGGAGGGAATTACATAGATAGATGAATTAAAGGTTTGATGTCTTTCAAAGAAGGTATACGAATGAGTTGAATTCTCAGCTTTAAGTTATTAAAGATCAGATTTGAGTAGGTGGTTATGGTGTGAAAATTATAACAATTTGACCCAGAAAAGTCAGGACTTCCGGACTTCCAGAATGTTAACTAAAAGAAATGATAGAATCGCAGATTTAAATACAGCTTCAAGTGTGTTTGTAGGGGAGTCCGTGGCTCCTTTGAAGAAGGCAAAGGAAGTGGGTTCTTATGCGTTTATAGGGTAGTTTCATATAGCATGTGTGGATAAATTACACCGTAATAAGTAGTAGGAAATACCTCATTGTTTGGAAATGTTGCTAGTTGAGGCAGAAGGAAACTTTCTAAACTGTTAATTAATTGCTGATGTTTTGCCATTAAAACAGACATTGCAAGGGTAGGGTTGCAGGACGTAATTGTTCGACAATAGTAAGTAGGTTTACAAAGTAAGCGATTCTGTTGTGTTGTTAATTATAGACCAAGTGATCAATTTGCAACTACGGAATACACTTCAGAGTTCAAATATTTAATTCCCATGGGCCTATGATGAAAAGGAAATACCTGCCTGTTGTTACTAGTCTAATATATCAATTAATCAATATATTTAACATCAGTTCTAGTATTATTTTCAGGACACAGGCGCTATTTATAATTAAATAACTTCTTGATCAGCATTGTACGTGCTATTAAATTTACGCAAAGTCGATTTCAATTGGAGTGTCCAATCGAAATCGATCACCACTTACCATCTGTTTTGTATATTTACCGTCTTGTGAGTCACAGTATAAGAGTAAATATATGTTTTAAGTGTTATAAGACGTTTCTTTTATGTACTTTCCGTTTTTATAATTAGTATAAGGAAAACATTAATTTAAATGAACATGTAAAGGGATAAAATATCAGTTGAAAAAAACGTAGATCTACTTGCAAGTCCTAAAATTATTCGGGAATTATACTTGAAAAACGTACAGAATGATTATATAGCCCGACGTGTATCGGGAAGAAATTTACATAATTGATTAGTGTTCAAAATTACAAGAGGCAGTTACAGGCTGGGAAGTAAAAATTACGGTTCAAAACGGTTAAAATGATTTTAAAGATAGTTTAGTGACAAGAAAATAACATTAAATATGAAATGCACTCTTCATATATACCTAACAAAAACATACATTAAATTTGTTTTAGCTAAATGAACTGGATACCCCGCATCAGCAAAACCTGTGAATTTCAGGTTAAGACCTTAGATTTATTAGTCTTCAACCAGGATCACAGACAGTACTACAGGCATTTAACCTTTTATTAGTAAAATACGTGATCCAGAAGCTAAACATGTTAAAATGTGAATTTCAATTTGCCTGATTGGAATTTTTCTAAAATATTTCTTTATACGTCCGATCTATTCTCATTTATATTTATTAAATAACTTTAGGATTAACGAGCATGAGTTTTTTCGCTTTGAATGATGTGTTTTTTTTTCAGTGAAACGTTATTAATGAACATGCTACTAACATGAACATTTTTACCATACAGTTTTAAAAATTTCCTCCGTAACCATTAAGCGTACAAGTGCGCTTACTAAATTGGGGTTTAAACCTCTACAAAATAATTTCAAAGGGAATTGTGAGATATTTTGTTTTGATGTTCAAAATGGACATAACACCCCCCAAAAACCCTGGTCCCATAGTCCAATCATGTATGCTGATTCTCGAACTCAATCGATTAAAAAGAGAACTCGTTTGTACCAGACTTCGTTAAAATCGGATGGATTTTAATAGAGTTCTCATGCTTGTCCTCTTACGTCTTGCTATGTATTTAAATTTGACCGAATGTATGGCCTTTGAGACATCAATTCGACAAGAATTAAGTGGTCCTGGGTGTAAGTCTTACCAGGAGACTTGGACCACGGAGCTTATCAACTATTGGGGAAATTCGCCCTAAAGGGAGTACAGTATTTTTAATTCGTATGTAGTTTATTATAATTAGTGATCTTATAATGCACGTTTACCATCTGCGTTTCTAAAGTAAATTCAGTGAAGTATTCTCTCTTATTGGTGGTTGGCAAAACGACAAGGTGTGGTGAACTTTGAAGAGAAGAAATTCCTACGGACGAGGAAAAGAATCCCGTGTGTCCCCACGTGATGTGGACCAGTTTTACGATCCCAAGAGGTTTAATACTGGGACAACCTTGCTAAAAGGTATGCAAAAAACGTACAGTCTGTCTCATAAGTAACAGCCGAAGTCTGGAAAATGGTTTATGTGTCAAAATAAAACAAAAATCAAAATAATATTTTTTTTAATGGCGGCCGTTTAAAAAAAATTGTCACCGTTTGATATTTTTTTTTTAAAGACGAGTTATTATGCCTAATGCTTTATCTTAAATTTGATACCGAATTTCATAAAGGCAGCTTTAATATTTTTTAGATACGCGTATACATTTTACATACTAAACAAAACATAATGGTGGATATCCCTCTAACAAGGCATAGGTAGTATTATTTATTTTAGTATTATTTTCATCCATAAAACCATTTTCCGTAGTTTGGCTGTTTACTTATGGGTCACTTTGTATACAGGCTGATTTGTTGATTTGTGTCATTGATACAACATAAACAGATTGTTGTTTTCAGCAACGCATTAGAGGTTTTGAAAAGTACGCAGTGAACCAAGATAATAATGCTTAATAAGTCTGGATTTAATAAGTCAATAAGGCATTTATTTGGCCAGATTTACATTATTTATTTTCATATAACAAATGCAGTTTATCTTATAAACTAGAATATCTTATAAAATAGAAAATAGCAATTAACAATCGTTATAAATTTTATGAATAAATTAATTAATGAAGAAAGCGCACTATATGCCTATGACCAGTGACCACCGGACACTGCAGTAATATTTCTAGATACCTACTAGTAAATTAAGAAAGTTTTTTTTAATAACAATATTTGACTAAAATTGTAGATGGTTTGGTAATCTCAATACATTGGAAAGCAGTATACCGTTATAATAAAGATGTTTTTTTTAAGGGTGTTAGAATAATTCTTATGGGTAGATTAAGACTGTTTGGCAAAGAATATGGGCACGACCTGGAACTTGTAAAAATATAAATGTAATTTTTTTTTTAAAGAGAGGGGTTTAAGAATGTAAGGGAGGGTGATGAGTACATAAATGATGTACAACGACATTATGTATATGATGTTATACATCAACATGTATGTATACATGCAGCATGGAATACACGCCAACTGCGGCTGGCTTAAAGCCCGACGGCGCACCTATACGAGGATTTGAGTTTTGGAATCGTCGTTTAAGTATTCTATATACGTTGTTTTAAAACCTTTCTCCAAATATGATAAGATTTTGACGATTCATTTTTTTATAATCTATTACCTACAAACTTTTATATATAGGCTAACAATCTAATTGTGGATTTTATAGTAAACACTTGCATAACTCAAGAGCAATAAATTATTAAAAGCCAAACTATATATAATACATAATATATACTAGTGTACATGTTGCTCGAATTCGAGCAATTGTAAAGTATTACATGATTTGCAAACCAATAACAATCATACTTAGCTATCAACATTTCAACAAAAACACACCTACCTTCCCTGTAGCAGCAAATCTAATTACTCATATTAAAATTAACTTAATGCTATTTAAATAGGAAAAATGACCATGTTAAGGGAATAATTAATCTTTGTATTAAAAGCCAGGTAAATGGAAATTCGCTTAGTCTGAAGGTTTGCTGCGGATACACAATTTTAATAACAGCAAAGATTGAAGAATCTGAATTATTACTTATATCCATGAATTTATCTAACAATTATTTCCTGTAAAATATTATTACAGCAGTTCAAAAATATTGAAACTAACTCGATCAACAAATGATGTTGAAAGAATTCCATACTTATGACATTAATATATAGTTTGACAGTTTCATTTAATCAATGTTAAATGTTTACATTCGGGCATAGACAAAAATGATTCGGGCGAGTGACATATTTGATTAATGTTTATGATCCCTAACGTTCCTGTTCTAATAATCATGCAGTATTTAATATGTTTGAACCAGCTGTGTGGAATTGTGAAATCAAAATTAATTTGACAGTTAGTTCTGCTTGTTTACATTTTAAAATTTTGTGGGTTTGTTCTTTGTTACCATGGATACCATCAATAAATATTTCACTCTTAATTTCTGACAACAGCTGGAGTTCCATAACAAATTTTGTTTTGCATGTTAATCTTATGGATAAATACGAAACTTTAAAGGGCCCCAGGGCCTCACTCTCTAATTATTTCCTTAAAAAGAAAGTTTCCTGCAGAACTTCACGTTACGCTCTTTCAAATGACACCAAAAACATGTCAATTGGTTCAGTAGTTTCGGAGGAGTAATTGTCACAAAAAACCTGCTTGCGTATTAAATAAGTATAGATATAATATGTAATCTGTATAATCTATACCGGGTGTCTTAATAATTTTATTTTTATTTATCTCATTTAATAACAACCACACCGAATTCACTGGAAGGCTCTGCTATGTTACAGTCTGAGGGATAGTGTCAGATGGGCCAAACCACGCTAAACCTTCTTACGCCCTCAGCCCTCCTCGGATATAGATCGACAATAAAAAAAATAGCTTTCTCTTTAATAGGCCTACATAAAGTTGTTCGAAAATATGATATTTAGAACCAACATAATGGTAATATGGTAACCAATAATTCATGGACGCAGCAAATTGTCCTACTTAGCTAGTATATATATATATTCATTTCCACTGGCAGTGTTGACCAAATAATAACTCCGGTAAGTTATTGGTTCTTCAATAATTTAGATAGAGTAAAATATAAGGATAGATAGAGTAAAATATGGAAAACTTTCTAAAAGTATTATCGTGGTCCAAATATATGTTTAAATCAAACCATATACAGCTAGTTTATATAACTTTTCCTTTCCCCTACTGGACCTCCGTATAGGTAGCCGGTTACCTTTCTTTATGTTGTTTTTGTTAGTTTAGTTTCTGTTTTGCGTAAGTGATTCATGATTACTTTAATATGGAATATTAGTTACAGCCGGGAGCTTATATGTAACAAAAGGTCAGTACCCAAATGGCTTTAAGTTTTTAGGTAACTTTAATTAGAAAAATATCATTTCTGTTTTTTGAATTGGCAGAGCTAAGTTATCCTGTTATAATATGATAAGGGCATTCTATACCTACCTTAAATAATATGCTAATTAAAATATATCTTAATCCTGCAATGATTTAGATTTCCGTAATTATTTATTATACATTTGTTACTGTATGACACTCTACCGTATGGGATTTTGATTTTGCTTCTTGTCTGTGTGGGTCACCTATGTCACTTTTCCCCAGAGGGGAATGTTTTGATGTTTTGTTGACATCCAATAATGGAATGGAATGTCAAAGAAGGAAGGAAGAGCAGGAGCAGAGCAGCAGACGGAGGAAGCGGAATTCCAGGGAAGGGTTAGTTTTAGGGTTTGGCTTGACAAAAAATTAAGTGGTGACTCTAGTAGCAGGTTAAAATATGCGTAAATTTTAAAGTTATTATTAGGCCTACCTTTAGTTTAAAATTTGACGTTTGGGTGACACAAATGTTTTTTAAGGCAAAGTTTTAAATTTATTATTCTTCTATTGAACTTTCACATCTAGGTCAATTCGACCTAACCATGGATTCTATAGAAAACAATTTGTGTTTGCTGTTAGATGGCCTGGCTCTTCAAGACAGCGAAGAATTGTGTGACTTTTCCCTTGCAGATCAGAATGAAGCTATAGGTAAGCAAGAAACAATTTGATTATCTGCATAACTTACTAAGTTAAGGCTAGACCACTGTAAGGTTAATATAGGCCTTTGGGGCCTAACCTAGGCCTGATTTGGGGTATAGTTTCTTAACTGGGCTACGCTAATAACTTATCGATTGAAACTATCGATTCGATTAGTAAACCTTCGGCTGCACTTTACTAAATATCCGTCCTACACTCATTCAAATGATATTTTAGTGATAGGCTACTATTGATATTTTATATCAATAGTAGGCCTATATAGATTAGGCCTATTCTATATAGCCTAACTTAGCCTATCGATTGATTTTTTAATTCAAATGAGTGTAGGACGGATACTTCAGTGCAGCCAAACCTTCATTTGATTTGTCATTATCTGGTTAGGTTCAAACTTATATTAGGCTATAGGCTATCAATATTTTCAATCGATAATTTAGTTTCAATTGATGTTAGCTTAACCACAGAAAACATACTAGGCCTACTATAACCCAGAATGCCAACTGCATGGTAAAAAGCGTTAAGTACTTTGAGAGAGCTTTGCCTGTCAATTCGTAGGCAGTGCCACCAGCGTTGCAATGCACTCAGCAACTTAATTTTTAATCACATTGTTAAAATCCATTTGACAAAGTTCATAGAGAGCAATAGAAATATAAGTTAATTTCAAGAAGTAGGGTTCGCCATTAGTCATACATAAACCGAAGTCCAACACGCTAACCGCTAAGCTGGCAAAAGATTCTTAAGTTAGTTGGTTGAAGCTGGAAATAAGTTAGCCTACTTATACAACTTAAGTAACTTACCTAGGTACTTATAAATTACTTCTAAGCTACCATCTAAATTAAGTTACTTGCATTTTACACTAGTCATTCAGAATTTTCTCTTTAAATAGCCTACGGTACTGCCAATGTCCTACATATCTAAAACACACCTTGGATTCTTGCTACTGAGATATATATTGACAAGTCAGGGTTACAGTTTCTTAACTGGGCTACTGGGCTAAGTTACGCCACAGAAAACATACTACTATAACCCAGAATGCCAACCGCATGGTAAAAAGCGTTAAGTACCTACTTTGAGAGAGCTTTGCCTGTCAATTCGTAGGCAGCGCCACCAGCGTTGCAATGCACTCAGCATAGCAACGCTGGTGGCGCTAACTTAAGAATCTTTTGCCAGCTTAGCGGTTAGCGTGTTGGACTTCGGTTTATGTATGACTAATGGCAAACCCTACTTCTTGAAATCAACTTATATTTCTATTGCTCTCTATGAACTTTGTCAAATGGATTTTAACAATGTGATTAAAAATTAAGTTTTTGTTTCAACCCCAGTGGCATTTCTGCAATTTAAGTTAAAACAGAAACCCTTTTAAAGGAAAGCAATCTAAGCCTCTGAAATGTTTGTGGAATGCTGAATATCCTGTCCCTCTTGAATTGAAGTCCAAAATGCTAACTAGGAAGCTAGAGCAACACGGCACTTGAGTTGGACTTGTAATACTGATAGGCTATGTAGACATTTTGGTAGGTAGGCCTACCAGCTAATAATTCCTGAACAAGGGAATATGGTTTGTTAGTGCATCACTAAGTATCAGCATCGACCAACAAAGTAGAGAAGACACCATCGTTGAACAAGGGTCTCTATCGGACTCGTGCCTTGGCTGGTAACATGAAAAAAGACCAAACCACATTAGCTGCTGGTTCTAAAGCATGTTTTGTTAGCCTACTGTAGGCCCTACATACTTTGACAACCCCTTGGTATAAAAAGGTGTAAGTTAGGGCCTATGTTGTATTTAATAGTAAGTTACTGAACATTTAATAGGTCTAAGTTTGTAATGGAGACATTTATTTTTCAGCTGCTAAGGGGGTTACTCCCTCGACACCATCTGATTTTGTTCCTGTTGTCAAGAACACTGTGACATACATTGTTATGGCAGTACTTTTCAATGATGACGGAGAAATATTGATGATGCAAGAAGCCAAAAGCTCATGTGCAGGCCAGTGGTACCTCCCTGCCGGCAGAATGGAACCTGGAGAGGACATTGAGGTTAGAGTGAACCCATAAGTGCTAAAACCATTGTTAGATCTTGATCATATTTTAAAACATGAATACATAAAAGCCAGCTGTTCTTTTAACCTCAATCTAAGTAGGCTAATCAGCAAAAGTTATTTTTTGAATTTACAGGTTTCAATTATCCTTGCATTTGCCCGTCCAGGTAGTTAACCGAAGAGTAAACTGCATAGACTAGGTCTACTGATAAAATTTAGTGGTAGACACCATGACGTCGAAACACATCGTTACCATATCTTATGGGTTTGTAGACTGTCACGCTAGTGACTGAGCCACGAAGTTACTATCAGGATGTATTTAGGCCTACAGTAGATTCCCTCTTATCCGAACACCTTTTGACCGGACATCGGTTTAACCCTATTACAATCGGCAGAAATGACATCTCTTTAACCAGACAATTTTTATCAGCACATTGGTTTAACCGGACTAGATCGGCAGGAAGTGGGCGGTACTGAAACAACTGTTCTCATGGGAAAGATTTGAGACCAGTGATCACGAGTCTAAATACAATGCTCTCCTAAATTTAAATCAAATATCAGTAAAAGGTCCGTTTTAACGAGTTTTGGAAACATCGGTTTAACTGGAAAACCCGTTATCCGGATTGGCCTCGGTCCCGAGGAGTCCGGATAAGTGGGAGTCTACTGTGTAGGCCTATATACTTATATTAAAACAAAAATATTAGTGAACCCAAAAAACTACTTAAAAATGCTAACACCTTTCTTTAAGTACCTATTAATTACCCAAAAGTAAAAATAAAATAAAATAAGTACCGTACGGTAGGTATCCAACACAAGTAATGACTATATCTCACACTATAGTGCTCTAACTTAAATCAGTTACAAAAAGCAAGCTGTTCCCTAATTGAGTTGTAGGGCCTAAATTGAGATTTGTTACGCATCTGCCTGTTTTATTAACCTGTTTCAGTTTGCTTTTTTGACGGTAAAATTTTAATAATGTTGCCAGACTAGATGTCAAATGTTTATTGGTCAATATTTGAACAATAGACAGAAGTTACTAGAGACGTACCTAGATAGATAGATGGTGAAACAGGTAGATGTTGTTGCAAATTTTTAAAGGGTCCTCTTAGAAACTCCAGTTTAGAACAATAATAATAATCATTATCACACACCATAAATTTTGAAGGTGTCTAAAAAGGTTTATGTCTAACTTGCTTAAGATTTTTTGTAGCCTAGTCAATATTTTGTTAGATCTGTGACCTAAAATTTTTAATACCCTATTGGCCTTTTGTACCAAACAAATGTGTCTCGGTAGGCTATGGCTATAAATTACTATTTGCTTTCGTAAGAGATCAAGTCTAACCGTAAAACGGTGTTTTGTGAACAGGAAGCTGTGAAGAGAGAAGTCCTCGAAGAGACCGGTCTGTACATGGAGCCTACCTCTCTCATCATGGTCCAGTGTGCCAGCAAAGCTTGGTTCAGGTTCATACTAGCTGGTCATGTCACCGGTGGCACACTGAAGACTCCTGGGCAAGCTGACTCTGAATCCCTACAGGTTAGTTTTGCCTGGATTTGGTAATAACTAAGGCTATACCTAATAGCATACATAAACTAAGGTGGTATATCAATGAAGTACTTACTGTTTTTTTTAAATTAAATTACCGTAATTCCTGATATTAATTTTGACTGGAGACATGAATTTCAAGGTGTACAAGGGAATCGTTTTAAGTCGAGCATTACAAGCAAGTCTTATGTGAGTGAAAATTCACCCAGTAGTCAGGCGCAGTTGAATATCCTGATTGGCTTTTCCTGAGGTTAAATTTGGGGACCATCAACCCAATCAGTTAACATCTTATGTGGGATAAATTTGTTTGGGCTCTCACTAATCCAGCCAAACACCATAACTGGGTAAATCTATCTATATATTAATAGGCAAGCATCTATATATTAATAGGCAAGCATGTTTCTTTAAAACCTTTTCTCTCAGCTCGTGTGTATCGTAGGGAAAATCTACGCATACCGTTAGAAAGCTATTTTCCTGTAGGTGTGCAGAATCCCTTTAAAAATTAAAATAGACTCAAAAATAAGCACAAAAATGAATTTAAATTTAAAAAATTAACATGGGTCATGTGGGTTGCTATGGTGACTGACGAAATAACAACAAAATATAAACAGAAAATCAAAACAAATGGAAGACATTCCAATCACATGTTTTATTTACAGTGTGGGGTGATAATAGAGAAGTTTGCACAAAACATACTTTTGGTCGATTTTTCGACCACGGGGCGTGCTCTCGTTCTAGATTAATGCATGCCTATGAGACAAATGGGGAAACAGTAAAGATTGATTAATTAGAACCACGACAGGCAGAGTCATAAAAATTCCTTACAGCCACAGTTACAATGGCATTGCTTCCAAATCACAGCAAAACCAAAACCATGAATATCTTTTTGTTTTAAGAGATTACAAAGACATCATCATCGTATCCAGCCATCATGGCAAAATTGTGACCATTTCTACGGATGCATTCTGCGATTGCAAAAATAAAATGAGATTAAAAACTTGACTCAGCTCAACTTTCTAACTTTCTCAATCAGTTTAACTTTAAGGTAAAGCTCAGCTCAAATACCTAGCCACACCCCACCTTGGTGTATACGTATTCATATAGGGCCTACATGTGATGTGGTATTGTAGGCCAAATGGGTGAAGGACCCAGAGCAGATGAGTCTGAGATGCAAGGACATCTTGTCATTGGTGGAGAGAGGACATCAGTTCAGACTGAGACAGGAGCCTCAACACCCTAGCATGTTGCCTGCAGTGCGACCACATCACAATCTGTTGCTGATAGACTATGTTGTGTGTTGTAGGCCAAGTGGGTGAAGGACCCAGAGCAGATGAGTCTGAGATGCAAGGACATCTTGTCAGTGGTGGAGAGAGGACATCAGTTCAGACTGAGACAAGAGCCCCAACACCCTAGCATGTTGCCTGCAGTGCGACCACATCACAAGCTGTTGCTGATAGACTATGTTGTGTGTTGTAGGCCAAGTGGGTGAAGGACCCAGAGCAGATGAGTCTGAGATGCAAGGACATCTTGTCAGTGGTGGAGAGAGGACATCAGTTCAGACTGAGACAAGAGCCCCAACACCCTAGCATGTTGCCTGCAGTGCGACCACATCACAAGCTGTTGCTGATAGACTATGTTGTGTGTTGTAGGCCAAGTGGGTGAAGGACCCAGAGCAGATGAGTCTGAGATGCAAGGACATCTTGTCAGTGGTGGAGAGAGGACATCAGTTCAGACTGAGACAGGAGCCCCAACACCCTAGCATGTTGCCTGCAGTGCGACCACATCACAAGCTGTTGCTGATAGACTATGTTGTGTGTTGTAGGCCAAGTGGGTGAAGGACCCAGAGCAGATGAGTCTGAGATGCAAGGACATCTTGTCAGTGGTGGAGAGAGGACATCAGTTCAGACTGAGACAGGAGCCTCAACACCCTAGCATGTTGCCTGCAGTGCGACCACATCACAAGCTGTTGCTGATAGACTATGTTGTGTGTTGTAGGCCAAGTGGGTGAAGGACCCAGAGCAGATGAGTCTGAGATGCAAGGACATCTTGTCAGTGGTGGAGAGAGGACATCAGTTCAGACTGAGACAGGAGCCTCAACACCCTAGCATGTTGCCTGCAGTGCGACCACATCACAAGCTGTTGCTGATAGACTATGTTGTGTGTTGTAGGCCAAGTGGGTGAAGGACCCAGAGCAGATGAGTCTGAGATGCAAGGACATCTTGTCAGTGGTGGAGAGAGGACATCAGTTCAGACTGAGACAGGAGCCTCAACACCCTAGCATGTTGCCTGCAGTGCGACCACATCACAAGCTGTTGCTGATAGACTATGTTGTGTGTTGTAGGCCAAGTGGGTGAAGGACCCAGAGCAGATGAGTCTGAGATGCAAGGACATCTTGTCAGTGGTGGAGAGAGGACATCAGTTCAGACTGAGACAGGAGCCTCAACACCCTAGCATGTTGCCTGCAGTGCGACCACATCACAAGCTGTTGCTGATAGACTATGTTGTGTGTTGTAGGCCAAGTGGGTGAAGGACCCAGAGCAGATGAGTCTGAGATGCAAAGATATCTTGTCAGTGGTGGAGAGAGGACATCAGTTCAGACTGAGACAAGAGCCCCAACACCCTAGCATGTTGCCTGCAGTGCGACCACATCACAAGCTGTTGCTGATAGACTATGTTGTGTGTTGTAGGCCAAGTGGGTGAAGGACCCAGAGCAGATGAGTCTGAGATGCAAGGACATCTTGTCAGTGGTGGAGAGAGGACATCAGTTCAGACTGAGACAAGAGCCCCAACACCCTAGCATGTTGCCTGCAGTGCGACCACATCACAAGCTGTTGCTGATAGACTATGTTGTGTGTTGTAGGCCAAGTGGGTGAAGGACCCAGAGCAGATGAGTCTGAGATGCAAAGATATCTTGTCAGTGGTGGAGAGAGGACATCAGTTCAGACTGAGACAGGAGCCCCAACACCCTAGCATGTTGCCTGCAGTGCGACCACATCACAAGCTGTTGCTGATAGACTATGTTGTGTGTTGTAGGCCAAGTGGGTGAAGGACCCAGAGCAGATGAGTCTGAGATGCAAGGACATCTTGTCAGTGGTGGAGAGAGGACATCAGTTCAGACTGAGACAGGAGCCCCAACACCCTAGCATGTTGCCTGCAGTGCGACCACATCACAAGCTGTTGCTGATAGACTATGTTGTGTGTTGTAGGCCAAGTGGGTGAAGGACCCAGAGCAGATGAGTCTGAGATGCAAGGACATCTTGTCAGTGGTGGAGAGAGGACATCAGTTCAGACTGAGACAGGAGCCTCAACACCCTAGCATGTTGCCTGCAGTGCGACCACATCACAAGCTGTTGCTGATAGACTATGTTGTGTGTTGTAGGCCAAGTGGGTGAAGGACCCAGAGCAGATGAGTCTGAGATGCAAGGACATCTTGTCAGTGGTGGAGAGAGGACATCAGTTCAGACTGAGACAAGAGCCCCAACACCCTAGCATGTTGCCTGCAGTGCGACCACATCACAAGCTGTTGCTGATAGACTATGTTGTGTGTTGTAGGCCAAGTGGGTGAAGGACCCAGAGCAGATGAGTCTGAGATGTAAGGACATCTTGTCAGTGGTGGAGAGAGGACATCAGTTCAGACTGAGACAGGAGCCCCAACACCCTAGCATGTTGCCTGCAGTGCGACCACATCACAAGCTGTTGTTGCGATTTGTCATCCTCGCCAGACAGAAGAGCAGGTAAAATTGATGTTGTGAAGCTTCAATTTAAAGAATTATGATACAGTTCTCCTTGTAGGCCTATAAAGCTAGTTAAATTAAGCCCATTCAAATTTATTGATTAAAAATTTATCAATTAAAGATGCTTTTGAACGTTTGCCAGCTATGCGGAGTTCATTAGGGTTGTTTAAGAATTTAACCAAAGTTAGGGATATTTTGAAAGTTACACGGTGTTACTGAACAAGATGTTCAGAATTGATATTGTCTTCAAGACAAATAAGGACAACAGTAAGCCGGGCTCGACTGATGGGCCAATCACCAAGCAAATTTTTTCAACTTTAATCTCTGTTGTGATGGAAACTGATGGACATCAGCTGCCTGGTTGTGCACCCTTCTCCAAACTACCTAAGCCAATTACGATAAATATTTTACCTCCCAAACAGTTATTCTGCTTACGTATTATGTATCCATTTACTGCCTATAGATAATAGAGCTAACCTTACCCCCATCTCACGGAAACCTAATCACGAAACGTGATTCATATTTGGCTGGTGCTTCAATACCACTTTGCCTTTGGCTACTGTCACAAGTCTAATTGTCACAAAGGGGTGGGAATAAACAACTGAAATAGTAGAGAATAAAGACAAAAACTCAGTGCCAATATCAGATTTTAACTACCTCGCTTTGCCATGGTTGTGTTTGTATCATTGTCCATCACTTTATTGAAAGGCTGTTTACTTTTCTTATGTTTCTAGCAACCGAGTACACATATTGCTGTCAGAGAAGACTGAAGTGCACTTGCCAATTTGTGAGGTCAATCATCATCACAATTTACATTCAACCATCCGAAAGTTCATGGTGGTGAGTTGGCTGATACTTTTAAAGCAAACTAGGCCTATAATTTTGTCATTTTTAGTATTAGTAATGAAATAAATCGCCATGTCATTACTGTAGTTTAAATTGGTAAATAATAGTTAAATAATAACATATTTTAACAAATTTTACATTTCATAAGATTTTATATTATTTGCTTCAATAAGTTTTTGCTAAAAGTAGTGTCCCACTAATACATTGTTGTCCGCAGGAGATCTTTGGTGCAGACGTGCCTCCTCACAAGCCCCATGGTGTGCTGAGTGTAGAACACTGTGGTAATCCCGAGGGTGCTCATGACGGCCTCCTCATGACCATTCTGATAGCCTTCCGGGTGCCTCTAGAACAGGTCTGTACACGTACTGGTATCTTGTAGTGATGTGATGTAGTCATTGTAGAGTTTTACGGCAACACCCATGTGCGTAACTTGCTGTCTCCGTGACTTCGGTAATTGTCTCCCGCAACTGCGTCAGTAGTGGTAAGCATAACTTGCAGTCTCTGCGACTTCGGTAATCGTCTCCCGCAACAGCGATAACATATGTGAGCGTAACTTGCAGTCTCCACAACATCGTTAATCGTCTCCCGCGACTGCGGCAACACCCATGAGCGTAGCCTGCAATTTCCGTGACTTTGGTAATCGTCTTGCACGATGGCGGCAATACCTGTTATCGGCACCTTTTAACAAACAGTGCTAACATCCACCATTGGTAGTAAAAGTGGCTTGTCTTCAATCGCCATGAATAGCGAGTATTGACTTTGCCGTATTACAATTCTGTTGAGGTTTGACGTTTGACTCGTGTGTGGGACGAAAATGAAGTTTTTCTACCCTGAAGAAGTGGGATGTTTTTGGGTTTTGTGAAATGTTAGACTTAATCTCCAGGATGATGTAATATGTGTGTGTGTGTTAACTGTATATGACGAGTTCTGTATTTCACCGGACAATTAAAGGTGAGTAAAGCCCACAAAATTGTCACAAGTTAATAAATACGTCGCCTACAGAAATGCCATTAAAAAAATAACAATAGGCCCTACAATATAAACAAATTCTACTTTGATTAAAATTTTTAAACTTATTTATTTCCAAGCAACTAACTGACGTTAAAGCATATTTTGATAAATTTTATGATTTAAAGCAGGGCTTTAAAAAAATATCCTTAAACTTAAAGAAATGAGTAATTTTGTACAGGGAAAGTTATAAACGCATGGCCAAGCCAGAGTAAAGTAAAAAATGTAAATTACAATCTGTTCTAATGCAATGGAATTTCTTCTTAATCAATATTAGCTTTTTCGATTAGACTGTTTTGGTAGTGGTTGTTAAAAGGTCAACAGTCGTTTATGTTACTTCTAAGATAAGCCATCCGATTTGATCAAAACAACCATTGCATAGACTTGTGTAGTTCATTTTATAAAAGTACAGTAGACTCTCAGTAATCCGGCAGATATAGGACCGTGATACTGCCGGATTAGTGAAAATACCGGATTACTGGAATGTTATCAATAAAAGCACTTCAAATGCAATTAAAACACGTCTCCGAAGATTGCGTGATCGGAAACCTCTATTGCCGCGATCGGGCATGACGACGATGACGTTACCGTAATCGTGGGAGACGATGATAACGTCCACACAGTCGCGGGAGATAATCATGATTTTGCCACGATCGTTCATGACGACGATGACGTTTCCGTGACCGCGGGAGGCAATGATAACGTCTACACGTCCGCGGAAGATGTTCGTGATTTTTCGCGATCACGCATGACGACGATGACATTTCCGTGACCACGGGAGATGTTCATGATTTTGCTGCAATCGCACAAGTCGAAGATAACGTTTCTGTGACTGCGGGAGTAGACAATGATGTTTACACGGCCGCGGGGGATGATAAAATCTTTGCCGTGACCGTGGAAGACAACGATAATGTCTACATGACCACGGGAGATGTTCATGATTTTGCCGTGATCACGCAAGTTGACGATAACGTTTCTGTGACTGCGGGAGTAGACAATGATGTTTACATGGCCGCGGGAGATGATAAAATCTTTGCCGCGACCGCGGAAGACAACGATAATGTCTACATGACCGCGGGAGATGTTCATGATTTTGCAGCGATCGCGCAAGACGAAGATGATGTTTCCGTGACTGAGGGAGTAGACAATGATGTTTACACGGCCACGGGAGATGATAATATTTTTTGTCACGACCGCGGAAGATAACGATAATGTCTACATGACCACGGGAGATGTTTATGATTTTGCAGCGATCGCGCAAGACGAAGATGATGTTTCCGTGACTGCGGGAGTAGACAATGATGTTTACACGGCCACGGGAGATGATAATATTTTTTGTCACGACCGCGGAAGATAACGATAATGTCTACATGACCACGGGAGATGTTTATGATTTTTCCGCGATCGCGCAAGACGACGATAACGTTTCCGTGACCGCGGGAGGCGATGATAACGTTTCCGTGATTGCAGGAGGCGATGATAACGTCTAAACGTCCGCGGGAGATGTTGGTTACTTTGCCGCGATCGTGCATGACAACAATGACTTTTCCGTGACCGCAGGAGATGTTCATGATTTTGCCACAATCGCGCAAGACGACGATGACGTTTTCATGACCGCGGGAGAATGTCTACACAGCCGCGGGAGATAATCAGAATTTTGCCGCGATCGCGGAAGACCTCCTGTCAAAATAAGCCGGAGTGGTGCAGTGTCGGATTAGAGAGGGTCTACTGTACTATGCTTGGCTCCTATAATTTTGCTCAGGAAACAACATCTAGTTTAATTAACTCACCACTATAAGTTTAAATTTTTGTGGACTGTCTCAGCAATCTTCTCTACAGTGTCAAACAATATACTTTTAATAATTTCTTAGAGTTTCTGAAATTTTTGGGAGTAATATGCAAAGTGTGAATTTGTTTATTAATTTTGACTGGTCACCAATCAACAACCACAATTAACAACTTAGGCTTGTCCTGCAGTTCGGCTGGAGCCATAATCATTAATCATATTTGTCAAAGGGAAAAAATCCATCTTGCAATTTCTTTTAATAGCATACAAAGAAAGAACACAACATGAAACAACCTTTAACAAAATTAATCAACATAAATGTGCAGTCCTAGACCCTCGATGCCAAAAACTATGTTTAGATTTTCATAAAAAGTGTACCGTGTTTTTGTGTTGTGTTATGTGTTCTTTGTCTGTGAATCTCTTCATTGTCTACTGGTCATGAATATCGGATATCACATGCATCACTCATTTTGCTAGGGGCCACAGAAGTCACTGTAGTGTAAAGCAACAAATTTTTATTTGAAGGTCCCAAAAGTAAAAAAAAAATATCTGGCCTAACTAACTAAAATACAATTCCCGGACCTTTCTCTTGTTTTGTGCCTTGCTGCAGGCGATGATTAAATTCACAATTCAGAATAAGTGAGAAAAAACATATTTTGGGAGCAGCCAACCGGCTCAAATTGTTATTGCACAAAATACTGTATGCCCAACTATCTCGTGTTCAAATCATTGAAAAGGATTGTCTTATTGGTACCATAGGTCGTACGTTTTATCATTGTCCCCCTCCCTTCTAAATTCACTGAAATTTACTTTGATCAATGAAGAACTTGGAAGCGAAATGCTTATGGAGAATAGTCAGACTCGAATTTTACTGCCGAAATGAGCTTCGTGCGGTAGCCGCAGGGATGTGATCGCGCTGTGACCACTTTGCTTTATTTCTCTCTCTTTCTAAGCTGATTCTTTGTCTCACTCAGTCAGTTGACTTGGCCGTACGTGGTTGCAATAGTAGCCCCTTTGCTACTTAGTGGCCGCCGTGGGAACTAGTATATCCGGGATTCAAATATTCCCAGACTGAATTTTTAACATAGGCGTTGCTAGTTTGTAATTTGTATTCATTGCTTTGGTCAGCTGGACACCCTGAATCGCAAGATGTATTATTTTGAGGCCCTGTCATATATTATGATGGAATCCAAAACATGGATCATCCAATGATGAGTTAGAGCTGTCACGGAATCATTTGGTATGGTACCATATTTTATTTTTTAATAGTTCAATACAATCTGTTCTCCACAGTCCTTTTCTCCACCTGGCAAATGTTTGATCAGCTGTTTGAGTTGTGTCGTCTGTTCCAGGTGTTTCCCATAGACAAGTATACCTGGCTGATGGTAGGTGGTGGTTTGGGAGATAAACTCATTCAGCGTGTACCTCGTAACATGACTGTACCACTGCACGTCATCTCCTAGTGTACTGTACACTCTACAAGTAAATATTAACCTGGTACTATCACAATGCAAAGAACTGAAGAGGGCTAGGACTCCAAATCACGGACAAATTTTATTTGATTTGTTTAGTAGATATTGACTGAATGTTTACTTTACTTCTTATAAATTACGGTAAGATTGTCAAAATTTTCTATTTTTTGATTTGATTATAAAACTTTATGTTATTACAGCTAGGAAACAAACATTTAACTTTTGAATATAGTTGCTGATAAAATTATTTAGATTTTTTTTATCCGTGTAGAATTTCTTATCCATTTTTCTACTTGACCGCTGAACTTGACTATCCTGATAGTGAATTTCCCGTAGGGAAAGGGAGTAAGCTACATTTCATCTGAATTTTCATCTTAAAATTGAAAGTACATTAATATGACATTAAATTTTGTCAGGACATATATGAACAATTTACATTGAAGGTTGATGAGTGTTATGGATGATTCAATTTTATCCAAGCATCTAGTGAAAAAGAAACTAGGGTGAAATTAGGATTTTGCCTGAGGTGCCACCAAAAATAAATATAAATAGGCTATGGAGTTTTTGCAGGCAAATTCAATGAATACTTAACAAATTCAATTGTCTTGGCTGTTATGCTCAAGTTTTAACATAATTATAGCTTATGTAGTTTTAAATGTATTTAAAAGTGCCTGATTAATATTTATTGCATTGTTGAAAATGTTTTAAGATTTTAATGAGCTTGAATGGCTGAACATAATTCTATTTTGTTATTTTAATCTCAATGTAATGAAGTACTAGTAGAAAAAAAATGTATTTATGAGCTTAAATAACATTTAATTTTAGTTTTGCCTATTGGATGTTTCTAATGGTAAATACAACAAATTAGTTTTACAATCTAAACAGGTACTCTTTTTGATACTTGAATAAAGAGAGTGAGAATTAAAAAAATTAACAGTTGTACAAAATAGATATATTCATATATGGTTTTATCGTTTTTATCTTTACTTCTTCTACGTGCTGTGTATATTTATTTTATACTATTTTAATTTTGAATGATGTTTTATATTGTTTATAATCAAATATATTTATTTTATTTTTCAGTTATTTTAAGCATTACTACTTGTAATAATATCCTATCCTATATTTCTTTTGTATGGTGATGGAGACTGAATTTGTACTTAACTATTGCCATTTACATTCATGTAGATAAAAGTAATGTTGGCCCTTGCCTCTTTAGAGGAATTTTACGAATTTTGAATCCACCGTCAATACATTATTTTTGTATGTTATAAGACTATTTAAATGTTACTAATTGTTTATGACCTTGATTGTGCTTATACATCATCATCCATTTGTTCATCACATGTTAGCAATTTTATTGCTTTTTCTGTTACCGAAAGGTTTATGAATTTGATTAGAATTATTTATTGTTGTTGATTGATTACTAACAGAGAAAAAACATCTCTAACCGAATTTTATTACAGTGATGCTGGCAAATTGTATCTATATAATTTATTTTAAGGTTGGTTATCAAAGTTTATATATTGTTTATTTTTGTTAATAAAATGATTATAAAATTGAGTTGAAGGAATTTTATCATACTGCACCTTTTTTTAAGCTCTCTAAATCATAAAAGAATATTTTTTTACATGTTATATCTTTACAGTTAGCCTATCACCATCACACAAAACTGCATCCATCTTATTCGGCTACATAATAAATCAGCTGTTTACTAATGTGCAGTATTCAACTATTTGGCTATTTTTGTTTGAAGAAAGTTAGATGCATCACATTTTACTACAAGCATATAAAAGCAGCATTTCAATTTACTGTACAATATATTTTACTGACAGTATATTTTACTAACAGTATATTTTACTTTGTGCAGTATATTTTACTGAAGACCCGAAATGTTGTGTATTGTTTTTTACATTTGTGATGGAAAATGTCCGCAATAAACCTTTTGAACAACAATATTTTACTGTATATTATACTGTACTGTATATTTTTACATTCCAATTAGTTTATATATACTGGAAAAGGTATAGACTATGCATCGTAGTAAACTCAATGATGATGAAAATTTAATTCAATTGACAATATATTTTAAGGTTGGAACTGATTTCTTAGTAAAAATCGGCGGACCATGTTAGAATAGGGGAACATACAGCTAATGTCACACTCCAGTTTATTCCTTTCCATCCTAGAAATTCATTTTCAACTACATCAGCTATACTACCAATGTATTACAATTACTTTTGCTGTAGTATGAGAAATAAAATATTCTGGCCATTTTAGTGTTTAGGTGGGAGGAACATTTAGATATTTTAAATTATTTAAGTAATTTAGAACAATATTGAGATGACATATTTTGTAGTATAAATGACAGAAAGAGACCATTGAAACGTAAGAAGAGGTGGCAGAAGACTTTTAAACCCTTTGAGGTCAATTTTTTTTTCTTTTTTCTGCGAGTATAGGTTGCCATTTTCGAGCAGTCGGGGAAATGGCTGGCGGCGACCTATACTCCCTATACTCGCCATTCGACCACAAAGGGCTACCACACTAGCAAATCTAATTCCAATAGATTTTTTGCAAAAGAGGATTTTAGAAGAGAAAACATGTTTAGAGTAGCCTATGCTATTTTTTGTATATTACCCGGGGACCGAGCCATGGCTCGGTATGGAAACTTGTGTTATCCTAATAAATAATTTTGGCTTTTATTATTTAAGTTTCAGTGGAATTTCAATGTATTATGATGGAAATGCCAACTCTGCAATCCAACACATTAATTTATTCATCTTACACATTTCTTACTTTGTAAATAAATAAAACAAATTTATTATACAACAAAACATAAAACAATGTCCTCAAAGGAATACTGTAAAAATAATTTACTAGCCAGATTTCCTTTTACAATTATTCCTATGCCACTTGATATTCAGGCATTTCAACTTTTATCTCATTTTCTAGTTGAGCAGTTACATCAAAATTGGACGATTCCATATTTTCTTTATCAGATGACTGGACCTCTTGGCTTCTATATGCACAAATTGATATACACGGATTAGAATGTTTTCCCTCCATCTTATGTAGTTCCCCGGCTTTTTGAAGGGTTGCCTCCTTATCTTTGAGCCAGTTTTTCTGCGCCTCCAAGATACATTCTGAGGTGCAGAGTCTCATCCAAGCCACTGCCTCTTCTGCTGATAGTCTGAAGTGTTTGACTAAATAAGCTCCTGCCAGACACCCGGCTCTGCCCAAATATTCACGGCAGTGGATCAGGACGACACCTTCACACTCTTCAGTTAGCTCAAGGAAGGCTTCCAAAACCTGGAGTACAAAATATAGCCACAGAGTATATTTGCCAAAGTATTATGTTGAAACACATTTCAACATAAGTTTTTTAACTACTGATTTCTGGATTTGATTTGAGTTTAGTGAGTGGAATATATTTTTCCACTTTGACTTGTGGATTTGACTATAGTGAGTAGAGACATTTCATCCTCTTTGACTTGTGGATTTGACTAGTTAGTATAGAAGACATTTCATGCCCTTTGACTTGTAAACTGGACTATAGTGAGTAGAAGATATTTCATCCCCTTTGACTATAGTAAGGAGAAGACATTTCATCCCCTTTGACTTGTGGACTTGACTATAGGGAGTAGAATACATTTCATCCTCTTTGACTGTGAATTTGACTATAGAGTGAAAATTTAAAAACGTACGTTTTCATGTCCCTGGCCTTTTACTTCGAAGATACTGGATTTGTAGTTTATTATTATGTGTTTTAATATTTTTTGGGACGGGGGCAACATGTTACACACATTTATTTGGTTTTAAATAGGTTCTAGGTATTTTTTTCGTATTTTTAAAGTCCCGAAATTCACGACCATGACTTGTCCCTAGGGTACATTTTCCAACTTTCACGCTGTTTTTAGACTAATTATTCATGCCGAAAGATATAAAGCCATATTTTTATGTCATCAATGGTTATTAAACTTACAAAAAAGGAGCATATTATAATTTTATTGTCATTGCAAACTGACTACCATGACAAAATAAGTCTGTCCCTTGATTTGGCGTCACGACCATTTGGGAAAAATTTCCTACTTTGGAGCACGACAGTGGCAAGCCTGGCGTCGATGGAGTCAGTTGGTTTTAGAGACTAGTTCGGGGTGTACGTCAGGATTGTAGTGCCGGTCGTTTCGAGTTGAAAGGAGGAATTACAAGATTAATAAAGGAAAGATTGTGTTTTTTGTAATTTTGGTGTGTCCATGACCGTACGTAGTCATTCGATGAAGTAGACATGGTGTTAATTTTTGTTTATAAGATATTGCAATTGCTAGAATAATCTAGAAGTCCACCTTGTATCCTCGAACATGAGGTGCAGGGCTACCGCCAGAACAGAGCCAAATAACACGTAATTTCACGACCAAAGTTTCACGACCATCGCAGGTTTTTTCACGACCAATCCAGCCTTATGGATTATAGTGTGTTTGGTCGTGACAATAACTTTAATATAATTGTAAATTGAACAGTTTAGTTCAATTGAAACACATATTTTTATTATAACTAACAGTATAATTGAAGGATTGTTTAGAAAGATTTAGATTATTTCAGAAAATTCACGACCATACTGCCTGGTCCCTGACCATCACGTTTATGATTTCTATCATACAAATTTCAAAAATTAAAATATCGTCATATTTCAATGTTTTATACACAAAAGAAGCATACCTCTATACAAACATAACGATTTTTCGGGTCTCAGGTAAGTTTTTTCGGAGTTATACAAACTTAAAAAGATTTTATTGGCTTTTTCAATTTTTTTGAGGTTTTTTATTTTTTTCTAGAAAGACCAAATATACCAAAGTCTCAGTGACCTTTTTATTGTATAATGGTCATAAAAGTAAATTAGTTTATAGCAAAACATAGTTATACAAATAATATTTAACTATTTTTAATATTCATTTTATATAAACGTGTGTTATGGTTGTGACAGGATTTTGTGTTTTTCCACTAAAGATGCTTTTTTTTTAAAAAAAACTACCAAAGATATTGCGTTACCATGGACATTTTATGAAACTTAAAATGTTAATGAAATAAAAAAAATAATAAACGTATTGAAAAAAGGGGAAAAAAATTTGCAAAGTGCTTTTTCTGAAAACGTACGTTTTTAAATTTTCACTCTATAGTGAGTAGAAGACATATTTCATCCCCTTTGACTTTTAATGTGTTATGGTCCTTATAATTCTAAAAAAAATAGTGCCCCCATTGCTGCAACAATTACGGTTCAACAGTTATTGTAAATTTTGAGATTTTTGCCTAAAATATCATAGTTACTCCCACCACTTACCCATGATAAAAGTTGTTGACAAGCTTGTGGGAGAAAGTATGCGTCAGAATGCTGATAGGCCTACCGTTTAGGCTTTTTTATTTGAGGCATAAAAGATGCTATAAATTAACAATTAATAAATTGTACCTCGATCCAGTCCAGCTCAGCTTGCTTGAAAAGTTGGTGCAATATTATAGTACTGTTGCTGGATTGATTAATTTAGCCTACTTTCATTTTCATTCTAAAAAAGCTACAAACTTAAACTATGGGGAACGGTATGTCTACAAGCCTCCATAGGCAAATCTATAGTGATTACATCTACATCCAAAGTCGTCTACAGTCTCTTTGTTGATGGATAGCTTTCATCATTAGACATTGAGGATCTCTAATAATAACGAACAAACATATTTTAGATCCCAAAGAAGTTGGATAAGTCTATTAAATCAATCAACAAATCAAAATTATGAAAATGAAACTTTTGAGAATGATAACAGAACTATGCCTTGAGAAATCATGAAGGTGCAATAGTTGGTTTTAGTAGAGGGGTTGTGCTGTCTTTTTTGGATCAACTAGCTTTTTAATATTTGTTTATAACCATACTTCCTGCAAAAATTGCCAAAGTTATTTTTTCAGTTTACCCTATAAATTTAACTCACAAATATTGCATATAATTTTAAACTATACACTGTAGCTACCCTAAATGGACTGGGGGAGCTAGCTAGCGTAGTGGTTAGAGCGCGGGACTTCAGTCCCTGAGGTCCTGGGTTTGATCCCCGCCAAGTCACCAATGGATTTGATCTAAGTGATAATGCCGCAACCCCTAGGTCTAGCCTGAAGTAATGAGAAAAACAATCTCAGGCTCGTGCCTAGCGTCCCATGACAAAAAAAAAAGAGAAAAAAAACTATAACTGGACTATAGACCAATGATATCCAAGTGTCTAACCTCATCTGTCGGAATGGAACCTGCAATGTTGATGTCATAGTGTGGATAATCAGCTCCAACAAATGGATTGGCGTCATACTTGACATGGCAGATCCTGATGATCGTCTGCACCTCCATGTAGCGGAATATCTTGATGTAACGCCGAGGAGACAAGTATCTCTCATTGGAGGCATCCAGTGGTCCATTGAACATCAACAATTTGTTTGGGACAATCCAGTTAAGTTTGACATCATCCATGTTGTAAAAGTCTTCAGCATTAAAACTATAAAAGTTGATGAATCCAAACGAGATTGCCTTTTCCATGGCTTTCAGAAAGTCTATCGGACTGGGTAATGAATGCGTAGAAAGTTTGTCAGCAACCTGTTCTGGACTCATTTGGAGACGTGTCATTGCATACGCTCCAATCAAAACTGCACCGTTTCGTCTTTTTCTTTCACTACCTGAAGTGTAGTTCACGATAATTTTTTCCTTGTATTTTTCCTGGGTCAGTTTTTTGTTTAACACATTAATGAATTTGAAGATTGTTCCTAGGCTTATCCGGCTTACAATTTCAGAATTTTCATCTCCAGTAAAATCGTCATTGGTGGTAAAAAAATGCAAATTCTTTGTCCCTTCTGGAATTTTGTTTTGGTAGTAAGTAATGAAATACAACCTGTTTTTTATGAATTCTGAAACCCCTAGGATGTCTGGGTCCGTAAGATCTTCTGGTAGAAAACTAGTCATTTTGGGGGAAAAATTAAAAGTAACAACAAATTTTTGTTTTGGGTACTTTATTTGTTCAGCTGTTGAGCAAAAATATAGTTCAGAAGCTAAAGTTCCACCTTCCACTGCCTTAAGAATTTAATTTATGCTTGGAGTAAATGTTAAACTCAATGCTATACAAAGTGAATTTGTGCACAGCTTGATTAAAAACTCCTATCTGTACATTACATTTTTTATACATTCTTTATGGTTTATTTATTTTTTCACATGTTAACACTTTTAAGGGAAAGCGGTCCAAACTCATTAAAGTTTTGATCCTTTGTTGATCAGAATTATATATTTTGTTTACTTATGAAACAGTTTGTACACACGTCTCCAAGTATGTAGTGTGTTATATTGTTGGTGAATCAGAAGCCTACATTCATTAAGTCTTTTATTATTCTTTTAATAAACACCTTCAAGCCTTGTAAAGAAAACTTTTTTCACTCTACCTAAAATGGTTATTGATCAAATTAATTCAAACTGGTTGAATATATTTGCATCGATTTTAACTCACAATGATGCTGCAGCTCATCTTTTGAGTTTCGCTTGATTAAATGTTGGTGTCTTGGACTGAAATCTGTAATTGACATCAGCGCATTCTGTCGAGGCTCATCAATTCAATTCAATATTTCTTTATTCATTAAAGCACAAAGTACATGAATAGTGTCATTCTCTTACATGTTTTCATATTACAATGCTCTTATATTTTATAGATACAAAGTTCTTAAAATCTAACATAAGTTTATACGTATTAAAAATTAACGCTCCTTCTATAATTTTAAAGTTCATCAACGGTTCAACTATAAAATTCAACTATACATTCATTTTAATTCTGGCTTCAGGTTTGCCATGTGAATTGGATTGAATGTGTCAATGATAAAACATAAATAACCTCAAAAGGCAATAATAAAACCTTCAGTATCCAATAGCATAGATAAATTATACTCTCTTAGCCAATCGTCAATAACAAAACAATAGCTCTTGGATTTGTCATCCTTTCGGATCACCTGAAGATAATTCCAAATACAAATTTTTTTTCAACAGTCACCTGACAAAGTGGGCTTCCTTTCATTCATTATAGTACAGAAAGTTGCTAATTGCTGCATTTACTTACTTTTGCCGCAATCTTTTTCTATTGTCGACAAAACCAGTGTCCAAAACAAAAAACACAAAACAGACTGCTTTTATTATGCACATAATCCGTGTACGATTGGAAATAGGTTGTTAAGAGAAGGAAGGATACACAACCAACACACCTGAATAAAAAGTCCTAGGAGGTCAATAGAACAGACAAAGTTACACATTATAGGTACTGATATTTTGCTCCTTTAAGGGACTTCTTCAGAGGTATAGAAGGTAGAATGGCAGTTACAGTTCTGGCAGAACTGTAACTCAGATGAGTTAGTTGTGTATCCTTCCTTTCTCCTTAACAATAATTCTAAAGCCAAGTTGCTTTTCTTCCTTTAAAAATACTTTGAATTAGGTTGGCAACACTTAAAGATGATCCAGCTGTTACAGTGTACCCTATGTGGTTCAACCTTTAATATAACATAACCTAAAACGTGTTGTTTACTGTTTGAAAGACTAATTATTTGTATGCTTTATAACAACTGTAGGAAACATATAATGTGAAACACAAGTAAAAATTGTCTTTGCTGCACTCGGGAAAAATTCCACACTCGCCTGCGGCTAGTGCGTAAACATATCTCTCGTACGCAGCAAAGTGCCACTTTGCACAATAACTATTGTAAAGTGATAATATTTGTTTCCTGGACATTACAAAAATTAAATTCAACTACACTGTGCAAGTTGTTATGGGAAAAGGTAATTGAAAATACTCTCTATAAGGTATGCGTTTAATATACAACTATTGTACTTCATTGTAACACTTGAATTCATTGTAAACAGTTAAGACCTATTTTAGATGTAGTAGCCCCAAATATCAATAGAGAAGTTGTAGCCGTTCCCTCTCTGGGTTTTGAGGTGCAGACACAGCTTCCCCGTGTTAACTCCTCCCCAGGTGACGAAGGCGTAGCCTCCCTCCCCTGCTGGAATTCGGTCTGTCACGTTGAAGGCAGTAATGGAGAACTTGCGGTTGGTGTCGAACCCTGGGCGAGGGTAGCACACGTCATGTGACTGCACTCTGAACCAGGAACTTTTTAGTACTGGGTTGTCATGGATGATCAGGCTGGAAATGAAAAAAATAGAGGAGTTGAGATTGAGACGAAACTGGGCGTATTTTAACCAAAATATTAGTGAAGGATGAATGAGAGGAGTTGAACGGAGTGAGATGCCTTTGAAATATGAACAGCTGTTTCTTTAGAAAGGACCATTTTAATAGCCCAATGATTAAAGAGCTGGGTCCAACTTGGAACTATCACCAAGTTTTCGACTAAGGGATCTAACTAGATGATTGGTAGCTAGGTTGCTTTAAAGTATGAAACTAGATGAAAGTATGGAATGACATCATAAAAATATTGATGATTTAAAGAAAGGAAACACATCAATAAACTAAACTATTTGTTTTTTAAAACTCTTATAGATGGTTTGGAGAAGAATTGGGAAATTCTCATTTTTGGGGGCAAAAATGAGAAAAAGCAATTTTCCCCCCATAAAACCCTGTTCCCACGGTCCGAATCATTCTGGTTCGCGAACTCGTTTGAATGAACGTAGGTTTACATGTTTGTACAAAATGTCATCAAAATCGGATAATTTTTCCTCAAGTTATCGTGCTATAACATAATATACTCGTATATGAATTTGAACGATGGTGATTTGGCCTCTGGGGACATCAAAAGAAAAAAGTAAATCGGTCCCGGGTCCAGGTACCAGGGTCCATGAGACCTACGGTAGTACTGTAGCTTATTTCCTATATGAGAAATTCGCTCAAACCAATTAATTGATATTTGCACAGTTGTAAGTTTTGAAAATACCTTAATTTGAAAACTTATTTATGGTTACGAAATTGTTTATTTTGGATCACTACACTATCTTTTAGCGTTCAAGTAATAAAATGTACACCTTCTTAATAAGTCGGTACAGTATACGCAATCTTACTTTTGTAGATTTATTAGGAAAACTTGCGTACCGTTACCACTTTATTAGTAAATGGGTAGCTATTTTTCCAGTCTCCCTTTTGACACACAAAAATATTACATTTGAAGGCCTCACAAGGAGAAATAATAATTACATTTTAACCTTGTCTATACCACCTTGCCTCATAGACAGATGCTTCCCTCCTACAGAATATTAAAGAACAAACTAATATAACAAAGTTGACGCATAGTCCACTTGTTAGTCCCCGAGGAAATTGTATCTAATTGACATGAGACGGTTAACAGCTGTTTCACCATTCACCAGGTGACTCAACTCCAATCAGCTGTAGGCAATGACCTTGACTTGTAAACTTACTGTTCCGGGCCATCAAACTACATCTGTTCACCGTGAATGTACATGTTTGTTGTTTACAAGTTTGTGGCAGAATTATTCTATCCCACGTTCAAATCTAGGTTTCGTATATTTAATAATCAAACTTTACGCTACATAACAGTTTAAGTTTGACAACGAACAGTAAGAAAACAATCCTTATTTCCTTTGATGTTCAATAGGAAATTGTTGTATGGCTAGAGTAGAACCATTAAACGTTTAGATGGGACTTGTATCTTTCTCACATTAATTTATATTTCATGGCTATATGAGACCGGGAATTCATAACTTTTTAGGCTAACTCAAAAATTGGAATCTATTTCCTACTACTGAAAATTTACTGTTTTATTTTAATGTAGAAGACGAAGCCATAGAGGATTAAACCATAGATTTAACATACCGGTAATCCCTTAGATTAAACCTACCTGATGATGTCGCTGTGCTAACGAAATGCGTACTACAATAATTGGAATGACAGAAGGTAATACAGTATTACGCTACTCACAAATTGCCTTGTGCTTTTTGACTATGGAAAACGAACCAAACCGTATTGATTGGATTTGACGACACCAGCAATTATCTTTTTACTTAAAGAATGTATGCTGTTATACATTTAAAATCAAACTTCGCAAAAAAAATGAAAGCAACTTGATTAAGTAGTTGCAATAAGAATAAGGAGTTTTAACAAACAGTCTAGGTATAACAAATATAAGAAAACATAGTGGTTCCGATTACCCCCGAGAAACAACATTAGTGAGAGGATTGGTTATTATTAATATAAACTAGAGGTCGTCCAGTGGTCGAAAACTCGACCATAAATATGTAGTACAGACTTCTCTATTTTAACCCTACACTGAAAATAAAACATGTTATTAGGATTTTATCAATTTGATTTGATTTACTGTTTACGTTTTGTAGTTATTTCGTCACCAGCACGGCAACCCATAAGGTCCATTTAATTTTTTAAATTTTTTTTCCAAATTTTGGTATATTTTTAGCCTATTTTAATTTATAAAGGGATTTTGCATATCTTCAGGAAATATATTTTTAGTATGCGTAGGAAATATATTTTATCCCTGTGATGCACACGAGCTGAGAAAAAGGTTAAAGAAACATGCTTGCCTATTAATATATAGATCCTTGTAGACTAGAAGCATAGACTAACCAACACGAGTATGTTTTATCTATGCTAGAATATACCTAGCAACCCAGTACGGATTGGGCTAGTGTTTCACTGACAGATGATTAGGATTGACAGTAGGCTAATCAGTAATCACATGGGCTGAAGTATCTCCTAATTGGAATTGACATCAGTGACCACATGAGCTTATAGGCCAATCCCGCTCGAAAAAGCAACTGGATAATGACACCCGTTCGGGAAAGTTTTCACCGGGATATTCCGGCTATTGGATTTTACATTACTATTTATTTTATCTTTAAAGCACGCTCTATAGGCTACTGAAAAGTCGACGGTAAGAAGTCGAACAAAAAGGAGTATTAAAAAAATGATAACTCTAAGGAACTTGCTATGAGCTACTAAAAATGCTTTGGTAAAACGACTTTTATCTAGCTTTTTATGAAGCATATCTTACTTGTATTATAGCCTTTCTCAGAGGAGTTACCGAATTATTAAAAGATACACAGCAAACCTGCCGACTAAGCGAATTTCTATTTGTCTAAATTGATTTTCAATTAAATCCATTTAAATGATATTAGGGTTAGGAAATACCTAGGTTTGCTGCTACAAGGAAACTAATGAAGTGCTTTTTTTAAAAAAATATCGATAGCTTAGTATTAAATAAACAAATTTGCCAATTTAGATAAAATATATCCATAAACAAGCAAACTACATCATTTTACTATATTCTCCATAAGAATGTATGAGAATTTTAAATTTTAAATTTTTTTAAATTTTCTATTTTACCAATTATCTTACAAAAACACTTTGATATACTAAACTATTAGTTTTTTAGTTCTTAAAAAGGTCTAGAGATCAATTGGAATTTTTTTTATTTTGAGGGTCAAAAATGAGGAAAACCAATTTTTCCCCAATAAAAAACCCCCGTGAAACCCCGTTCCGCTAGTCCGATCATGCTGGTTTGCGAACTCAAATCGAATCAAAATCTCTTTATTCCTAAATAATGTTACATGTTGTTAAAATTGTGTATGTACAGGAAAAATAATTCCCAAGTAGACTATCCGTCTGTGTTTGGGAATGAGTTGCTAATACAGCTATACACAGGTCCATAAATATTCAGGAGTACTTAGACAATTAATGATGATAGTAAATAAAATATATATATATATTAACAAGATGAAAAGAAAACCTCATTCAAGTTTATCCCACCTTACACCTTTATACAAAATTTCATCAAAATCTGACAAAAATTACTCATGTTATCGCGTTCACGGAAATTCGCTAACAAATCACAGTGTTTTGTCATAAATATTTAGGATTACATTTTCAATGTGAAGCCATTTAGCCTTTTCCAGCATGCTTGATACAATTTTAATTTTCCAATAGAATATATATGACATTAAGGGCAACGTAGTATTCTAGTTGCGTCCTTACCATTTTCTACCACTACGCCTGGACCTTGATCGCAAATTCACTAGGGCCATGCTAAACCATTCCTCCTAGGCTGATAACATAAACACTATTTTCAGTACGAGAAGTGGCGTGCCCAGGATTTTGCACTGAGGGGTCGGCTAGCGGCTAGGACCTTTCCTGCCTGGGGGGTATTCCATACCCTCCAGCCAAGCGGGGGGCCTCCCCCGGGATTTTCAGGAATTTTGGAAAATACGGATTCAATATTGCTGATTTAGGCTATTAAAAAACTAACAACTTTACGTTCTATATGGCATTGAAAAGACAAAATATTCATCATAAGAAAATACAATGTTTTTAAGACATATAGGTAACCTGGTGTAGCAAATAACTGGACTCTCCTACCAGAGTAAACATGACAGAAATAGTTCAATGCAGCTCTTATCCGATTCGTTCCTCACTCCGAACAGTGTTGACTATGCAATAAGCTCAAAGTAGCTTATCAGATGTTTAACACACAAGCGGCTTTTGTTGTAAAGAAAGATGATAACAAGATATTACTAACTTTTAAGCCCCCGATTCCAGTCAATGACAGATTTAGTAGGATAATCTAAAATAAGCCCCACCAGTGTCTCATCCATATTAGAATTCATATTAGGAAATTCTTAGAGTAGTTTCTCAAATATGTCTCTCCTCCATTAATTTGACATGTTTAGCGGCTAATCGCTAGGTGTAAATACAGTTTTTTATGGTTTAAGTTTGGTTGTAATAGTATATTTCATCACTAGAGCCCAAAGTGACTCTTTTTGATCCGAGGCCAAGTTTTACGATCGAGGCGAAGCCGAGGTCGGAAGACGAGTGAGGGTTAAAAAGACACTTTTTGCCCGTGTGGTGAACTATATTTTTCGTCATATTGCATCATTAATTAACAAACAAAAGCTAGAAAACGAAATAATTGTTATGTAAAGATAACCTCTCAAAACGACTTCAAGCTTGTTTTCAATTCTGCTTTTGCAAATAAGCAGCTGTTTAGTAAGTGATTCAATCATTTCGTGTATTACGATTGTGTTACAGTACATCGTACATTATACCATCGATATGTCGAGCAATCGACAACAATATGCAAAATCCTTACCTAATAAATCAATCGATAAATAATTTCGATCGATAAGATTGCTACAATCGAAATCGTTTACAACAGCTGATTTTTACTCCCTATATACTAAACATTATTTTTACTCCCTTGGTACTTTAGAGCCACAACGTATGCATTAAAAGCGGCTGTTTTTGCTGCAGCATGACGAAAACACTTTATCAATTTAATGTAATCTATTTCGGATATTGTTGTCTCAATTGTAGATTTCTATTTTACTAGCACTAAATTCAGATTACATCTAACACTCAATAGATGACATTTGTTGACCTTGGATCACAGATTGTAAGGATTATGATGTAATTTTAGATGTTGTGATGTTTATTCAATGATAATGAATGTAACCACTTATATCCTGACACTTTATTTCAAACGTTTTCCCCAAAATGGTGTACCAAACTTACTTAGAAGATAGTTGATCAAAAAAATATATACCGCAATGAAAATTATTTATGTTTAAGATAAGGAATACATTACGCTACAATATGGATTCTCATTCTTTAATGTGCACTAAATAGACTTAAACCTGGATGTTCATGAGAGATTGTTTACAGTTCAAGTGTTATTAAAATGTTTTCTGTTTCAAAATGTTAAAATATTTGTCTCTAAAAGTTAATAACAATATTGTAGGCTATACAAGTCATCCCCGTCATCTATACTTACTGTAGTTTCCATCAGTTAACTTTATTTTTAACATTATCCTAATGATATTTTAAGAATATCCAATCTGTATGTTATTCTTCTTGTTTCAAACCGTTAGATGATACGATAGAGACGTGTTTCTTGGAACTATTACTGTAGATCCATTTGTGATAGATCAATCTGATTGTACTAGTCACTGTTTAATACGCTGACTTTTTAACCAAGTCGAACTGATAATGCCACTTATTGTAAGCTATCTTTATTTATGTCACGTCAAATATCTCATTCACAAAAATAAGAAAATATATTTTAAGACCCTAAATTTTACTAAGAACTTGAAAAATTGGCGACTAAGGGTCCATAAAGATGGGATGTCAACTTTATAATCCAATAGTCAATGGTTATATCCTACATAAATAGCCCACAACCGCTAATTAAGATTGCTGTGACAATCCATACAAAATGTAGCGGAAGGTATGGAGTAGGACTCATCACTTTTACCAGACGCCAGAGAAATCAGAGTTTAAACAATAAACATTAATGGGCGTTACAAAACTTACAGAAGGCGGAGAGTAGGTTAAACGCAAAACTGCCTAAAGGCTGACGAGTTTGTTAAATTAGATGAGTAATGTGTAATGAAAGCTTTGAAAACCTTTCGTTCAGTATTACCAACTTATTACATCAGTGAGTTGTTGTAGACAATATTAATTAAATATTCGTATTTATGACACACAGTTGTTAATTGGTAAACAGCGTATTTCAGACGTCCATAACTCCGAAAGGTTTTGGTATAACTCCAAAAAATTAAATATGACAAATAATGTTTAAACATACCTTGACGGACAATCCTTAACATGTATTGTAGAGACGCAGGCAAATGGAAATTTACGTAGTCTGCAGGTTTGCTGCGGCGAGGGAATAACTTTTTCTCCCAGTTGAAAAGCACGGGTACAGCAGCGAGTAATTGATATATTTGGAATGTGTTGCTAAATTTAAACCCATCGATGTAAAGAACTACTGAGTTGTCTAAACCTAATCATGGCCCAGACTCTGGTTCGAAGATTGGATTATCAAAAGACTTACAAACTAGATGTGTAGTAGTTTTAACGTTGGAAGTTATTTTTGTGGACTGTCCGACTGAAACCTGGGCTGTCGAGACGTTGTCGTGAAGTTCCAGTGAGCTGAAAACCTACCGTAGCTGTAGTAGGCCTATCCTCTTATGCCTCGTGGTTGAGAAGTTATAGACATTTTCTTTTCAACAGAATGTAGCTGGGTCGATCTCTACAGAAGCCCAGCAAATGTCTGAGATCAAAGGGCTTCTATACTGTGGTTCTAGTTAGGAAATTGCTAATCTTAGTCCATCACAAGGATACACAGATCAACTTACTCCATATTTGCTCCATCCAACTTACTCCATCCAACTTACTAATCATGTATTCAGATTCAGCGTATATTGAAATGCGAACTCAAGTGGGTGTGTTGTGAACTGATATTAAAGGTATTTGCCAAATAATCAATGTATGTCAAACCATGTTGTATAACTTCTCGCCTTAGAAGTTCTGTAAACGTTTCCCTTACCTAGTATCAGATGCGTAGCAACACTCCAACCCGTGAAACTCAATCGGAACTTCTGGCTCAACCTAGAGATAATAAAAGACGTGTGAACTATTACTGTTCCGGCTTTAGATAACGATTCCCACAAACTGAGATCTACTAGTTAGACGGTTTTTACATTTACCATCTAACTATTTACAAATTTTATATTTATACATTTACAAAATGTCTACTCACAAATCATTGTAGGGTGGGCGGCCCAGTCTGTGGCCCATGGTGATGTTGTGTCGTCCATCTTTGACATCGTATGATCTGCCTTCCGTTGCCAACACCAACAGCAACAAACACACAGCTGCGAACGTCTTATCACCTGTCAAGGTCGCCATCTTGGTTAACTCTGCGCTTATCAACGTCAACGCTGTAACTTATCCCTCTGGTTGTGAATCACTCAGTCATTTATCTTCTTACAATGTTGGTTTTGCTAAAAGGTATTTGGTATTTTCAGAAGTTTATCTTAACTAAGCCGCTTCTTGTGCAATAAAGATAAGTTTAAAGTGAAAATGTTATTCGCGAAGGAAAATTCCCTAGTGGGAAAGTGCTTATATGTGCAGCACTTAACTTTTTTTCGCAAGCTTATTACAAACGTTATTATCCATTGAAATTCAAATTAAACTCACTAAGGAATAGAACAATGGTCCCCTCGACGTTTTCCATACCAACACATGGAAATCGATTAGCAAAAGGAGCAAAACTATTCAAAGTTCACGTCTTTAAATAGTTCAATGTTGTGTTAGTTGTATGTGCATAACAAAGTTAAAAGCGTCATAGCCTTAAGAAACCTTTTCATATTTATATATTTGGTGCCATTGTTTATATTAAATAGAAAAATCGGTTTGAATTAGTAATAATGTTTCAACTCCTCTCGCATGCTGACTTAGAAGTGCGCTCTCATTGGTTCGTTTCGCAAATCTTTTACCAGAGATGTTAACTTTATAAGTAAACTGTCTCCGTTATTTTCCCAACGAGGTAACTATCTAAAATATTGGAGGTAAATTTTAGTGTAACCCTTTATTGAGTCATTTTATCACAGTTAACATAAATACTAAACCTATAGTTAAGCAGCTGGATTTTTCAATATAATTTTTAATCTAACTTGTGTAAAAAGAGTCACGAAGAAACACCGAACCGTGATTTTTTCCAAACAAACTATATGTAACCTAGTCATAACATCGTGGTTGAAACAGAGGTAGAAATAAATGCACACGCAAATTGGCGGGAAATTCACACGTATTCCCGCGCTTTTGGAACGTAACATTGTCAGAAACACTGTAACAGGGTGGATTAGCGTATACCTCGAGGGCAAATCTGTTTATGTTTATATCCCGGCAGCTGTTTAAACAGTTACGCAATGTTAACACTACCTTGCGGCTATCATATATTTTGCTGTGTTTGAATTAAAACTGAAAAAAATGGTACGTATTGAATATTGATGGCCAATAAACATTTGTCATGCCCACCTTTTTCCAATTTGTTAGTTTATAATCGTAGCAGTTAATTTTTTTTTGATGAAATGTCATTTTTAGTAATGGTTCACTTGTCAAAAGAGAATTGGCCAAACTATAATAGGTACATTTTTTTAAACTAAATCAACTAACTATATAAGTTATGCTCGACAGTATCATAATGTTATTTGGGAATTGGCTGCTCAGTCAGTAGCACGACATATTTTTTCTATTTAATTTTATTTTATTTTTATATTATTTTATTTTTATTTTTTTGCTAATTTTATTGGAATCTATGACGGAAAGGAGCGATGTCGTGTGTTCGTGTCTTGATGCTGTATATTGCAGTGTTGTTGTACAAACTAAAAAAAACTTTACACTTAAAAGTAAAAAAATAATATTCTTACAGATAAAATGTAAACCACCACAGTTTGCCTGTTTTTCGCAATAATTTGATTGGGCATTTTTGATTTCATACTATACTTTAAAATTTAAAAAAAACATAACACTTTCTTCCTTCCCTGCAGCAGCTAACCTATGAACTCGTCAACCTGAGGTTTATTCAATATGAAGTAAATCTGACCTTTTGAAGAAAAATTTTAGTTAAAATACAATTAGGCAAATTGATATTCACTTAGTCCGCAGGTTTGCTGCGATGGCGTATTTAATATACAAATTATTGAGATTGCTGAAAGCGTAAATATTTTTTACGTATTCAATCATATCTAAACTATGGGTCCAAACATATTTTCACAGGGGACTCAAAATTGTCAGCGCAGCCACCGGCCGCCGGTATAACCATGGGCTACATAGTCAATGGAATAACATAGCACTTTAATGACATAGCATTCAGCTACTACAGTCTTAATACTGAAATTCCTTAAACAGCAAGGTTGTACACAGCCAAACAATCAGTCAATTAACTATAGATAAGAGACTGTTGCCACCAGAAAGCCTTCAGTACTAACTGAGGAAATAATATTAAGTAGCTAATTGACTTTAACAGATTTTAATCTTAGAAGTAGTAAATGTGATTTTCGAAATAGATAAGTTTGTTTTGTGATTTGATTTAGACTTGTGGAGTTTCCATATTTTCATGTTATATATAAATGGTTATTTTGAATCTTCATTATATTTAACTTTACAGAAATACGGAAAATTTCAAAGGAGAAGCAAGAATAGCAATAATAATAATGCAAATAAATAATACGGACAAAATTTTTGGTTGGATTAGAGACTTGCTCTAAAACAAATCCTGAAATGGTATAGGGTGTTTTCTTAATTATTTTTAGATCAGATTCATTTTACAATGAATACCTACTAACTTAACAACAATTCCAAATTGTTATATTTGTTTAAGAAAATAAAAATAAAAACATTACTGTATTTGTGGTAAAATAAAAAAAAAATAACTCAGTCTAATAAACTAAAAATATTAAGTTTTCTTGGGGACAAGCTGGTTTATACTGGTAGAGCAAGGTTCCGGGTTCAACTCCTGCCAATCACATGTGGTAATGTCAAACCATCTAGACATAACCTGAACTAAAGTGGCTTAAAAAATTACAAAAAAATAGAAAACTTCAAGTAGACCTCTCGTCAAAATGCATAGTAAAAATGTAAGGCCATTTTGGTATATCATCTCCGGTGACGTTTGAGTACGCAAAATAAACCAATTGGGTGTCTCCTTTTTTGGGCAATTTTCCAATGTGTGCTTTATTTTTCGTTACTTTTGAATATGGATTGAAATGGCATTTTTATTCCCATATAAAATATGAAGCTAGTTTTAGAATAGTTGAATTGAGATTCCGACAGTTTGTTCTGATACAGTTTTGTATATTACACCAATACAGCATCTTCTGATATGAACTGTGACAGAACAAAAAATGATGAGAGAAAATCAAAGAAAATTTAATTTTGCTAGTTAGAGTCCTGTAGTTATAGCTCACTCATCAACTCATCAAGCTCATCAAGCTCACTCATCATTTATTAAAATTAAAATTCGCCACAGCTGGTCCATATAAATAGTATGCCTATCTTTTTACCTAAAGGTAAATGGTCACTGCACGGATAAAAAAAATATTTTTAAAAAAATATGGTTTTATTTGGCTGAAGTTCCTTTGCATTTTTAAAACTAACGAGTAATAAATATTTTAACAATTTTCACATTTCGAAATACTTGGATACTGTCTATATAGATGGACCACAGTGGCAACAAAGTGTATTAATGCTGTTTGATTTATGGTATTACCAATGTAAACATCTAACGTATGAGAATGTGATTGTCCTGAGATGCGATGTTTTGCTCGTGAGGACTCTTTCATCACTTGTTTGTATGTGAAAGGCACTTAGGGGTTGTATTTAAGACAGCCTCTAGCATCAGTAGTCACCAATCCATCAGCGGTCTCCACCATGAGAACAGTGAGTACCAACCATCAGGATTTACATTTAAAACTGTTTATTAAAAATAAATAAAATTAATAAATATTTTTTTAGAGTTATTACAAATATTTTAAATAAGTATTACTTAAATATTTTGTAGAATATCGGAATCACATAAACAAATAAATGGATTTTAGCTTGCAAATTATGGAGGTGCTTTAAATTTTAATATTTCACAATTTGGATTACTCTGTAAAATATGCTTATAGTTTTTTTGGTTATACACTTTATAACATTTTACATTTTTTTAGTTCACTGTTAAAACAACCAGTACAAACTTATTTTTTTAACTCCATGATTTCTGTCTTAAAATTAAAATTAAAGGATTGATTTTTATATTAATACTTGATTTAATTGCTAAAATTCTGATTTCAATTTAGTTTGATTCGTAGATCTTTAAGGTTGCTATTTTGCATTTTCGTTATGTTTATTGTTTTATCGATCTAACATATATTTAAATGTCAAATAACACTAGGTTAAAAGATAAGCTAAATTATTAACAGTTTAATAATATTTACTTATTAAAGAAATCAATTTAACATAACACAATTTTTTTTTTTAAATTCGTTAAAACTACTGTACTTAGATTTCTTTTTATTATTGATGAAACTTTGTATTCTGATATTGGTTCAAAGACCTTACTCAATTACTCTGATACAGTTAATTTTAACGAATTCGATGTTAGTAATACATAGCTGCTGATAAAAGATAAGTAGGCATAATGTAATTACATTAGTAGGGTATTATAAATACGTTATTACTAAACTAATGGAAAATTAATCCATTAAGCCTCCAGTGAAGTAAATAGACACATTTTAAGTAAAACATTTACTACGCTGTAGATAGTGGACTAATGACTAATTGGATAAACATTAATTTTATCTCACAAATATATTTAAAAATAGATCTCATAACTTTAAGTTTATATTTCACGCATTTACAGTATAGGTTATACTTATGTATATTGTTTGACAACTTCTTAATTTTAAAATGCGAGTATTTATTATTGAACTGTTTGACAAGTGTAAATAAAAGATTTTTCTATACTCCCACTTTCGTGTTAAATAATATAAGGTAACAGGGCAAGGCTGTGAAAAATAGACTTTAAGAACTGCACTAGTTTTCCTCCTTTTTAATGACACCACTGGTTACAGCCCTTGTTTTTTACAGGACATTAAACATATTAAATATACAAATGGAGGCTATTTATTTTAATTAAAAAAAATTAGGATTTAGTAAATTGTTTTACGAAAACTACTTTGTCAGGGGAGCGAGCTGGCCTAGTGGTAGAGCGCGGGACCACGGTTCCTGAGGTCCCGGGTTTAAATCCTGTCAAATCACCAATGGATTTAAATAAGTGATAATGACGCAATCCCTAGATCTAGATTGAAGTAATGTAAAAAAATACACGGCTCCTGTCCTAGGACACTAGCTAGGACAATAAACTACTTTTTCATTTTGTTTTATATTATAAGAAAAATAACACATCGACAGACAAATAACCTGAAAATCATTCGAGGCATAAATTTAAACTAAAAACATTGCGAATAATTTGTAAACTGCTTAGTGGGAAAGGCGTTACCGGTACTATATTTTCTATTCAGTTGAAGGTTTAGTTTTAATTAGGTAGGAATAGTGATGCCAATGTTTTATTTCATACTAGCCCCGAGTAAATATACGTAATCTATATATACGAAATTCCAGAATACGTGCCTAAAAAATGGCTATGAGTAAATAAAATAAATGTTGGTTTGAAAATAATATTTTTGTTTGAAACAGTTTGTGTATTTTTCAGATCTTCATCATAGCCGCTGTTTTGGCGGCTGCCTACGCCAGGCCGCAACTATCTAGTCAATATGGTCTGCCCAGCGCCGCACCCCCAGCGTTTGCACCACCTCCTGTAGTATACGCTCCACCTCCACCACCACCCCCAGTATACGCTCCACCCCCTCCAGTGTACGCCCCACCCCCTCCAGTGTACGCCCCACCTCCACCCCCACCACCAGTGTACGCTCCCCCTCCTCCTGCGTATGCTCCACCCCCACCACCACCACCTCCACCTCCCCCACCTCCTCCTCCACCCCCACCACCCCCACCACCAGTATACGCCCCACCTCCCCCAGTATACGCCCCACCTCCCCCAGTATACGCCCCACCTCCCCCAGTATACGCCCCACCCCCACCAGTCTATGCTCCACCTCCACCACCCTACGCTCCTCCCCCACCAATCTACGCCCCTCCTCCTCCAGCATATGCTCCACCTCCCCCACCACCACCTCCACCACCACCACCACCTCCCCCACCTCCACCACCACCCCCACCACCTCCTCCACCCCCACCAAGCACCTACGGACTGCCTTCTTTCTAAATGCAATTGGTAAGTACTAAGATTTTACGTACTCTGCTATTTCATAAGGAAATGCTTATTGTCAAAAACGGAGTTAATTAAGCAATAAAGACTATTTCCATGATTAAAAAACAATCAGCTATGAGCTTTAAATACCAAGTTTAACTTGAAGTTGAACATGAATGACATTAACTTTATGACAAATAATAACTTACATTTCTAGTTAATTTATGTATTTGATTTTTACATTTACTGAAAACAAGGAATTCTAATTTCATGAATTAGTCTGCAAATCTGCATGACTACAAGGGTAGTCTTTTATTTATGAAAATAATACGATGAAACATTACTTACATACTAACTACCGTAGCCACAGGTAGTTAACCTCGCCTAAACTATGCCTCCAGCCTTTTCTGGGCCTGTTCATCATTTCGTCCTAGCCTCATTAGGGCCAAGTGTACTGTCCTTTGTTATATCACTTATATCCATATGAGCTTCAGCCTGCATGGAGGCCTACTGCCTTCTAGGTTGTTCCTCAAGTTATTATCAAAACCAATCTAGAAACCCCACACTATATATAAAACTATATATATATATAATGCGGTCTATAAATTATGATCAATCTTTAAGAGCACTAGTATAATACTTTTTCGTTACCGTGTATCTTAACAAAGTGTTCTTTGTTGCAGAATGAAGTACTCGAGAGATTTCCAACTTTGTAAACGCCTCGCTCTGCCCCAATGGCGTAAACTGAACTTTGTAAAATGGCATTGTTTTATTAATAAAGTGTAAGGTAAATAAAGAACTGATTTGTTATTTAAGTAGCCTACTATACACAGTGACTATAACCAAAAATTGTTCATATAGAATTACAGCTTTTTAATATAACAGCTTTTGGTTGAGCATAAAACAGAAGTTTCTATTGTTATAGCATAATTTCTACTGTTCATTCAATTTTTGACTTGAATGCTTTTGATTACCGTTTACTAGTTCTTAAAAAGTACACTTAGCTCAGGCCATTTACTCATCAGGGCGTACACCATTATTCTATGCCGTTGTTATTTCAATTATTTTACTACATTGATAAACTTTAACAAGAATTTTAACTTTTAAAATGAGAATTTTAAAGTTACAGTAATTTAAAGGTTTTGAGGAATAATTTATACCATCATTACAGTCATTATACAATCTAACGGCTTATATTTGCATCAGTTTTACTGAAAGATATCTCAGTTTGTTGTTGTGTTTTATTTAATTAAATACAGGCGTATAGCGTTGGATTGTATATTCCACATCGACATAAAACGACATAACACAAAAAGAAAAAAACAATCCTATCGACATAAAACTACATAACACTAAAAGAAAAAACAATCCTAGGTCAGTGGGTATTGTTATTGGCATAGTAACTTTGTCATGTAAAAATTAACTGTACCAAGCTGACTATAATAACGTATAACGTATATAACGTAATATAAATTGAATGTTGACAAGAACTAACGATTAAATTAAAACAAGAACAATATAACTTCATTTACAGTTTTTTACACAACTAAATAAGGACGAAACATGTTTACTATAATTGAGGATAAACCAAGGATCATAGCGAAAGGACAAGTATTCTCAAAACCTATTTTTTTTTAATTGAAACATCCTGTAATTGCATAAAATCGTTATTCTATTTTGCCTAGGTTTTTACGAATAAGTTAACCAAATTGATAAAATATTGTAGCAATAAATTCCAAAAAGATTTCACTCAATAGCCATTAACTAATTACTTGTTACTAACTTGTAACTAATTGTCTGTTACATCTTATAAGGATGTCTCAGTGCTGGAAGTGACGTAATAGATATCTATAACAGGTGTTAGCATGTTGTGTGGAGACAATCAATAATTGTTATCAGATCTGCATCTTATTCTGTAATTTACACACTATGAGACTATGTATTGGTCACCATAGCTTGCTAGAAGGAAATTAAAATGCATTTTTGTTGCCAACTAAAGAAACAATTTTCTGATGAGTGATTATTTATCTAAAAGAAAAATTGTTAATTATATTTATGTATAACCTATAAAGTCGGTGAGGCCTAGTACCAAAAAATATTTATAGGTTAATTAATTATCTTAACAGATAAGAACTTGATTTAACCTTAATAAGATTTGCTACTTGGACTTCTTCATAGCCTTAAACATACATTACTAACTGTTAATTGCTCAACTTATTTTGATGGAAAGTCGACATTAGACAACAATCATCGATCAATATATTGTAAAAAATGTAGTATGTAAACATTTTAGTGACAGATTTACAGAAATAAACCAGTAAACTAAATTATGATACAATGATACCAACTTAAACAAAATTATAGCGTTGGCTACTAGACTTTTTCAAAATTATAAAATTCAATTTCTGACAAACAAAAAACTAACGCTGAAATTATGGCTTCACCATTACACCCACCTCTCGTTATAAAAAAAAATCTGTCAAGTGGTTGATTGAGAATCTACGAATAAAAAAAACCCTCCCACGTTTAATATATAAGATTGAATCACGTCGAAAAATATCCCTATGTGGCATTAAAACATGTATGGCCTACACTTTTCTACCACCCTTATAAATGTTTGTATTTTATGCGTTCCATTTGAACCTCAAATTATTAGAGCTACGGTATTTATTGCATATTCAAAACGTCTAAACGAACTAGTAAAACAATTGATTAATTATTGTCAAAATTGGAGATACAAATGTATAAAGGGTTGTTTGATAGGTCAAACTTAATGAACAACGATGGACAAGTTTTATAATGCTACATTTCATAACCAATGTACACTGGTATTCAATACAAAATAAAACTCTTGAGTTCTATATCATGTTTCTAAGCAGAATAAAGCACGAAGTGAATGTGTTCTGTAAGTAAAAGTGTTAGTTGTTGTTGTTGATGTTGTTGTTGTGTTTTATTGATTTTTTTGTTAAGGGTGAGGAACCAAGTTACATAGTATTTAAGTCAAAATGGTTTTAAAAAAAATTACAGACTATAGTTTACATATCCTAGTATGTGACGCTAGGTTGCTGAACTCTTTGTCACTTTCACTGCAAGCGACCTCCACTCCGTCTTGACAGATCTAGATATGTGATTGAATATCTATTATTAGCCGTAAACACTTGATATGATCTTACCACCAGTAGATCATGCTAAACAATATTCTTCCTGAGCTGGTACACACATTTAAATCTTTCACAATCATATTTTTGGCACGATCCCAAAATGATCCAATTGTAATATTTTTATTTTTGTTGTGAGGTGAACTTTTAAGGAGATTTGAGTGAGCTTTTCTTCTTTCAAACATAGAAGGAAGTGTTCAAAGTTCAAATTCTTATACTTTAAATACAATAACCTTCGATTTGGAGTCACTATTTCACAATTTTAAATAAATGACTATAATGAAAATTTGTATAAACAATTCTTACTTTAAAAGTAACTGATTAAAATGTTTTTGTGAAAAATCCAGTATAAATGTTAGTTGTTAGGAATGTAAGGACAGAACACCCTGATGAGTTTTATCTACATATTATTTTCATTAACAAATTTTTATATGTATAAATACATTTTTTTAGGTAATTCAGCTGTTCAATTTGTTGATTTTAAAGATCATACGTATAAAATATTAGTTTCATAAGTAACTTTATAGCGAAAGTTAACAAGAATTACCACGAAGTTACGGATAGTACTTTTTATTTGTTCGTTAAATAATCTAATGTATAACTAATATTTAATATTTCTTCACGTTTAGACGTTTAAAAACCTTTACAGTTTTTGTTTAGGTAATCATTCCAAAAGTAAATGCTCATTTCTAAAAACGACCAGAATCATAAACTCTAGAAAATGTGATTGGGTTTTATACAGGTCTTGGCTCTCTACCAAATAAAAGTAATCGTCTTTGGTATTCCACGGCGTTCCGTCGTCTTGAAACAGTTTGATTTATTCATTGATTGCACTACCTATCTAAATCTTTCGTTCATTTGTGCATGTCTATAAGTATAAAAGAGGATGTTTGTATATATATATATATATATTTGGCGGTGATAAACTCAGACACCGCTGAACTGATTGCCACGAAACTTGGTACATACGTGTAGAATTTCATGGAATAGGTTTATACACCATCAATTTCGTGATCCGTCCAATCGGCTCCGCCCCAGTGGCTCTGGAGTTTCACATGTTAACCTCATAAGAAATGGAATTAATGGTTCTTAACAGCTGTTTCAATTAAACTAGTTGGTTCTGTTCTATGATGTTCAATAGCATTAAAGTTACAAGGATTACCAACAGGGTGCAGCACTATTATTTCTTTTACATTTATGACAACAGCTAATTTGCAATCAAAAGGTGAGTGAGCATAGCGAACGAACTTCAACCTGGAGGCGAGTTGGCGTAGCGAACGAACTTCAACCAGGACGTGATTGAGCCATGCGAACGAGATCATCTTGAAAATTAAGAAGTTAAACGGGGCAAAGCCCGCGGGTTACAGCTAGTCATTTATATACGCGTAAGTCAGTATTTGAATACAAACTGTCAAACCAAATGGAACTGTAAAACCTTGCCCTCCATTTATTTTCTGGTTACGTTTTAATTTTCTTTTAGGAGTTTGATAAATTTTCTAATTCAGGACATGTAAGTAATGTTTATATCTGCTTCACAGCGGGTAGTGTTCAATAATGCAAGGGAAAAAGAACCATTTTATATGGTTAAATGTGTATAATAGAATAATTCATAAATCTTTTTTGATTACATGGTTTTTTTAACTTCAGAGATTAAACCAATTTCAACATAAGTAGACATCAGGCATTGACACTTTTTCTGAGCGATTTTATTTGGTAAGTAAACAAGATTGTTTGGAGAAATAATAATTACCAATATATGGCTACTGCCTAGGTGAGCGAGCTGGTCTAGTCGTTAGAGCGCGGGACTTCGGTCACCGAGGTCCCGGGTTCTAATCCCGCCAAATAACTATTTCATCC